CTTTAAAATTCTTGTGTTAAATTGCTGAAATAATTAGTTTCTGTAGTAGAAAAGTTAATGGGAGCATGTTTACAAAATTTAAACTCTGAATCTTTTAATGTGATTTAATTTAAGAACGAAAATATAAAAAAAGTATTTCAAATTTTCTTGCAGGTTCATTTTGAACAATCTGAACTTAAAGTAAATAGGAAAAATAGTAACAAAAAATTAAGACCTGATGTTATTTCAAATCCTTTAAAAATTCGTCCGAAAAGACTGAAATGGATAAGTGTCCAAAATATTTTGATTTGTAAGATGTTAAAATTTTAATACAAACTTAGCGTAGTAAAAAATGTATAAAAATTGATTTTTAATATTATTATTTGATGAATAAACTTCTTTTGTATCAAATGTGGGTTATTTATCATTATTAGTCAGAAGCAATAAAACATTTGTCCTTGAAACTCAATAATTATGCAACAATGAAATAAATTTTAAACTTAAAATATTTGCGAATTGCTTAAACCTGCAATTACTGTAGTCTTAGCAATCTTTTTTCAGTAACTATTATCTGTAGTTTTGTGTTTTGTAATTGTAATTTTTGTATATTTTTAAAGTTTTTTTTAAATCTTTTTTTACACATTTTTATATGCCCAGGGAGCAATAACTTAAAAAAAAAAAATTTTCTCATTGATATGTTATTGAGACAAAAAGTTTAATAAATACTTTCATTTACAAACCTTTAAGTTTATTATTAACACAAATATCGAAGTATGAGAGTATCATTTAATGAAAATTTTGGTTTGGAGCTAAAGAGGCAACTTCAATATCCCATAAAATGTTTTTAACAAAATATGAAAATCGTTTAATATACTATTGATCTTTCATTTAACAGTTTTTTTTTAAGGAAAAAAAAAAGATAGTATACCTAGGACTAATTTGAATTTTTGTTTTAGATTTCACAAATAATTGCACAAAATAAAGTTGACATCTGAGTTTTATAAAAAATATACATATTTTGAAATTGAGTAAGTATATTTGTTAAACACAAAAACTCCTGGTTTAAAAAAGGAAAGAAAAAAAAAATAGATGAAAGAGCTGTTTAATATATGTGTAAGTGATGTTAAACAAGCATAGCACCATTTAATCAGAGTAAAAAAATACTAAAATACGAACTTACTTCCCTTTAAAAACAATTGTTTTAGTTAATTGCCAAACTGATTATTCAATAGTATGATTTTTGCAATAATAGTTATGTTTCATTTCATACATATTTGAATGATCGGATTAAATATAATAAATGGTTATTAACAATATCATTATCAAACTTAAAAAGATAAGCATAATTTGCAGAAAGTGGAGTTCATGATAAATGTTTCTGCAAACTTTTTTTTCCTTTAAACGTTTCACCAAGTATACTAAAAGTCAGTTTAACTTAATATTATGATCCAATTCACAATAGTATTCACGAAATCATGAATTTCCAAATCTTGCAGTCAAAATATGTTATTTATATTCTGCATTTCAAATGCAAGATAAATCATTTACTAAAAACTTTATTCTTATTGTTTATAATTATTTAATTTTTGATAGCAACTACTCATACTTCTTAACAGTTTCTAAAGATTAATTCTACACACAGAATTGTTCTTCAAATCTTTTGTTCAGTGTAATTCAATTTACTATAAAAATTTCGCAAGATAATTAGTAATTATGATTAATGTTACTCACTTAGAGGGAAAATTCTGATATTAAACATCCAATATTATCAATTAAATGTATTTTTAAAAAAATTTTATAAATTTTTTTCATAAATAACTTAAAATAAAATAAATATTTATAATTTAAAACAGGATTTTTACATAATATAAATAAGTTTTTTTAAATAATTTATGCCTGAAATGCATTGTAATTAAGAACAATTTTCAAGGTTTTTATTCAGTTTGCTATGAATTTCTCAGTTTTATTTTTATTTCCTATATATTATCAATAAATATTTTTTTTTAATTATACAAAATAAATAATAAATTCAATAAAATATTAAATAAGATTAAATACTAAAATATTTAAGGTTTGTATTTGTTATGAGTAACTTAAAGGAGAATCTCTCAGTAATTTTCCTTGAGGAAAATAGAATATTCTCTAGAATATTCTATTTTCTAGAATATTCTGTCTAGAATATTCTCTGAGAAGAATATCACCAAGAATTTTATATCTCTATCCGTAAATCAAATTATTGCCCAGGTTCAACCACAAGAAACCTCAAAGGTTATTATAATCAGTTAAAAATATGTTCAATCAGAGCAAATATTTATATACAGTACAGAACCCGTTATCCGGAAATCAGAAAACCGGAAAACCAAAAAACCGGAACGAAATTCGATAAATTTTCCCGCAATTTTTTAAAAAAAAATTTTTTTTCCTCATAAGATTTTAGGATTTTTCTTTCTTTTTTGAAAGATGTTTACCTTACCATCACTTCAGAAATAATCATTAGTGTATTACCTCATCGTTTTTTCTTATTTTTAAGATTATTTCCAAATATTTTTTATTTTTTTTTAGTTGGGTTTAACACTAAAAAAAACGGCTTTTTGTAGCGATTCTGAAAACCGGAAAAATCAGTTATCCGGAATAGCGATAGTCCCGATCGTTCCGGATAATTGGTTCTCTACTGTAATAATAAATCATTTTTATACATTTTCTAGTCAACTTTTAAAACATCATAATTTCTATTTCCGATAATTTAAATAAACTCTGGTTTAGTGAAAAAATTGTTCTCAAACTGTTTTTTCTTATAGCTTGAATAAAAATATTAACCCCCCCTCCCCGAAAAAATTGCAATCAAAAATAGGATTTGCACTGCATAATCTTTTTGAATCTGAAGTTAAGATCAGTAGCTCAAATTCATGAAATTTTACATTTAACTTAAACTGAACTTAACCAACTGAACTTGTGCTAAACTTAAACTGAAGAGATTTATTAAACAATCTAATAAAAATTATACAAATACATAAACAGTACACATTGCAAACATTTCAGAATTACATTAAAAGTTTAAGTAGAATAAAATGCTTTATTTGGAACTACTAAAAGATAATTAATAACAATTCCCTTCCCCTTAAATATAAGTAAATTCTGAAATAGAGATCACACTCGAAATCTTTTTCAAATTGTAAATGATTGTTCAACTCCGGATTTTTTAAATGATCATGTTTATAGCTTTCAAATGAAGCCATAATTTTTTTCAGGCAAAAATTTTTTAAAAATGTTTAAAAGTTATAAGGAAAAATAACTTATAACAGTTATACTAACTTAATAAATAATACAATAATATATGCATGAATTTTTCTGACTGCACCCATGCAATTCGTTTTCCAAAACTACACTAGATTCTCAACATTTTAATACATATTTCATGTGAATTTTAAAGAAAAAATTGTAATAAAATATGCACTCAGTGCTAGACTATATAATATTTTTCTTTACATATAATAAGGTTTTTTTAAATGCTTTTTCTGACTGCATTAAATCAGTTTACCTTAATTGCACTAGATTCTACATAGACTTTCATATTTCATGTGAAAAAATTATAATACACGCATTTAGAACAGGATTTAGTAACATTTTTTTAAACTTATGTTTCTAAATGGAAACACTTTATTCCTGCTTAAATCATTACTTTACATAAAAAAGGAAGTAAAAAATATATTTTTACTCCGGAATTTAAAGTTAAACATTCACACACACGCACACAATTATATATATATGTGTACAGACAAGCTTAAAAAATCTTCACTTTCAAAAGTATAATATTTTAATTATAAGAAAAAAACCAGGGGTCTGTCCAGGCCGAATTTAATACCGTTCAGCGGTACCTTCACAAATTCAACTTTAGGAAAAACGGAAGTTTCACAAATTCAACTTTAGGAAAAACGGTAGTTTCACAAAATACTTTTTCTTAAAATTTTATCATTTTATCCCTTAAGAAACAATAAATCCATATTTTTGTGTTGATTTTTTAATATTATTTAATTTTTCACAAATTATGTTTAAATTTTCACAAAATAGGTACCTCTCAGAAAAGCCTAGACAGACCCCTGAAAACTATCAGTGTAATAAAAATTTAGAGCACAATATAAAAAAAATTGACACATTTAAAATTATAACTAGCGTAATTTATTTGAATCAGTTCTGAATTATAACTAACATAATTCACAATTAGTAGATATAAATAGTATATATAATATTTAAGTCATAAAAATACCTATTCAAACAACAAACAAACAAAAACATAAGATAATCTCATAGCTATTTCGATTTATCAGTAATAATTTCAGAAACAGGAATCAATTTCCTAGCAATTATGCAAGTAACATGCATAGCAAACATTACACCAATACACAGTTTATATTTCATTGAAAACTTTTAAAGCATTATGCTTGAAAGCAATTTCACAAGTCTGTAATAATTCTAGGAATGGGAATAATTTTAAAGTAATTCTGCATGAATATCTAACTTTACACAACTACATGGGTCGCAAACTAATATCACGCTTAAATTTCGTTGACAACTCTTAAAATATACGTGCTTAGAGGCAATTTTATTCAACTGCAATTATTCTATAACGGAAATTATTTCCATGCATGCATACCAAAACATTGCACAACTACATGGGTCATAATCAAATATGCAGTTTGAACTTCTATGACAACCTTTAAAACACACATGCATAAAGGAAATATTCTAATAAGAATGTTCGAATACTATTTATCGCTTATTTTGATAAATATTTTAAATAGAACACCGGAAATACCATAACTTTCAAGGTAACAAATAGCAAGCAATATTTGATGTATAAAATAGAAAACAATAATTACATGTTTAGAACTAATGAATATTCTCGACTAAGAACAAATGCATACTTTAAATAATTATTGAAATGTTGACATAAAGATAATTTGGATACAACTTTAAATTTTTGTAAGTTTGTTTGCACTTGTGCAACACAAATCTAAACTTACCACAAATGAAGTCAACCTGATGTTTTGGTCAAAAAGATCAATTTGAATTAAAAATTTCAGAATTATTATGTTAATGTAAACACGTTTCAATAATTTTCAATGTTTAAAAATAACCGACGAAATACTAAACAGTTGGCACAAACACAAACCAAGACAGCTGCGAAAATCTAGAAAACACGTTTACTGCTGTTGCCAAGTTGTTTATCAAATCAAGAAATAGTGAACTTGTTCAACAAGGAAGTTTTTTTAATTAAAATTATGAATGACATTTATTAAGAAAATTTCAAAATATATCATTACAATACATAATTTTTTAGTATTTAAGAAAATAATATTTTTCAAGAATAAGTCAAAACGAAACTTTATTATGGCATCGTCCAAATATTTTCTTCTGTTGTTGATGTGATGAATTTATGAAAGAGGATCAATGATATTAAATTATCAATGATTCTGCTCTGTTGACTAGATGTTGAAATAAAATAAAATATTATCTCTTGATTAAAAATGTAGCTTCCAAATACTTTTAAATTTTACATAATTGCATTGATTGATTACAAAATGTCTAGTCAGAAACATTACTGTTTCTCTATTTTGAAGACATATCTTATTTATTTTAATGAGTGTAATTACAAATTTTCAAAACCATTTGGTGACAAAACAGTTAATTAAAATGGATTATATTAATATAATTTTAATGCATCGGGAGTTTTCATCCCATTGTGGTAAGAGTTGTTAAAATAAATATACCTATTATAGCATCTTGTCTAAGTAATAATAAATTTATTGTTTATTTCAATTTTGCTTTGATAGTAACCAAAGTACAGGTTCCTAAAATCATATTTTATATCTAATAGTATTATGTATTTCATTGTATCCATCATAAAAAATTAAAAATTCTTACATTACAGGTTAAAGATGAAGTAAAATTCATAATTGTCCCCAATAAGTAAAATGAAATTTTTAGTTTTTCTAGCATATATTCCTGTATTAAAACACGTAAATAGTAATTTCAAGTGGCTTTTTTAGAAATATCCACATTTCATAAAATTAAGAAAACTGAAGATTTAAAAAATATATATTTATATATGTATATGAATGGTCATTGATTTCATGAGCGTGTTGAGAAGGAGGCTAATATTGCTATAATCCAAACTTAAAAAATTCAAAATAAATATCTGTGGCTCTTGTTATTTTCAGAGGGTGAAGAGCTGAAAAAATCTATCAAAATATGTATATTAGACATGGCGAATATATCAATATATTTTGTACCTATTAGCTCAATTAATTAAACATCACTGGTGTCAATTATAGTTTGCAATTTTTTAATTGCCCTTAAAAGAGATGAGTAACATATTTTCAAACGCATATTTAAATCTTTTATAATAAGTGTAGTTTGTAAAAAATATGTGTACATTGATTCATTAGGTATTAATATTTTTTTTAAAAAAGATTAAAATAAGTATTCTCAAATTGTCTTAGTATTATGTATTTACTGATACTTTATGTGTATAATTCTTAAGAAATATCAACTCCTTCTTGTTCATGTATCATAAGTTAAAGATTTGATAATTCCATATTATGTGTTACTTACGTATTAAATGTTGAAACTTAATACAGTATGGAACCGATTATCCGGAACGATCGGGACCATCACTATTCCGTATAACTGATTTTTCCGGTTTTCTGAATCGCTACAAAAAGCCTTTTTTTTTATTTATTGTCAAACCCAACTATAAAAAAAAATATTTGGAAATAATCTTAAAAAGAAGAAAAAACGATGAAGTAATACACTAATGATTATTTCCAAAATGATGGTAAGGTAAACATCTTTCAAAAAAGAAAGAAAAATCCTAAAATCTTATGAGGAAAAAAACATTTTTTTTAAAAAAATGACGGGAAAATGTATCGAATTTCGTTCCGGTTTTATGGTTTTCCGGTTTTCTGATTTCCGGATAACAGGTTCTGTACTGTATAAAAATTGCTCAATCAATAAGGCTTATATACATCACAAGGTATCATTATGTAACCGACACAAGGTTGCTGTAAGGTTACATGCTTACTGGGATATACAGTACAGAACCCGTTATCCGGAAATCGAAAAACCAAAAAACCGGAACAAAATTCGATAAATTTTCCCGCAATTTAAAAAAAAAAATTTTTTTTCCTCATAGGATTTTTCTTTTTTTTTGAAAGATGTTTACCTTACCATCATTTCAGAAATAATCATTAGTGTATTACCTCATCGTTTGTTCTTATTTTTAAGATTATTTCCAAATATTTATTTTTTTTAGTTGGGTTTAACACTAAAAAAACGGCTTTTTGTAGCGATTCAGAAAACCGGAAGAATCAGTTATCCAGAATAGCGATAGTCCCGATCGTTCCGGATAATCGGTTCTCCACTGTATATATATATTAAGAGCAATTTTTCTTAAAAGAAACCTATTTTTTATTTTATTCTATCTTCAAGAGAAAGCTATATTTTTATTTGTTTTTTGCAATAAATTTGGTTTATTAGGAAATAAAGACAACTTGAGGTTTGCTCAGCCTAAGAGGGAAAAAAAAACCATTTCTGCTTGTGCTAACTTTCTTTTTAAGTAGGTTATTATTAAACAGCTGTGAATATCCAGGGGTCTGTTTGGAAGAAATTTAACGGACCCTTCACAAAATATCTTTTTATAAAAACGGACCCTTCACAAAATAATTATCTTTTAATTGGACCCTTCACAAAATAATTTATCTTTTAATTGGACCCTTCACAAATTTGTTTATCTCCATTATTGTTATGTTAATCGAATAAGCCCTTCCCGGGAGGGGGATGAAGACGGTTCCAGACAAATTAAGTTTCCCTAAGTTTAAATTCTTAATGTAGTATTCTGAGAAAATATTTCTACTTTTACAAACATTGTTTGCACCAGGGTTGGCAGGTTTTTTGACAGTTTAAACCATGGTTTAAACCGTCACGTCAAAAACCTCACTGTCAAAAATGTCGAAAATGTCAAAAACCTATATTCATATGTGAAATTTAATTAATACATAAAATTTATATATTTTTTAAAGGATAGTGTTTCTAAATATGTTCTAGAAAAAATAAATTTAAAATTTTGAAGAAACACTTATATTTTGAATAGTAACCAAAATCTTGTACTTTTGAAAACTCAACATATTTAGTAATATTATGTATTTATTTTCATGTGTTATTGAAAATCTGCAGTGATATTATTAAGAAGTTTATTTATAACCAAATTTAGTGTATAGTATAGATTATACTAAAAATTAGACCTTTTTAAAGATAAACATTAGCAGTTTTATACATTACACATCTTCTTTTAAAGAAAAATCTTTTTAATATTCTTTTAAATCTTCTTAATAATATCAATGACATAAGACAATACAAATTTAAGTGCTTTCTGTTAAATACACAGAGTAGTTAGTGTCGATTTACAGTATATTCAGCCTATTCATTTACTATGCTGAAAATTTAGTTTATCCAAATACTTGTGAATTTCATTTTGCTGAATACTATATAGTTTTGTTGAATATCTAAATATTCAGCTGTTGAATAATTACTTCTTGCTTTCAAGATATGCATTATTTGTATTCTTAATACAAGTGGAGAAAAAAAAATTAAGAGATAAAAATTGTTTTAAAATGATAAGTGTAATAATTATAAATAAATATAATAAACAATATGAATTATATTTATCATTATTCATAAATATAACTACTTTTAAATTCAAATTAACATACTGGATAATAAAGATATTCGGTATAACATTAAAAAAAAATTTTTATACACTTGTATCTTATATCAAGTTTGTATTTATACAACATAACTTGTAAGTTCCTTATAAATATTAGTTATATGTTCCTTATATGTCAAAAATGCATAGTAATAAACTTTTAATTTTCTTAAGTATCAAAAAAAAAAAAATTTTTTTTTTAAAAATAAATATTTAAACAATTTTTGTGCAAAATTTTTCTGCACATGCATTTGAATATAAATTTCTGAGATTTTAAATCTGTTATTTTACCTTAATTTTAATTAAAAAATATTTTAAAACCTGCTGATTACCTATAGTATAATTAAATTTCAATATAATGCATGGCAACTGTTGGTAGTTTTGAAGTTTATATATTTTCTTGGCAAACTTCAGTTTTTGACATTTTTGACGGGTTTTTGACGGTTTAAACCAGTATTATACCCTTGTCATGTCAAAAACCACTTTTTGACGTCAAAAACCCAACCCTGGTTTGCACATTCTTATCAATATTAAATCATAATTTTTTTGTAAATAAATAATTGATCAATTTATATTTATTTATAAAATTAATTAATGGAATATTATGTAAATAAAAATTAAAATCTGGCAACTTTTTTAAATAAAATATTATAAATTTCAGAATTGTTTAAGTTTACTTAATGCATAACACATTACTAAGTTGTGTTATTTAAAATACGTCAATTGAAATTGAGTGATTTTGTTTCCATTATTCGCTCGAAATGAATATTCTGTGTTGAGCAGTATAGGCTAAATACCAAATATTTGTATGTTGCATCTTTAATTTAGTAGCAGCAATTGTTGAGCAGAATCTTGTATCTATTTACAATTTAAAAACTTCCTGAAAAGGTTTTTAGCAATTTTTGCAATAACAGGGCCCTATTTGCACAAATTCACAAAAGCAGGACCCTGGTTGAAAGAATGTGACTTAATGCTTATTTTATATTGTGAATAGTTTTTTCACAATTTTACAAAAACAGGACTTTTCACAAAATGTCTGGACAGACCCCGATTATCAAATTCATATAAGTACTCAGGAAAAAATTTTATAAAAATTAGCATAATTTTTTAAATACGAATCTATTTTGTACTTATCAATTTTGTGATATAGTAAAAGTCACCAAATTTTTATAGTGGTCAATGATAATTAATTGTGATATACTGCTGGTATTGGGATAATAAATGTTGCGGTAATGGGTACTTTCACTAGTCTAGGTACTGTAGGGTAAAACAGTAAAACAAATTTTTTAACTTTAACAGACTTAACATGCATTACATATATCATTTTAAAGCTTAAAATGTATATTTTGATGTACAGCTTGATTTTAATTTAGCATTTAATTAATATCTCTATTTTTAACTCAGATCTCACATTTCATTTTGTTCTAGAATGATGTGAAATAAAGGAAAGGCCTTATTTAAATACTCCATTTTAATATTTAATTAAATATTTTCAGCATTTAACCACTTTCGATTTTTTTTTGGTAAAATTATACTACAATTATGTACACAAAAAGTAATTATTCAAAAAAAATAATTTTGGCTATTTTAGAATTTAAATTAAATTTTTTTTTATTATGACCATAATAAAAATTAAGCAAAAGTTATTATTTAAAAAAAAAAAAAAGTAAGCAATATTTTTTAAAAATCTTTTCTGATCCTCCTATAATAGTTAGTAACGAGTTAAATACCTTGCACAATTATTTTCCAAGCATGTAATTTTTTTAAAAATTGGTGTTACGGACTTAATATATTTACATTGTTGCTCTGTAGCAAATCAAGAACTTGAATTTCTTTTGTATTTTATTTATTCATGGTTTCCATTTTGTAAAAGCTGATCCATAATTTAAAAATTATAGAGTGTTATGTCTATAACACCAAATGTTACATACGCAATAAATTTGCATTTTTTCTAAATAAAAAAAAAGCTGCAATTCCTAGCATTATTTATTTCTTATTTGATCGCAAATTTGATCCTAAAACAGACTTTTTGCTTAATAAATCCTCATGTAATTCTTTTTTTATTAGAAAAGAAATGTTCAAAAAGTATATGTGTTTTACTCAAAAAAATTTTTGTAACATTCTTACTTGCTTATTAAATATGTTCATCTCTAATTTTTAAAATTTTTACGTTTGTAACATGATAAACATACATACAATAAGAAAATAAAGAACATATTAAGTTTGTCACAATGTTAAAAAATTCTGTAAGAAATCCTTTTTTTTTTTTTTTTTTTTTTTTTTTTTTTTTTTTTTTTTTACTGGTTTCTACTGTCTTGCTCACCCTTAATAGCTTAGATTTTGTTAAAATTATGTATTTAAATATTTTTCAATATATTTAATATTTTGTTTTCAGTTACAAATCTGATTTTAATTGAGGAGCTAAGGAAAAAGGTACTAAGTTATGATTCAGTGAATCTAGGAGCACCAGATTTTTGAAAAAACTTATTTTTCCACTGAAAATTGCTTTATGAAGACTTGGATGAAAAATACAGTTTTCTATGCTTTTAAAACTCAAAATGAAGCTTTACAGCTTGCAGAGAACAAGAAAATTCAACAATTATGTGTGTTATAAAAATATAATTATAATAATAGTGTGTCATAATAATTTATTTAACATAAAACAAAATGGACATTCTAAAATAAATAAATAAAAATTAATGAATGTAATTACCTTTAAAATTTTTAGCATTTTTTCAAAATGACATTTGTCTTCTTGTATTAATTTCTTAAATTAAAATTAAATCATCTTACTTTGAAAATTCTAAGGTGCAAATTGATAATGAAGTTAATTTAGAAACAATTTTTAACCTTCTGTTTTCCACTTAAAACACTAATATTTTGTATTTTGAGCAGCTATAGTATGTACATCATTTTTTATAAGACAAAAATTCAGCTTAATTGCTAGAAATCTAATATGTTTTATTCTTCTTGTTAGAGGACACAACCGACAACAGCCATGGGTGAGATGCACACTTTCTGGACAACAGCTTGACCGAAACTTGCATAAACTAATTTAATCTTATGTATATGTGCACACATATTCTCCGATGGGGAAGAAAAAGAAATGGAATCGTCCTCTCTGTGACAACACAAACCAGTGCTTTCCACAAGGGGAGTTCTGCATCAATGTAGAACACCCAGATTCCAACAACTTTCAAAACTTTGAACCTCGCTTGGCTGTTGCAGTGCCAAACTGGTCAAGACCTGGCATCCAGTCTCAATTGCGATGCGAAATCTGTGAGCGCGTGTTCCAATATCCTAGTCAGCTGCGTGATCATATGCTAATTCATACTCGTGTGCGGAGATTTGTATGCCAGGTATGTGGAATGAAGTTTATGAAGGAACATCACTTAAAGGCTCATCAAGCTACGCATAATTCAGTTAAGCCATTTGCCTGCCCCATCTGTGGACGCACATTCACTCTCAAAGCGAACATGGAGAGACATACGTACATACATAACACTGAGCGGAGATTCACCTGTGATCAGTGTGGGAAAAAATTCTCTCAGCCGCAGACTCTCAAAATGCACATGATCTCACACTCGGACGTAAAACCCTTCGCTTGCAACATTTGCGGGAAGGGTCTGTCAAGAGCGCACAATCTTCGAGCCCACATGGCAATCCATCGAAACAACAAACCTTTCAAATGTCACTTGTGTAACAGTTCGTTCACGTTAAAAGGTAACATGCAAAGGCACCTGAAAGAAAAGCATGGCGTGACAGAGGCTGAGATTCCGCAGCACCAGGAGCAACCGCCAAGCTTGTCCAGTGAAAGTTTCATTCTCTCTTTAGATCCAGCTGATGCTGTTGGCTCTCCTACTGGCTCCAGAATAAGTGAAGAAGAAATGCCGCAAAACTGTAACCAAGCTTCTGATCTACCTCAAAACAACAAACGAAGAAAAAACCCACCCAAGAGAGTAAAATGTGAGACGCCAAACAGTGAACATGAGAACCTCAGTAAGAGTTCACCAAATGAACAAGACCCCCACCGCCCTCCCGAATACCAAGGCGTGCCAGCTTCTTCTGTCAACAACGTCTTGCCACCTGCTCCAAACAACTTTCAACAGGTGCAGTCAAATGCTTTAGTGCCAGTGAACAATGCTTTCCCACCTACCTCTCAAATACAGTTATGCAACCCGCCAATAAACGTTGGGAATCCATCAGAACACAAACCTTTCACGCCATGTGCTCTGCCCCTGCAGGCAACTCTAGGCCACTCGGGTTTCGGCCCAGTGTCTGTAGCTAGTTTTCTTCCTAGGCCGCCAGGTTTTTATGCTGAGAGCGGAATGTTAAGTGTGCCACCTAATCCATTTCCAAATGAGAATGTGGAGTCTAAGCTGCAAACTATACATAGTGCTATTGATGACCTAGCGGGTAAATTATCATCTCCTCACGATAAAGTGATGGCAATACACGAAGCACTCGATGAACTGATTCATTTGCGTCCTGAAAACCCAGCAAATAATTTTCGGTGTGTAAAAAATGAAAGGATGGGTAACTAGTCTCAATAATATTTAGCAATGTAATTTTTCTTTTAAAATTTACTCATCGATGCATTTATCATACTCTGCTAGGCCAACAGATCTATTCAAATCCATATCATGTGATTGATTTGGTAATATTCCGTTTTAGGAGGCATTAGAAAAAAACACGTAACTGTTGTTGATGCTTAATTTTGCAATAAGTATACTTGGTATAGTAATAATGGGTATAGTTCGTTCACCAGGAGTTGGCACTTGGCTATGCCTTCATCAATGTGGTATCCGGTGATACTATTTCGCTATTTTTGGGAGAAGGATGCGAATAATCCTGAACAAGGTTGCTATTTGGCGATCATATGACAAAAATATTATCTAGCAATCTTTATGTGCATTTTTTTAAACATAAAATATTTCATAAATTTGATGATATTTATCTCTTTCGAGTGAATAGTTTGTCCTTTTTGAGACATTTTGTTGCAATATATTTAATTAGCTAGAGTAATGAAAGATGTGTTAACAGATGATAAAGCAAAGTAAGTAACTGAAAAAAATTCAGTTTGGCGCTCATTAAGGGTTGTCTTAATTTCAGGTGCGGAGAGGTTTCTTCTCTTATCCCCGCCCTGTAATAAACTCTTCGTCCGAGGAGGTGGAGCCAAGTTCCAACTCCTGGTGAAGCGAACTATACCTATTATAGGTACTATAATAGATTTTTTAAGGCCCCCTTAAACGGAATAGGGCCATTGAATTTTAATTTATTTATTATTGTATTTCATGAGTGGGCATTTATAACATTTCACCTGAAAAATCAAACTTTTTTTTTGTTTTCAGCACTGATGAAGATGAAATATATATGTTTACTATTTTATTTTATTGTTATTTTTCATTGTTTTATTTTTATATCTAATTAGAGTCTAATAGTTTTATAATTTTATTTTATACAATACCAATTTTCAAATGGCATCTTTTTCGACTTAAAAAATACCCTTCAGTGATGTATTTTACGGCAATTTATTGTTCATGGTTTTCTATGAGAAATCACATACATATACATTTTTGTTTATCTGATATTTTAATACCAAGATAATTTTAAATTTCATGATGTGTTTAAAATAAATGTTTTGAAGAAATTAAATTTGTAAATTCTGAGAGAAAGTTTGTAATTTTAATTTTGAATCAAATTACAGCCATGCAAACTTGGGTCCTCAAGAAAAGCACTAACTATTTGTGATAGCATCGTTAAAAGGATTAATTTCATGTCTCATTGTTCTGGTTTTGTGACTATTATTTTAAATTTACTACTAATTAATAATACGGTATGAACGTGACATATTTTAAGACTGTGATTAACGAGTTAAATGCTCATTTTAATTCGATTGTTTGAAGTTATTTTTAAATGGGGTGAATGAAGTTTAATTATCATTTTGGAATTGGAGAAAAGTTTTAAATTACTTTATTTTTTTATCACTCACATAGTCTTTTAATATTCTTAAAATTATTTTATTTTATAAATGTCGTTTTATCGATATTTCATCATAGAAATAATAAATTAAGATAAATGAACAATCATTTAGGATGCACGTATTCTAAGTATTGCAGAGAGACAATGCTTGATTTTAAAATTTACTAACAATGAAAAAATTTTACTCTTGTGATAAAATTCTGTATAATGTTTTAAAAAGTCATTCCATTACACATTTAAACAAATATAGAAATTTATTTTATAATTTGAAAGCACAAATAAACTTATTTGTATATTTTGTTTTCTAATCAATTCACTATTGATTCTCCATATTTAAATGTAAAAATTTGAATAACTTTTGCTTTTGATTATAAAAAATATTTAAAAAATGCTCAAGGTAATATTTCTGGTCATTAAAATATTTTAATTTCTTAAACACTGATTGTTTAAGCAATTAAATTTAATTCAGTTTAAGCAAACAATTTCCTAAACACTCATTGTATTCAACTTAATTAAAAATTTGTTTTGAGCAAAAGTACTAGACTTCTTTCCACGAATTAATTCTAATATTAGCTTTTCTAACAGCAGGATTATTCATACTGTGCAGGTATTATGATAAAATTTACAGAAAATTGATTAGAGTTAAAAAAGAAATTGAATTACAATTTTGTTAATAAATATTTTCTTTGGCATCCTGAATTTTTCAATTCTTAAAGTGTTTTAAAATTTGAACAACTTATTACAAACAAGGAATGGCAAATTTCTGATGGGATTTTTTTTATATAGATTTTTATTTCCTGTGACAAGACTAAAAGAGAACTACAGCAATAAATATAAAGAACATTATACAAAACAGAAAAAAGTAAAGATTAAAAAAAAGATTTGGGGATGTTAATCATGTATAAAACCATCTAGTCAAAATCCTAAATGAAGTATTAAACACCACATTATATGTATAATGTTTATTAAATGTAATGCTCAAAAAATATTTAATATTACTTATGTTACATAATTTAACGAATGTTAAAAAAGATAATGACTTGAAAAAATCCTTTAAATGATGCAAGGTAATAAAAGATTTTGTTTTAAGACAATTTTTATTAATTATTTATAACTTAGTACATGATGCATATAATTTGTAGATTAACTTATTGAGTAAATTTACTAAAAAAACTTTATAAGTATTATGATTTTATGGACTTTAATCCTAAGATTTTGATGCTTGTCTTGACAAAAATCAATTTTTGCCACCAAAATCCAAGTATGTCTCGGATATTTTTAACAATTAAATTACTAAAAACTTTTATTTCTCAATATTAACAAGTTTTTCCCAATCACTTATCATTTAAATAATAATCTCAAGAAAATCTCTCTTTTAAAAATGAAATTTAGATTCTTAAAATTAAATTATTGATATAACTAAATGTTTAATGGACTTTAATTCCTAAGATTTTGACGCTTGTCATGTCAAAAATCAATTTTTGCCACCAAAATCCAAGTATGTCTTGGATATTTTTATAAACCATTAAATTGATACAATCTTTTATTTCTCAACATTAACAAGTTTTTCCCAATCACTTATCATTTAAATAATAAGCTGAGGAAAATCTCTCTTTTAAAAATGAAATTTATATTCTTAAAAATAAATAATTGATAAATAATTAATAAAAAATAAATAATTGGTTAATAATTGATAAATAATTAATAAAAAATAATGAACTGTTCAAAAATTGTCTCTTTAGTTAAATCTATAAAGCTCAATAATAAGTATTTCATTCGAGTTATTTTCTTTCAGAAGAACAATTGATATGCACCAGTATTATGTATTTAGATATGAATTTTTTTGTTAATCAGAAATGCAGTTATAGTGAACAATATTAAAAAAATTATATCATCTTTTTAAACTAATGCTCCCTATTTCCTCCACTATTTATCGACAATATGATCAGATTTGCCGGTTGTCTGTACATGACTTAGGATTAAATTTAAAAATTAAGAATATACATCTACTACTGCAACAAAAGGAACAAGTATTTGTGTCCTTCGCATTCAATCTGCTCACTTATCTTGGATGCACAATTCACTTTCCTGTTTAATGATTCTTGCATCCATGAGGGCACATAGTGCATCAGGTGAAAAGGAGTGAATAAAACTGTCTATATATGCATGGTAGCACAACCTTTTCAACTTAAAACCTAAATAAAATGGAAATAATCTATTCTGATATGCAACTACACAGAAACTTCAATAACTCAGAGCAGTATTGGAAGTTCGAAATTCAACAAAAAGAAAATTTATTTAGCTTGTTTATCACACTTTGTATTCTTTTTATTTCATATTATTTTATTCACTACTTTTTTTTTTTACTGTAAATTTCTCTAAATTAATATTGGATATGTCAGAGTATGGAATACTGACCAATAGCAATATTTTCCAATAATAAACTGCTTTCAGTTCCTCGAGTTAATCACATTTTATTCTTTTTATTTCATATTATTTTGTTCACTACTTTTTTGACCGTAAATTTCTCAAAATTAGTATTAGATATGTCAGTGTATGGGAAACTAACTGATAGCAATATTTTTCCAATAATAAACTGCTTTCAATTCTTCGAGTTAATCACACTTTGTATTCTTTTTATTTCATACTTAGCTGCCAACATGGATAGAGAAAAATTCAGAAAATTTTACGAAATAATATAAATTTTATGATAATTGTTGTATAATGTACTAAATATTTTACACAATGAATTTTATAGTCATCAAAGTAGAAAAACTGCAATATTTTCCAGTTATGATTGACAGTAAACATACTTGAAATGTTATGTATTATGTGTACTCATAATTTCGAATATAATAGGCATTTAATTCATCAAAGATTGTTTAAAATTTCTTATTTATTAATTAATATAGAGTACTGAATAAAAATAAACTGAACATTTTAGAACAAAAAAAGTTTTGAACTTATCTCTATAAATGAAGTTTGCTTCATTATGTATTAGCAATACTTAATATTCGAGCAAGCAAGCAATAATCTGTACAAAAATCCTATTTCAATAGGGATTGTCTAAGGAAACTTACTAAATTTTAAGGAATTTTCTAATTTGTACAAGAACCAGGAGAAACTAGCAAAATCCAGTAGAGTTGGCTGCTATGTATTATTTTATTCACTACTTTTAATGAGTTTTGTAAGTCTCTCTAAATTAATATTAGATATGTCAGTGTATGGAATTAAGAAGCAATAGCCCGTAACCGCTAAAAAAATGTCCGAGTTGTGAAAGCTGAGCAATGATTCTTTACATTAAAAAAAAAAATTATAATAATTATCAATTACCAGGCAATGGCCTTATAACAAGTGTAAGGGAACAAATTTATTCCTTTCTTTAAGGCAATTGCCCACGTTCTGTGAAGTTTTTTTAAAAAAAAATAAATTTTTAAAACATTTTATGCTTAGTTATATAAAATGGGATAAAAAATGACACAAATAAGAAAAATTATAACAATATATTTTATAGTTTCTAAAATTTTGTTGAAATTAGGTAAAAAATTAGTGATTTTTAAGAGTTACGGTGGACACCCTCAACTTAGTTGTGTACAATAAAATACAATTTCCTTTGGAATATATATTATTTTAACCCTTTTCTGTGTTCTGAATTAAAAGTTAATCGAAATTTTAAAAATTTGGTAAAATATGCCCAATTACGTAGAAAAACAGCAAAATAACGATATATTTTTAAAGTTTTTTGGATTTACATAGCTATAAAATAATCAAATATTGAAATAAAATTTTAGTTCTAATTCAGAACACAGATAATATTATTTATAACAGTGTTACAAAATTGCATCATAAAATTCCTAATAGTTTTTGAGAAATAAGGTCCAGTGTGAATCGAAGTGTATGGAAAATAATGCATTCATTTCTTTAATAACTAGTGTAAGGAAAAGAATGCATTCCTTTTTACTTTTCTTTCTCCACCAGTATAAGAATTTAGTGTAACCATTTTGAGAAAAGCATGGAATTTTGCAGTTGGAAATAAACAATAAATGCATCGTCTCCCCTTTATTTTTATTGTGATAAAGCATCAATGATTGCTATTTTGACATTCCTAGGGTTTCTAGAAACTCTTATCATCAGTCATTGTAACCATAATAATAATAAGATCAAATCTGTAAATAAATTTCATCACCTATTGGATCTTTGTCACCTGTAATTATCAGTTGAAATCTGGGTAATCGAAATGCTCCCTACAGCTTTTTCTGTTTTGTATACAGTTTCTAGCAAATGAAACTTTGTAGGGAGCAAAAGTGAAATTCAGATTTCAACTGAATTTGTCTATTGTAAAATCAGTAAGTGTTCAAGACAATACATTGTTTTATGAGTGCCATAGTGCAATTTTGTGTGATATTAAAAATAAATGAATTTGAAAAAATTGAACTTTCCTATCACTTATTTCTTTGACATAAAATATATTTGAATTTCAACCTCGATTGCTAATGTCTTTGACTGTGAATTCAGTGCTCTGAATAACTTAGTTAAAAAAAATTCGTATAAACAAACTGGGTAACAGCAGTTACTGAGCTAAAGGGGAGATAGGTTTTTTAGTTAACTTCTCAAACAAGCACATCGAGTCAGCCACCATCTTGCCAAGCACACCAAGTTAAACGCAAAATTATTTAATAAGGAAAAAATATCTATTTCTGAGCCTATTGAAATTTTTAAATAACCCATGTTGAATAGTTGATGAATTTTTGGATTTAAGACTATCCAATGTTCAACTCAGTAACTGTAACTTTGGACCCAACTCCGGAGACAAAAAAAACTCCAGGATTAAGCATTGGAACACTTGATTTTGTGGATGACCTTTTAATGAAATTGCTTCACATTTATAGTAGATCGAAACGAAAACCTTCCAAGGTTAGCCCAACCACAAGGGCTTTTAACCCATGATACCACTCTTGGGGCAAACCAGTAGCAGAATTCAATCACCTAATTGTGAGGCGAGCAGCGTGGCTTTTAAACTTGATGATTTTGAAAAAAAATTACTAAAATTTTTTTAGTTACAATAGTTTAGGCAAACAAAAATACCATATCGACCCCTAGAAGCATACAATGAAAATTCCAACCAGGGTTAGCTATGCAATTTTCAATCCTTAAGCTCTGCTCTATGTTATCTCCAAGTTAATAACCTTGTAACTATTTGAAATCATTTTCAGTCCCACCTCAAATATCATGATCAGTGATCAATAGACACATTATTCAGTTTTAATCAAATTATCGAGTTTATTTGTTTTATAGTTTATTTGTTTAATGAGTATTTCATTTAGATTTAAAATGGCAACTTGAATATATTTCAGGTTTTTTGAATATGTTTATAAAAACTAGGATTTCTATTTAACTATTCAAATACATCCAGTGTTCGAATTTCTTTTAGCGTGTTGCATGCTGTGTACCCATATTCGGGTGAGAGCAAAGTTTCTGATCGGGCCGAGTCACCAGTAATGGGGCGACGCTTATTCGACTACTTGCGAAGGATATTCGTATGTATATGAAAAGATATTTAACAGGAAGTAACAAAACTATTGAATTGTTATAAAAGTAGTACTAAAATGATTTATTAGGAAAATTATAGTGAGCTTCGTAAAAGCTTTTTTGCTCACTGTTATTTGACTCACTAAGAAATAAGCTCTCCATTTATCTTCTTGAAATTTAAACAAATTAGAGTAAAATTTTAAGTTATACTCCTCTTTACACGGCAATGATTCAAACTGATCGTGTAAAGTCATGAGATGAGAAACAAATGCGAAGCAACAGAGACAAACAAACAGAAAATTGACAAACAGAATTCTCTTAAATTGAAGCTTATTTTATTTATAAGCAATTTATCTTTTATTAGCATAATGTTTTTATGTTAAAAAACTTTTATGTATGAACATAACTAACACTTTAAATACGAAATTCAAAGAGAATGATTTGTAATGAAATAATCTAGAAACACAATATATTTCATAACAACACAAAATCCCACACATCAAACATTTAAAAATTCTACACGTGTTACCAATTACTTAAAAAAATCACTCTTTAAAATTTAGTTTTTATTCAAATGATATGAAAATGACAAAACAAATATTGTAATAATAAATTTGTCGTTACACAAACAGTTTAATGTGACAATGATTGTATACAGTACAGGTCTTACACTTTCTCCGTCTTAACAAATAAACATATCTAGACTCATCACAGCATTAATACCTATGCCTCCGACTACTTCTTTTTCTAAAAAATAAGAAAATAGAATTAAATGATGTATTTAAACCAATTCAATCAATCTTGCTTATAGAACTAAAACTATATTATGCCAATTTATATATTTTCATTTGTGCTTTATTCACATTAAGTTTTTGCTTTACTATATACAATTTAGAAGTATTATCATTATGCAACGACAAATAGAACATGGTAATAGAAATTAAAATAAATAACTAGATCAGGCTTTTTTTTCTTTATTTAACACCTGATTAATTCAGACGGTTTTACAAGTAAGACACATAAAATTATTTTATGACTAAATCTAACATGGGTTTCAGGTTTTAGGGAAAAATCATTCTAACTTTCTTGCAATTATAAAATACAGTGCCAGATTATCCGAAACCCAATATACAGACTTAAATCTGAATTGTAATAACAATAAATTGTAATGAGATGATTTAGTTCAGATTACCAACTATTTTCTGCAAAACACACAAAATAAACAAAAAAATAATTTGTTGATAGTACAAATATAAAATTACTTTTTTAGAGCTCCCTTGACGAATGCCCAATTCACATGTATCTGCTGACCAAGCAAATCTGAGCCATTTAAATTATCTAAAGCTGCTTGAGCCTCCTTGTATGTTTCATATTCTACAAGGGCATAACCCTGAAATAAAAAAAAATAAATAACATTGTTGCAACCCTTTATTAGTTGACAAACAATTTCAAACATAACAACTCAATGCAAACTGTTAAGAAACTTCTAACAGGTTTCTCGCTCAAATAGAAGAATAAAGGTAGGAAGAAAGGGCATTAAAAACAATAAATATGTATAAATGAGAGAAGAAGAATTTTTTTTTTTTTCTTCAGCAAGCCAACACAGGAAACTATAATTGTTGCTATATTTCCGCAATCTGTGAGCAAATAGCAAAATAATAAGAACTCAATAAATTTTTTAATCAATAACAGGAATAGATGATTGTAAGTCCATCTATTATTCTGATCTGGATTCTAGCAACCAACAATCTTTTTTTGGTTAAAAGTTTTCTAAGTCATAATACAAAGCAGTTTGACTGACTCTGCATGCCAAATGAGGATAACAGTAATTCTGCTCAAGGAATGCGTTCAGCGGGAAATATTGACGCTAATATTGCATGCTTAGGGTCCACAAAATCTACCTTTCCGGCTTTTCAGGAGTTTGAGCTCAAAGATGTAAAGTTCCCTGATTTTCAGGATAATTTCCAAATTGTAGGACATTTCTTGGTAACATAACACATCTTTACAATATATAAAGCATACCTGCTAACATTGGAGAAATAAAATAGTGGAGATTTTACTAGCGACATTTTTTAGGTTATGAGTAAAGTTTTGATACATCATGCAGAATCATGTAAGTCAAAAAGAGAAATTCAAAATCTCTTTTTGCTTGTTTTCAATTTAATAACATAAAACGTATCAATACTTAAAAGGTTAAACTTAACAGAGCTAAAATCTTCTATTTAGTGTAATATAAGAATAAAAAGAGAGATTATTTTTAAATAAAATAAGACTTGTATTTAAAAGATGTATACTTTTAGGAATCCAGTTCTTCTATCAAGATTGAGGTGTAGATTCTTAATTTCACCGTGTTCTGAGAACTTGTCGTAAACATCATCCTCTTGAGCCTCTTCATGGACTCCAGTAATAAACAAAATCCAACCTTCTATTGCTAAAGGAAACGAAAAGAAAATCTACTTATTTTGACATGATTACATACATATAAGTAGAGAAAACAAGGCTGGCATTCACTACAAATAATAAATTGTTGAACACTCAGGATTGTATTGGTTTTAAAGATGGAGACTAACTAATGGTTTGAAATATATTCAGATATATATGCGTAGAAATATATGAATATAATGAAATATATGCGTAGCCAAATATTTCAACAGAAAATAAGCAACTTTGAGTACTTTATAAGTGCTCAAAAAATATTTTTAAACACTATATACATTAATAAAATACAAAATAATATTCAAAGACTATACATGAACATGATAAAATAACTAGTTTCCGACAAAGAACTCTCTTCTTGATTATATTAGCTGTTATAAAATAATCAAGAGATTTTTCGGTTCAATATCAGAGGGTGGAAAATGAAGCATGAAATAGAGAATGCTTTGCAAAATGCAGAGTTGCACATGAGGGTGCAATAATCTCACCAAACCTAGCTCAGCAGACGTACACGCGGACTCGCAAATATTTCGACAAACATGTAATGTGATTGGCGGTTTCATACGCTATGGACCGACAGCACGGCAAAATAGATTGTGGTTGAATGAGTTGTGAAAATGTTGAATAGAACAATGCAAAAAGCACACTATTGCATAATACGCAGCAAAAATTGACATGGTAAAAAAAGAAATTTCATTTTCAAAAAGGGAAAATTTAAGCACTTTTTAAAAGCACTCAATGAAAATAAGCACTTTTTAAAAACGCTATGTACCATAGTTTTGTCTAATATGAAGTTAAACTAGTTTTGATTGCTGAAAAATGGGTATTCAAGTTAAACAGTGGATATATATAAAAAAACTTAACAGCCACAATGAAAGTAAAGTCCCATAGCATATGTCCAATAGCAAATGAGGAATTAATAATTAAAATTCATATCATATGTAATGAAAATGAAATCTTCAATATAGTTAAATGAATAAAATAAATTACATCTTTGAGGTCCCGGTTCATCTGTTCCATCATGATCCATTGCCTCATAGTCTTGCAATTCTTCTCTGGCAGTGCCATCTATAAAACAACATTTCTATTTTAATAACTTTGCAAATAACAAAACATGTTTTAAATCATAAAAATACAATCCTAACACAAGTACATAAAAACAAAGAGTTTGAAAAAAAGTTCTCTTTTTGAGTTTAAACCAGGATTTTTTGGCTTACTTAAAAGAAAAGGCAAAATAATAATTTGAGCTCTAAATTAAAAGTATTCTATTGTATGGTATAATCATGATAATTAATATAATAATATTAATATTATCAATAATATACAATTAAAAAATAACCACTTTCCTTCCACAAACATGGAAGTTTACCCTAAACATAACTTAATTTCCTTCCATTTGTAAATAATGAGTAACCCCTTTGTTTGTCAGTATAGATGAAAGTCTCATACTTTAGAATTTAACACCATTAATTAACTGCATTCAGTTTACAACAAACAGTTACAATCATATTTAATTATTAAAATTATCATGCTGTTTTTACAATTAATACAAACTTTAAGGAGAGAATGGAAAATTTAAGGTAATATATTTTCAAATCAAACAAATTTGAAAATATTAGAATAAAAGTAAAGGTATATTTTACTACTTATGATTTTTGTCATTTTCTTAACACAATGCTGCATTATAGCATATCAATATTGCAGCATTAAATAATATACTAAGATAAAATTTTTCATGAATTTTAAATATTGTCAATATATTTTAATTATGCACTTTTATATAGGCATTGTATTTTGAAAATATTAGAATCAATAAAATTATAGCGCACACAGGCAACAATAGTTAGTTTAAGCTGATAACAGAAAACATTCTAAAAATAAAATATGAAATGCAGAAAAGTACTCCATTCCCATTTATGCTTTTGATTGTAGCAAGCATAATGAATGTATGCTTGCTACATATAAAAAGCACAACTAACAAAGCACAAGCTATGGATAGAAATTTTATAATATATGGTATTTTTAATTGAAATATGTTTAAATTACATTCATTTAAACATAAAAAGTTTAATGAATTAAAAATATTTTATTTAAGAAGCAAAATGATGTGTACATGCACCATTTGACAAATCAATTGACAAACCATCTAGTTGAATGTTAGTTATTTAAGAAATTTGATTTCACTTCATTCTATTTACAGAACTTGCAACTTTAATACATCATAGCATATGAATAATCTGAAATTGAATAATTAAACAGTTTCAAAAATTTGTAGTTGCCAATAACCATTTCAAGTTGAGAAACTAGAATAGTTAAAAAAAATTTCTCAACAGAAAGTGTTTATTCCAATTCAAATACTAGCGTTTATAGATGTCTTCAAAACCCTTAACAATAGCAGAAAAATAAAATTAGTGAGAAATAACAGTGTTAATAAAAAAATATTTACTGAAATGTTGTCTTGATGCCTCTTTCACCAAAAAATAGATAAGAAAACATACAAACTTTGGAACTTAATTGTTTTTTTAATTGCATTTTTTTTTTTTTTGTTGATAATTTTAAAAATTTATCTGAACATAGGAATGATGATGATCTATATTATTTAAAAGAATTATTAGGGGCAATGCAACTTGACATAAAATTTATTCATGTTAATTACTTTATAATTATGTTCTTGCAAAAATTACCGTCTAACTTTTAGCAATGAAAAACTAATATTTAAAAGATTTTTATGGGAAAATTTATTATTTTTTTCTATTTTTATAGGTATAAATCACATTGGTTTAAACCAAAAAAAAACATGTAAAAAGTTTTTGATTTCCATGGAGAAAATAAAAAGAAAGAAAAAAACTAACTCATATCATATATAAAAACTAATTATATAAGATACATAAAAAAAACTACATTCATTCTTAACCACAGAGTTATGATATTTATTTTGAATTCTTTCAACAAAAATCAAAATGACTTACCACCACCAAATCCTCTGCCTTTTCGTTTCTTCACTTTTTCTTTTAATTTTTGAACACTTTCTGCCAAGAATAAAAATTACAAAATTTAACACACAGAAATATAACTATATAACATTATTCAAAACATATATTTAAGGAGTCAATTTTTGACATTCTCAATTTAGATTGATTCTACTGTAAATCCACATCGTCTACAGATTTTTTTTCCCGGCAGTTGTTGTCATTTCTTGACTATTCCCTCACAATTTTTTCAATTCTGATGTAATTTATATGACGTCATAGCTAAGGAATTTCATATTTTAATACTAACTTTTTCAAATGTTTGATTCGCAACAATAAATTTCAATAATTTTTAATAAGTCCACATCATTTTTCTAAATTGCTTTTTAGGCAATTATTACAATTATTTATCATTTTTCAATTAATTTTGACATAAATTTTAAAAATTCAGATATGTTTAAAAGTTAATATTATGACGAGCAACATTTCCAAAATTTGAATCTGAGGAATTAGTTAAAATTATCTTTAAAAAAAGCTAAGATTTTTTTTAATGATAAAATTAAAAACTTTGTATATTTTAGGTGTCTGAAAAATAATACAAATATTTACGAACAATGCCCTTTCTTAGGGGGAAATAGTGCCCTTTTTAGCTTCTAACACCCTGCCCTTTTAAGGTCTAAAATGAACACTGCAGATGCAAAGTTCTTGTTATTCATCTTTCACTTTGGCTGATAGTTGTACATTCGTTTATTGCTGAAAAAGAAAATGGCAATGGATGACAGGATTGGAACAAAGTTTAAACAGCAATTTTAGTAACAAATAATATGACCATGTTGCAATAAAGAAGAATATTTCCTTTTGTAAAAGTTTATTTTATTTTTGTAACAAAACAAAAATTAACCTGCAGCAGTGGCTGTATTAATCCTAATGTTGTGGGCTTTACAGTTTTATTATAAAAAATCAGTGATTCTGCTTATTTGGTCAAATATAGCAAAAATGTTGAGATGCAAAAAATAATTTGAGGCATGATTCTTTAACGAGGGAAAAAATAATGTGTCTGCCGATTTATGTGAGCAAAACTATAACACTCTAAATACACATAAAAAATTCTTTTCTTTCATAATTAATAATTGAAGGAGATAATAAGAATAATTCTGAGTCTTTTCCTTGGTGCATGTGTTTAATCAATCCTAATTAAAAGCTTCAATAGTTCAAATAAAATATCTTGATTTTAAATTGTCTGTTTCATCGATCAATAAAATAAATAATATTATGAATGAGAATATTAATAAATGGGTAAAGAGGTTGATTGAGAATGAAAATTCATATTTTAAATAGGGACCTACTTTTAGTAAAAACTATGTGAGAACATGGTCTGTATCATTTTTATAGAATTTTTTGAGACATATCGCATTCATAAACAGTCTCACTGTAGCAATAACTCAAATTTAAAAAGATTTTTAAAGAAAAATTTGCCATTATTCAATTGGTATAAATAAATTACATGCATTCAGTAAATAACTAAAACAAAAACCTAAGATTTGTATTTTGTTAATAATAACAAAACTCAGTTCGCTTCGTTTAGTTAAACCAGCACATATGTTGAAACCAGTCACCTATGATCCAAAACGCTTGAAAAAGTCATAACTCCGTACAACCACGACTCACTTTACTTATTCTTATATTTTTAACATGAATTCAAATTGATGGCTTTAGGTATTCCATCTTAAAAGGTAACCTTGCCCTTATCTTTCTTTAACATTCATGCTTAAGGATACTTACATTAGTGTTATTATAATTCCTAACTTTAACAATTAATTAATTTAAGAAATAAGTGCGCTTTACCTAATTCATAAATTTGAGGAAACCCGTAAGCAAATCACAGTACTCGTACGTACTTATTTTGATATTTTCATTAAACAACGTAAGCCACAGAAAAAAAAAAGGAAAAAAAAGAGTTATTCAGCTGTTTCTTTAAAAGGACAATGTTTGTTGCACAAGAAGAAAATAACATAACCTATACATCACATGTAAATATTATTTTATTGCATGAAAAATTATGTTTTACCTTACAGATATCCATTGCAACTAAATGATTGAACTGAATTTAATATTATTGAAAAATTAAAACAATACTAGTAGGAAAATGTCCCCATAACTGGCTTAAGAATATGTCGTAATTTTTAAAACGAAAGAAAAAAAGGACTACTTACGATCTCCTTCAACATCAACTGGGAACTCTTCACCACCTTCGTCAATATCTATAACATCCGATGAGATAGACATTTTTAAAGATCGATACAATTTAAAAACTATATTAACTTCACCTACTTAAAACGTTTGTTTTCATAAATACGGCGAATTGGAATTGAAGTTACAGTTAAGGAATACACTTTGTTACAGTTGCAGTGAACATTTTTTAAAAATAACTTTCCTTTATTTTATACTTTTGTACTAAGCTATAAGCAACTAAGTAGTTTTCATAGAAAACTCGTCGGATAAGTCCTTGCATAAGCAAAAAAAGAAAAGTTTCGAATTTCAAACAGGATTTTTGTTTTACAATCGTCATCTGTAATATTCTCCGCCATCATTTCTAACAATTTTCTTCTCTAGTTTTCTCAAAGGAAACAAAATGAGTTCAAAATCACTTTCAGAAGACGAATATAAAAATCTCTTTGAAATATGCCAATCAAATTTATCAAATTCCTATTGTCCTTATAGCAAATTTTCTGTTTCTGCTGCGATTTTAAGTGAAGATGATCGAGTATTTACAGGTAACTTACTGTACGATTACTTTTATTTGAATTTTTGTAGGAAATTTATTCACCAGTACTATTTCATTTTTTTTCATGTTAGTTAAAAACTCGTATGAACGAAATAATTAAATAAATGTAATTAATTTAATTAAACCATTAATTAATTTGAACTTAAAATTAATTAAATTACATTGAAAAATTAATTACTTTTTACATTTATACGAGTGTTCTTGGTAGTGTTCTCGAATATTTCATATATTATATATATTTTCCAGTTGAATCAGATTTTCACCATTATTTTGTATAGTAGGTATTAGAAAAAATTTATAAATCATTCAAAGGCTTCGAAATAATAAAAAAAACCTTATCATAGAGTAGTTTTCAAAGATAGGAAATTGTGTTTGTTAATTTTAGTAATTGTATCCTTTGAATTACAAGGAGATAACTTTATCTTTTTAAAAAATGATTTTAATGAGATCCAAATATATTATAGTCTATTATCTATTTCTGATTTAAAATATTTACTGATAATTTTGTATGAAGAAGCTATATATATGAAGATTTAGCATCTTTTTATGTGCTGTGGCATTGCCAGGATTTTGTTTAAGTTGAGACCTAACATTAGCTTCAGAGGTTTATAAATATTTTAAAGAAAATGAGATAAATAAGCTTCAAACTATTATGGATAAGCATTAGGTTTTTCAATTTTTTAAAACATTCCATAAAAAACTCTTGATATAAATTTTATTAAGTAATTACAAGTAATATTTATAAATCCTTTTTCTTTACTGTTTTTTTTATTGATAAATATAATTTTGCAGCTAATAAAATGAATTCTTCTAGGTGTTAACATTGAAAATGCATCTTATGGTTTGACAATATGTGCTGAAAGATCTGCTATAGCCAAAGCTGTCACTGATGGTTGCCAAAAGTTTAAAGCAATAGTAATAGTATGCGGGTAACTTTTCTTTGCACATAGTATCGAATTTTAAGGTGAAGTTTTAATGTATACAGAGATTAATGTAATAATGAATGCAAAGATAATAGTAGTGGGTAATTTTTCTTCGCACATCGTATTGAATTTTTAGGTGAAGGTTTTATGTATAAGTATGCGGAGATGTTCACAAATTAAAAAAAACACCCATCATTTTAAAATTGAGCATTTTGTTTTAAACCTACCAAATTAATTAATTATCACTCACATACACATATATATTTGCCATTTATATATTTAGTTTCCAATTTATTTTTCGTTCAAGTTACATTTTCCACATATTTTTATATAATTGGTTCTTCGAATGTGAATAATATGTTGTAGTAAAAATCTAACTTTCTAAATGCAATAATGAAAACTACTCGTATTATTCAATGAGAAACTAGTGTGTGACAAACAAAGTTCCTATCTGTTTTGCCTAGAACCTTATGTTTGGAAGGTTAGTTTAGTTCAATTGACTTTGTAAGTTACAGTATTAATTTAAATATAGCATAAAATTGTTTATTGCTAAAACTTATTTATGCAATATTTAAGGCTTAGTCACTACTCACAATTAAACTTGTAAGCTCCAAAAAGATCTCCATGAAGTAAACTTTTCACTCCGCTTTTAAAAAATTGCATGAATAATGCGCTTAAATAATAGGTGAAGATGAGACAAATATATATCAGTGACTCCGCTTACCCGCTATAGTGCATCAAATACGTCAAAAACCATAGACTCGATGCAAAAATAAAGTCACGGCTCATGGGGTGCAAAAAAAGTACAATTTACATGGTCGTAAAAAGAAAAAGCACCACAGAATTGCTTTGATCTGGTAAAAATTAACCACTATACTATGCTTACCTGCTATAGTGCATCAACATTGTCAAAAACCGTAGATTGGACACAAAAATGAAGTTGTGACTCTTCTCATAGGGTGTGTCATTTTCAGCAGAAAAGTACACTTTACATAGTCAGGGAAAAAAATAGAAGGACAACAGAATTGCACAGAATACCAAAGCCTTTTATTTTAAATTACAATTTTAAAAATATTTATTTTTTTACTACCCAAGAACAACTGTATAAAATAGATTTAAGATCTTTACTATTTGAAAATATAATGTACATAATAGAATTAACTTATATTTAAGTCCATTTGCAATTGTTAGTGCAATATAGTTTTTGAATTCTATTTCCCTTCATTGATAATAAAATTTTTTAGTTACAGAGTTTTTTTTAGCTATGCTATAAGCATATTTCTAATTACAATTGGTGCTATTTTTTTTATTCATATTCAACTAATATAAAACATTTTATTTACTACTAAAAATGAGAATTGTTATGTTGGTACAGAAATAGTTAACATTGATTTGTACAAAAGCATTTTTCCGATTTATCAAAAACTTAGAAAATGCATAGTAAATAATTTTTGATAAATGCATTATTCAACTATTATTGCTGAACAGTTAGTCGTTTTAAAAGTAAAGATATATGACGTGAACTGTCAGAACCGTTTGTGTAATTATTTTTTCCCCATTTTGTCGGAATACTGTAAAATTACTATTTTTAAGCCAACATATTTAGTAAAATCTTTTTTGCTGTATTACTAAGATATCATATTAGTTATGAAGATAATTTTTCCATACGTAATTTATATAATTTTCAAATGAAATACTTGATGTGTGAAAACAGTGAATAAGTTCTTTCCTTTTTGCATTGAATGAGTTGATTATTTTCTAATAATTATATTTTCACTGAAATATGTATAAATTAATCTACTTCAAGGATTACTAACTTAATAGTAAAAAAAATTGTGTACTTCTTTCAGCAAATGAATTGTTATTTTTCTAATTGAATGGATTTACATTATATATATTTTTTTCTTAACATAGTTAGACAGATTTTAATATACAGATACTATTTAATATACTTTCTCACAAGGCTTTAAACATAAAATTTCTTTGAGTCTTGAATTTTAATGTTGATTTAAAGGTTGTAAGCTACAATTAAAAATGTCTAGATGATGCAAAAGCACTTGAGACTAGTTATTTATTGATGTCGAGGAACATCACCAGAACAATAAAAAAAGCTTTTGATTATGCAATATTTTTATATCTCCATTGTGACATAATTTATACAGCAATAAATTTTCGAATGTTATCTTTTTGACATAATTTACTGTTTTTTCAGCTCTAAGAGTGATGAATACATTGGACCTTGTGGAGCATGCAGGCAAGTTCTGGTGGAGGTAAATCATAGAAGGAATTAATTCCACTGCATAATTAACTATCTTCTAAATCTCTATAATATTTTCTTAAATAAACCAAGCAATAATTGGGATCTTTATAGTGTTAAAACAATTAATTTGTTTCTCACACAGCAGTGTGTTATTAAAATATAAAATAATTTCATTTTTAAATTTTAATAATATACCACTATGTAATAAACCAAAGTAATTTTCCCTTGCTACTACCTTTATCTGAAATACTGGATTGTTATTACAAAAAATGCTCTGCATTGTTGTAATTAATGCATAGTTTATGCATTATCATTAATTGACTAGTACAATTTTTTTTCTTTTTCATGTAAAGCATTAAGTGTAAATTTTAGTTTTTTTTTCTCCATTTATTTCATATTTACTATTTCTTTAATCAAAATAAATACATGTTATTTGATTTCTTTTTATCATAATACAATTAGAATGATAAAAAGAATCTGATACCATTGCCTAATGCTTTATTTATTTATTTTTCTATAAAAGGTAACATAAAACTAAGACTTATAATTTTCAGAAAAAAATAATTTCAATTATAACAGTACTGTGAAAGAATAAACTCAAATATTAAATTAACCCAGCAGTTTATTAGTGATCCAGAAATATTTTCTTTTACTTAATTGATTGTAAATTAGCTAATTTTTTCCCCATTAAAATATTCATTTTTTCCTAAAATCATGTATTTTATGAATGCTATGAACTCTTATTAAACAAAGCTATTTTAGTTCTTATTAAACACTATTTTAAGGAAAGAATTCTGCATACATAATTTTTATAAGGTTTCAGTTTTCAAGTTTAGATTTTTTTTATTTTTATTTCTGCAACATATATGATTTTTGTTAAATTTAAGGAGATTACCTTAAGTATGTTTCCATGTTTAGAAAATTTTTTAATTTTATGAATATTCATTAATTATTAAAGCTGTAAATGTTAAACTAAACTCTAAAATTTTCTGCTTAAAATATACCTATCTTTTTATTGTTTTCTGGTTAAAATATATTAAGTTTGTTTAATTTTGTTTCAGTTTGGCACAGATTGGGATGTTTATTTGACCAAATCAGATGGTACATACACTAAATGTACTGTTGGGGATCTTCTGCCATTTGCATTTGTACCAGAATCTTTAAGAAAAAGTTATAACCATTAGCAAGTTTATTTATTAATGATTTCTGCCATTTGAAGTATATTTTATATACAGACTTGAATAAAAACAAATATTTTTATAAAGTAACAAAGTATTATTTATTTTTTATAGCATTATTTACATATAAGTCACCACTCTAATAGTATTATCACAGTAGAGGATGCAAATTAGAAGTACTATGTACAATTTTCATGGCTAGGATTGACTTTTGAGATTTCACCAAAATGGGCACCTAAAGATACAAGTATAGCAAAGTTTATTTTAAGACAAATTTGTAACATAACATAAAAATATGTTGTAATAAGCATCTAAAATAAATTAATTTATATTTTCTGAACTACATTGAAGAAGCATATTATTTACTACTAGAGCATTTTTAATTAATTGAAGCACAGTAATCTAAATGTTCTAGTAAATACACATTATGTTATAAATAATAGCTTATTTCTAATCTCTTAATTTGTATAAAAAAAAGGAATTTTATAAGAGAATTTGAAAATTTCTAAGCAAGTTAATATAAGTAATTAATAATAAAATCACATGACACAGAACACTTCAGAAATATTAGGATAAAAGCTTTGAAGATCTAGATAAAAATTTTACAATACATTATTGGATCAGCAACTATATGATACAATAGAACAGAGTAAAAAATAAAAATTCAATTATAATTACTAAGTAACTTTTAATAGTTTGACTAATTTTATTTTTTTGTAACAACATGCAAAAAAGAAGTAAAATGTAATATTTTCCAAAAACTGTATGCAATCAATTGGTTTTATGGTTAAAAACGATTTTTTTTATAAGTTATGTATTTCAAAATAATTTGAAAAAAGAAAAAAAAAACTGCTACAGAATGATGAATTATACAAAAAGAATATATATAAATTACTTGCTGCAGTAATTAAAAGAATATAATTAAAATTACTGCTACAGTGTGATGAATTGAACAAAAGAATAGAAAATAGTGTATAAATATTTGTTATCAACTTTTTAAATGAATCTTAATCAAATTGTACTAAGATACAAATTTTAAAAGCAACAGCCTTTACAGCAGTTTTGAAAAAGATGATTATGGTGTTTGTAAGAAACACCATAATCATCTTTTGGTTATTGCATAAATATTTATGCAATAATAAATATTTATATCTTTGTGCTGCACCAGTTTTTTTCCTATTCTGAACAAGAATATATTTTACTTAATCCTTCAAATTTTTGTTGAAATTCATTATTTTGTAAACATTTTTTTTTTTCATAAACAAACACTGAACAAAAAAATCTATTTAATTAAATGATTCTTTGAGAAGATCAAAAACTTTGAAAAGATCAAAAAGTCAGAGCTAAAACATAAAACCAAAGAGACAGTTTTAAATCCTAAATTCCAATTATGATTTCTATTTAGTAGTTTTGGGAATTTTTTTCTCTATTATTGTCACACATAATTTTATAATTTAAAATCAATTATTAATTATGTTAAACAAAAATCGAATTTCATCAATCAATTTTGGTACAATAATTAAATAATGCTTTTGAACATTATTTAATTAACTGCTAATAAAACTGACTTTCCGATACTTGTGCAAGTGAAAAAAGTTTTGAGAATTCCAGCGTACTGCTTCGCCATTTGATAATATAAATTTACATTTAGCATTTTTTTCTTCTTCATAAGGAGGAATTTGAAATGAACTATCAAGTTATAATGTTAGCATAGAAATGCATATTTTTATTTAATTAAACAGTTTTACTTTTAAAGTTGCACAAGTTTTCCAAAACTTTAAGATAATTAAAAGCAATTATGAGAGTAAGATTATTAGATTACTTGAAAAACTGTAAAAAATTTTGAGTTAAAATTTTCAACTTTTTACACTTATAACAAGTAGCTAAAAATGTTCTCAAAATTAAAATGAATTTAGAAAATCAAATATAACAATAATTTTTTAATTTAAAAAGAAATTGAATTTCTTACCATCCAATATAGCTTTGGCACAAATTTTCATGTGAGGTAGCTTGTCGAATGAGTAAATCGACTTGTTCATCAATTTCTAAAATCCTGCCAGGATCAAAATCTCGACCTGCAAATAGATATGGCACAGTAGATATTTAATCAAAATATTCCTGCAAATGCCAGACTAATAAAAGAATGAATACATATAATCTACCTGTTAACTTGTCCTGTACTCTATTAATAATCTGAACTGCTTTTTCATTTAATGCTTCTGGCTTATTGTACCAAGAATCTAAAACAAAGCAATGCATGTGCAATGAATCGGAAACTTAAAACACAATTTGTTTTTCATATATTTTTTTATAAAATGTTTTCCACTTTTTTTGCAAAGGTGAAAAAAAAAAGCTCACAGTTTTAAAGCCTTAAATTTGAAGTAAGGTTATAATTTTATAGTTTGCAAACCATCATGCTGGAAAGAATGGATTAGACTTAAAAACAAAGTTGCCAATATTTGAAGAATAGTAAGAGAACCATTTAAAAAAATTAAGAAGAGCATTTTGTCCTTTTTGTAAACTTAAGTGAAATAATTAAATAGCAAAATAAAACTCAATTTATAAATAAAAATTAAATCAGGGTTGCCATTCAAATCTGAAAAAAAAAAGTTCCCTGTATATATTATACACAATATATTAGGAGGAAATATAAAATCACTGTGCAAATGTGTGAGCTATATTAGGATAACTAATACTAGTTTTAATTGGTCATCATTGTTAATCACATTGGTTTTATGAAAAAGAGAGAGTCCACAGATATATAAAACAATAGTTACTTTTATTTAAGGAATAATTTTATAATGGCCATATAAAATTAAATAAATAAAAAAAAGTATCAAACAAAGATGCCGGAGAAATTTTTGTAAATTAATAACAGTAGCACTTGGGGGGCTATTCGGAATCAAAAACCCCCATACCTAACATCTAGAATTTCTAATTAAAAGTGACTGCATGGTTCTTAACAGACACCTATGAGCATGGGAAAAAATCCATAGTTGGCGATTTATCCTACGATAAAAAAAGCCAAACACAAAGCCAATCCCAACGTTATTAATTTAACCCTGTAACAGAAACTTTTTTGTTGTTGGAGAAATAAAGTAGCTTATAAAATTAAGAGTTAAAAATGGATTTTGATATTTAATTTAGTCGCAACAGTGAATTAAGGAGTTATACGTTTGTATTGAACTAAAAAAGTTAGCTGTTATGTTGATTGTTAAGAAGATAATAAAAAGTTTATAATTGCTTTTTATAAAATGTAATAAAAGATAAACAATTGGTTTATTTTAATTAAAGTTTGATTAAGGATGATTAAAAACATGGAATTTTATAAGATTAAAGAAATTTTAAAAGCTAGGAAATAGGTAATGCATTAAAATATATCATTAGTGCAATGAAAGAAATTCTTTTACACAGAGACTGTATTGCACAACCTAAAGGAGAGAAATTCGTTTTTACTCCCCTTTTAAAACCTTGTTTCTCTTTAAAAATCTTTCTTTAAAGGTGCAGAATTTTTAATTTTTCATAAAAATGAAAAAACTCAATAGTGCAGAAATTATTTGATTTTCGGTATTGCTTATGTGAGTAGATAATCAGCAAAAGCATGTTCCCTGCTTCCCTTACCAAGGTCAGTGGAGCAGAAAAACGGCAGGTGGAGAGGAGCACTTATAATTCTTCTTTGACTTTTCACAGATTTCCCAGTTGCTTTACCCCGTAACCAGAGCCGGATTATACCTTTCGTAGGCCCTAGGCACAGCCGTTTTCGGGGCCCTTCCCCCACTCCTCCCCTCTTTTCAAAATATATGCTAAAATTTTCTTGCATATTTTTTTTAGCATTTTTATTAATATGGATTTTAATTTGCAAATTTGTTTATCAAACTTTATCTGCAATACCGACATACTGCCTATATTGCAGTTGATATCGATAATACGTACTATTATGATTAGTTCGATCGATAACTGTGTAAAGGTAAACACTTCACGTCAACAATACAACAACAAACCAGCAAAGAAAACAGTGAAATTGATAGTGAGATTAATTACAAGAAATAATTATACTACAAATAGCTTCATAGTTTTCATGATACTACTATGATAAGTCAGTGAAGGAAATTAACATTGTCAAAAGTAAATCTTTTGACATTATTTATAAATAAATTTGCAAGGTAGGTTAAATGTTTACTAATAGAAAAAAAATGATTTAATACTATTTTCATAAAATGTTAGTCACGTTTTGTCAGGAACGTATTACGCCATTTTAGATGTATTAATTTCAGAAATGACTAAAAGGCGTAAAGCTTACAGTGATTTGTACGATAATTTCGGTTTTCTTGTTCACAAAAATTTGTCAGAATCTGAGATAAAACTAGAAGCGCAAAATTTGGTGAAAATTTACTCATCCGATTTAGAGGAAAACTTTGTAGATGAATTTTTACTATTTTCAAATTTGTATGAACATAAATCTGCACAAGAAATGTTGAAGGCTCAAATTAAAGATAAACTTGTGAATACTTTTCCTAACGTTCACATTGCATTAAGAATATATTTGTCGATTCTTGGATCAAATGCAGAAGGAGAAAGATCTTTCTCCAGATTAAAATTGATAAAAAATTATTTGCGTTCAACAATGAATCAAGATCGTTTGGCATCGCTCGCACTTATGTCTATTGAATACGACATTTTGCGTAGTTTGGAATTCGACAGCATAATACAAGATTTCGTTGAATCCAAAAATCGCAAAAAAGTAATATATTAGATCATAAGATTCTGCAAAATAATTTATTACCGAAAAATATTATATTTTTATTTGTATCTTCATAATTTTGTGCAAAATACACTTGTTGTTTTTAAAGCTAAATTATTTTTGTCAACAAATTTTTTTCTCCCAAGTTTTTCGTAGGCCCCTGAATTTCGTAGGCCCTAGGCACGTGCCTAGTGTGCCTATAGGTTAATCCGGCCCTGCCCGTAACATATCAAAATAGCATGTTATTGAATATGACTTCATATGACAAAATAGACTTAAAAAATTTTGTTTCTTTTGGTGCAGAATCACAACAAGATAATTGTATAGAAAAAAAAGGTTCTCCTTCAAATCCATACATTTAAGTTCCGCAGAACTAAATGTTACAAAAGAAACGCTTTGAAGAAAATTAGAAATATTGCAAACAAGTTCAACATCAATGTGTAACTCACCAATGGGAGTGTCTGTTTTCTTTGAATCTGCCTGAGATTGCACTTCTACTTCCAATATATCTATTTAAAATGAAAGAATAAGGATTTGCAATTAATAAGTAAATCAAATATACATAAAATAGCAAATAAATAAATCAAATATATTATAAGTAAATTAAATATACATGCAAGAGAATTACTTATAGTAATTGAAAGTGGAAGGAGAGTATGAGAAAACGACTTCTAAACATTTTATACATAAAACCAATCAAGTGCATAGCCAAATCTTTCAACAAAAAATAAGCACCTATTAAGTACTTTTTAAGCACTCAAAAAACATTTTTAAGCACTATATACATTAAAAAAAAGGCAAAATAATTTTCAAAGACTTTACACAATCATGATAAGATAACTAGTTTTCAACAAAAAACTCATTTCTTGATTATATTAGCCATTAAAAAAATGATCAAGGGATTTTTTGGTTCAATTTTATAGGGTGAAAAATGAAGCTTGAAATTGAGAATATCTTTCAAAATGCAGCAGAGTTGCACAGGAGAGTGCAATAATCTCACTAAACTCAGCTCACTATACACACATGCGGACTTGCAAGTATTTCATTCAACCAGTAAAATGATAGGCGCTTTAATACGCTATGGACCAACAGTACGCTGAAATTGATTGTGGTTGAGCGAATTGTGAAAACGTTGAATAGACAATTTGAAAAAAGCACGCTTTTGCATATTACGAGGTGAAAATCGACATGGTAAAGAAGACAAAAAAATCTCATTTTAGAAAAGGGAAAATTAAGCACTCTTTAAAAACACCCAATGAAAAAAGCCCCCTTTTAAAAACACTATGCACTATGTAACATTTGACTAGGTTAGAAGCATTGCATATATTCTTTTGTTCTTTGAGAAATGTGATAATAACTACCCACAAAAAAAAGCACCAGCAAATTTTATATAGGTTAAAGGCAAAACAAATTATGTATCAGACAAAAGCTACTTCAGGCCATTTCTTTTCTTGAATTTGTCATGTTATAAGTTTTTTATTCCAACTAATTCTAGTAGGAACAATGTTGTAAAAAAAAAGCATTTTTTTTTCAGAAAAATTCAACCCACTAGGTTTTTTTCAGGGTTTAACTGAGATTTTTTCAAACCAAAATAAAGTTTTTCATAATTTTCTTATTCTTTAGAGTCGTAGATTAAGCCTCGTTGCATCATAATTACCATTTAATTTAATTAATTAAGCTATTAATAACCATAACTATTAACACATTTTATAACAATGTTATTTCATAAGTTAGTAATATTTTGAATGGCAATAAAATTGTCTAATTAATTTCAAAAAATTTACTTATTCTATTTTAGAATTATGGAAACTATTAAATGTTTAAGTGAAGGAATAAATTATTCATTTCAATTCAAATGAAAGAACAATTTTAAAGTAATTTTTAACAAAAAAAATGTATTTATGCAATGGTGCATTGCATTACTTTTCCAACTGTGTTATTGTGCCTCGTGTTATGAACAGTGAAAGATAGCTTTGAGAATAAGCATCAGTTTATCAACAGGGATCAAGAACCAGAATTCTAGAACAAGTATTTAACCAGTTGAAAGGTGTGATATTTTAAAAGTATAATTTAAAACTGTATGTAATAAGACTCACACGTCGGGAAAATAGCAATTAAAATGCTCTTTTATAGATAAATTATTTCTCATTTCATCGAATTGTGATTCTAAAAATATTATATATTGAAGCATGTTATAACAGTAGTTTAAATAGTAATTTGAATTAACATTTCAATTTTTGAGAATATCTTAGTACATAATTTGCAATTTCTAATAATATATATTTTTAAAAAGGTTAATTAAAAAATTTTAAAGTACAGAATATAGAAGATATGGAAATATAAATATTTCAGTGTATACAATTTGTATTTTATCATAGTATAATAAACTTAATATCAACACACAACATTTTAAATTATTTTCTTGTCATCAGGCATTCAAATCATTAAGTTCATATATTTTCAAAACATTTAATTTAGTTAAGATTTTTCAATACTCATACTTAATGTTTATACAATGCTAAATAAAAAAGAATTAAAAGAAAATTAATTGAATTAAAAAAAAAAAAAAAACATTATCAGAACTTAGAGAAAAGAAAAACTATTCTGAAGTTCAATATTTTTTGCTAATTAATTGTTACTTTGTGCTACCACTATGTATAACTTCACATAAAAGCATATTTAGTGCAATAATTAATAAAAGTAAATTTTAAATCTCTCAGACTAACGAAATAAGAGATACTAAAATGAAAAATATAGTAAAGAATTCTGTTTTTATTACCATTTTGATCATGAATCGAAGAAGATGATTCACTTCTGCTCTTTGAATGTTTACCTTTTGGTTGAGCTAAAAATAATAAATAAACTTTAGTGCAAAATGTATACATTTGAGGAAAATTGGTAGCGAGAAGGTAAAAAATTCAAGGAATGCTAAGTTACGATGATAGATTTTCAAAATAGAAACAACTTTTAATGTATTATTTATTTAATTACATAAGTTTATAATCTGTATCTTTTCTTTAAAACGTAAATGTGTTTTGTAACAAAAACTTATAAATGGAACCTAATATATTTTATTTGAACCAGGGCTACTAAAATTAAACCCCAGGCCTTTCCTTTATTCAATATCAAACAATATTTAAAAATATATTTATTAATACATAAATATATGTATGTATAACTAATTATTTTCAAAATTATGTCACTACAAAAAAGAAAACAAGAAAGTAAACATTTAACAATCATCATTAATAACAGAGATCTGTTGATTATTTTAATTACTACAGTAAATGAAAAAAAAATGTTTGCTTGTAAGATTGATAACTCATTATTAGAAATAAATTGAATAGATTGTTTCATAGGTGGTTTTAAAAGAAAAACGATAAATACCATCAATGAGTCTCCAATTCAGCAAAGGATCATAAACAAAGGCTTCTAAAACAGCCATAAGGCTGTCCTTATTGTCTCTCAATACTTTCATAACCTTTTGGCATGTTTTTCGGTATGTTCCTTCAATACCAGTCACCTATTTCACGAATAACAAATAAAAATAAGCTATCTTTTACAATTAAAAAGTAAAATAATACAATATTAAAAAGAAATTATTTTGTGAAATATTACATATAGTTTAATTCTTTGATGGGACTAAGAGACACTACATTGTGTTAAAAAAAATCTTAATTTCTAACAATTACTGTTTTAATTACCTTTAACAAACAGCTTTTCCTTAAAAATTTTCTAACAGTTTTTTAAAAAGTACCTACAATATTAAATGTAAAATGAAAAAATATACTTGTCTATAAATAAAGAATAAATTTAAACTATAATCATAACAGGGATGAGAGTAGTTGGAAAGTAAAAGAGAGGAAATTCATGAATGAATATATATATAAATTTGACAAAAAAGTGCAATTTTTAAACTTGTAAACCATGCGATTATAAATCCCGATGATTAATTTTAAAATTGCATGAATATATAAATATGAATCACATGCATGATTTCAAATTACAAGAATATGAATCACATGCATGATTTTAAATTAAGAGAATATGAATCCCGAAATGAGGCTTTTAAATCACGTGAATATGAAACTCTATATCGAATTTAAAAAATGCGAAAATACAAATCATGATGCGTAATTTTTAGATCACATAAATACGAATCACGATGTATAATTTTTAAATAGCGCGAATACGAATCCCACTGTCTAATTTTCAAAGCACTTATAAATAGGAAAATCGATGTTTGATATTACAACCGCAAAGACGAGACACGACATTGGATTTTAAGCTCGCATGAATACGAATCGCTACATAGGGTTTTAAAAGTGCGTAGTTACAAATCGCGATATTGGATTTTTAAATCTCGTAAATAAGAATCACAATGTACGGCATTTAAATCGCCTGATTAAGAATCGCAACGTTCAACTTTTAAATTAGGCAAATACGAAAATCAACGTTTGAGGGAGGAATGAGGACTTCAATATTTTCACTTCGCGGAAAATTTAATTCCTCATAAAATATTTAAACTTGTGCAAAAAAAATTTTCAGCAGAAATTAGCGGAAAAAATGGAAAAATCTGTAAAAAAGCGGAAATCCGCGAATCCGCGGAAGAATCACATCCCTGTCATAAGAGAGTTGAGTTTATTTAAAAAATGCTTGATAAATGAAAATTATCTCGTGAAATTTGACACATAATGACTTAAAAAGCTCTCTTTCTTAAAAAGTTCTCTTTCAACACATTAAATTCTATTAAAATACAGATTTCTTACGTTTTTGATTTATTTATTTTATGCATTCCTTCAAGTATTATTTCATATAAATGTTCAGATGCATATTTAACTCATGTTTAGCTTCGAGTTAATTTTTTGCTAGTTTCTTTTCGCTAAAATTAAATCAAATGATGCTGTAACATATACAAGCATAACTTGGATATCTTATTTCCTGCAAAATTTATTGAAAGTAAAAGTTGGTCAAATAACTTTTATTAATTTTATAACAAAATATATTAACAGATACAAAAATTCTAAATAATGTTTCAATATTAAAAATGAATGAAACAAAGATAATTTGTTACCAAAGTAAATAGTAGTACTAAATATGCATGCTACAGTTAATTTACAGAAACTTAATCCAAATATTTGTTTTTTTTTATTTTTGAAAAATTATTTAATCATGAAATAAGACACGTGAAAAAATTAACAAGAGAGAGGCATAAGTAAGTTTTTACTTAGTGAACATAAAGAGATTTGAAAGTACAAAACATGAGGATACCATTTGCCTTTCTTTTAACATTAAAGAAAACATATTAGGTTAACATTTTATAATTGAACAACAAAGCAGAAAAAAAAAAAAAAAACAAGCAACAAAAACGATCTTTCATTTTTTGTTAAACTTTCTTAATTAATTATAAAAACAGTTTGAGAGACTTATTTTGTTTTAAAAATGGTTTTTATTTTTAAGAAATTGATAGTTAGGAATGAAGGAAAGTTGTAAATACAGATTATTTTTTCAACAATAATTTTTGTGCAAAAAAACACCTATTATTTAAAAATAATTATAAAAAATTGCAACTAATATTAATAATAAGGGCAATATACATTTAAAGCAATCAGCCTTCATTTGAAATTATTACTATGACTTTACAGTTACTATCAACATATTGACTCAACACCCTAATATGTTCAATTGCGCTTATAATAACTTATATAACTTTGCTACTCGCCAAGATAATATAGAAATGTTGAAATTAACAAAAAAAAAAGCTATTGAACACAAAAATTAAATAACAAATACATTCTTGAAAAAGAAGTAACAAATAGTAGTTTAATTAAACGGATGATTTGAAATTCTTACCTCCATGGCATGTATGAGCATTCTAGTCAAACGGAATGGAATTTTTTCAGGGAATTTATCCCTGGTCATAGCAACTTCAAAGCAATCCCCAAAATCTATATGAAGAATCTTTCCACTCAAGCGATCCAACATCAAATTGGATGGATGTCTGGAAGAAGAAAAAAAGAATTCGGTCAAATTTTTTTAATGGTAAAGAATAAGAAACATGTAATTGCAATACGAAACATGTTATTGGCTGTCAAGAAACATGTTACAAATAATTTTTAGGAAATTAATATGTCTTAAATAAGGGTTAAGTGTCACAATTTTTGAATGTTATTTTCTGTTCTATATGTCTTCAGCTAAAGTTAAATAAATTTACAGTTGTGTAAATTTACAGTAGTAATAAAATCACAGCACAATTTTTACTGCAAACAGTAAAAGCACAATAACAATTAATTGGGCGATCAAGACATCTCCATGCGACAACAGAAGATGTTTTTAAGGTTAGAAGTAAAACTAAATAAGAAAAAGTGACCTAAAAGTCTTATTACAAATTCCAATGACTAATGCCACCAATGATTAACTTCATATGGTGTTCCATATCCACAAAGCAATCAAGAATAATTATTTTGACTGTCTTCAAAATAAAAATTTTGAAGACATTCAAAATTGCCTTCTAAAGCAATTTGAAAAAAAACAGTTTCATACTGTTATTTTATACTTTAATTAATAAGAATTTCAATTATAAAATTTTTTTTTAATGCATCATAACTTAAAATTTTTACAAACTATGAATCATACTAGGATGAAGAGTAAAAAAAAAAAAAAACTCTTAGCCTTGATCTTATCAAAATTTTTACAATTTAGCGTGTCAAAAATATCAACAACTGAAAGCCTGAAAAATATGTATGTTAAATTAATTTTGCAATAAAAATTAATTGATAGGAGCAAGTTTAATGAAAGGCGGAAAATGGCAACTTCAATTTTTAAGCGAATTTAGCAAGATTTTCTGAAATGTGTTAAATAAAATGATGTTTGAAAGAAATTTAGGAAAATTCAAACAAGACTAAAAGCATTTTTATTAAAACCTGTTTTTTTTGGTGCGGCTTAAGTGGAGAAACACAACAATCACATTACAATAAAAAAAAACGATTATCTGATACTCGCTAATACAACACTTCGATTATCCTTTCAACGCGCATTTCTTTATTTTTATCATTACTAAAACCCATTGATCAATGTGCAATTGAGTCAATTAAAAGGTTATATAGAAAAGCAGTTTTACTCAGATTGACCGAAAAATTTAGAAAAATATTCTGAAAAATTTGGAGCAATATTCCTAAGATGCTGTAATTTACATTTAACAAACATTTTAAATTTTGGAAAACATGCAAACGTTTATATATATACATAGGCACAGTACATTATTGCATCTTATATGGTTGCTGACTTCATCTGTATCAATGTTGTTAAAGTTCAAAAATTTCATAAAAAAACATACTTGTGTTTGCAAAAAATAAAAACATTTTTCCTTAAATTAACACTAATTAAAAAATAATTTGAAATTGAAAAAAAAAAAAAAAGAATTGTCACAAAACGAGTCAGTCCCTTTAAAAATATTTAAAAATAATTTTGAGTTTGATTTTTTTTTAAATTTAGCAAAATTTTCTGCAAAATATGTAAACTTTCTGCACACTGTGTGCACACCTAAATTCTGTAAATTTGTTTAATTTCAATTAGCAATGTAGATTTTTTCTTCTTTTAAATTAGCATTGTGTAGATTATTTTTTCATTTAAATTAGCAATGTGTAGATTATTTCATTTAAATTAGCAATGTAAATTATTCCTTTATTTAAATTAGCGATGTAGATTATTCCTTCGTTTAAATTAGCAATGCAGATTTTTCCTTCATTTAAATTAGCAATGTAGATTATTTCTTCATTTAATTTAACAATGTAGATTTTTCCTTCATTTAAATTAGCAATGTAGCTTATTTCATCATTTAAATCAGCAATGTAGATTATTTATTCATTTAAATTAGCAACAAATTTGATGATTTTGATATCAAAATAAAAACAGTACAAAGCAAATAAATCCATAACACAAAAGTCTATATACCTATCTCCTAATCCTAGAACATAACCGACCATAGACATCACTGCTAAAGACCGTGTATAATTGGTTCTCCTGTCAAACCACACCTACAAACATAAGTTTGAAAATCAATGCACATCATTAACTTATTACATTTTAAATAGAAACAACAGAATGAGAACTTAATTGTATACTCTAAACAACATACTTCTGAGCTTGGACTTTTGAGCCACAGGAGTTTCGCTAAATCATCACCTTGGGTGTTTTTCAAAGCATGTTCAAATACTTCTACTTTCTGCATTAGAGTGAGATGGTCATAATCTGGAGCCATCTGGAATACAATAGGTTAGATATTTACATACAATATTTAATAATTGCACAGCCATACATTTTGGAACACTTTAAAATCCCATATATTTGTGATATTTAAATCATTGGCAATATTAGTCAATAATTTTTATATCGTTGATTATTTATTAATGCGATTGAGCATTATTCTAAATTTTCAAGGTGGTAATCGATTGAATTAAGGAAAAATAGTACTAAATAGTACTAGGTTAGATAATAAATAGTTATAGGTTAGAGAGTAAATAGTAATAAGTTAAATATTTACATACAATATTTAATAATTCCACAGCGATATATTTTGGAAAATATCCCATACATTTAGGTTATTTATATCATTGGCAATATTAGTCAATAATTTTTACGTCATTTATTATTCATTAATTGGCTCAGACACTAAATTCAAATTTGTAAAAACAGATTTTTTTTAAAAAAATCAAATTCATAAAAATAACTCTTTTGAAAAATTCATAAAAATAACTCTTTTGAAAAATTCAAAATAATATCAATAGCCCCTTCACAAAATTAAATTTGAAAATTTTATTAATTGAAAACTTTATTCTAGGAATATTAAAACAAATTTGGAGGTGAAACACAAACTATTTTTGCACAAAAATAAATACCTTGGATCTTTCATTTCAGTGATCGATAAGAAAAAAATTATGTAAGTACAGAGATACTTAGCATTTTGATATATTTTTGATAATGGCTTAGAAATTTTTTTTTTATAAACATTAATTATTAAATATTTTGTCTTTTCACAAAATTTAATTTACAAAAATTGACCAAAAGAAAAATAAGTAAATAAAACCTGAATCAATCCCAGTTCACACATATTTTATCACCTTAAATTAATGAATTACCCTTAGCATTATTCGATGTTCAATGTTCAACAGTATTTTCTTCTTTTCTCTGTAATCTCTTATCAAGGTATGGAGAGTATCACAATGAGGAACCCAGCCAATCAAGCCGCTGTTTGTGGACAATGGGATGACAGAATATCGATGGATCCTAAGAAAGTGAGAAAAAAACAATTTAATTCTTGAGGGTCAAGGAGGGTCACAGTCATTAGGTATAAAGGTATCATCTAAAATAATATTCAATTTAATGATGAAATTTGAAAAAAATATGCTCTCTCTCAATAATCGTTGAAACATTTTGAGAAAATATGACTTTTTATTATTACTATGTTTTTGCTTATGACTATTTTGTTGACTATGATCATGCCTTCATGACTTAAAAATATTTCTTAAATCAAAATGAATTAAAAGACGAACAAAATTAATGCTTCATAAAACAATCATTAGGCCTATCTTAACCTATGAATTCGAAACATGGTCTTTAACTAAAACTCAAGCAGGCCTGTTTGCTGTTCTTGAGAGAAAAGTTATGAGAAAATTTTTTAGTGTTATAAATGTGGATGGCTTATGGAGACAACAACGCAATTTTAAACTAGATAGGCTATTCAAGGAGGAGGTGATATCAACAAATACATCAAAATAAGTTGTTTAAAGCTTGCGGGTCACATCTCTGGAATGGATCCTTCTTCCTTGACATTTAAGATCATCAATTAGAAACCAATGAAAACTAGAGCCTGAAATCAGATGGTTTGACTGTGAGGAGGAGGAATTGAAAATCCTAAGAATTACAAGCTGAAGAACAATCACAAAGAAAAGGAGGAAGGTTCTAGGGAAGGCTCTGACCCTCAAAGGGCTGTCTTGAAAGTAGAATACTTTTATTGCCTATGAATTATTTCAAATTTTAATTTCACCGTTACAAACTACATTGTTTAAAAGGATGAAAAAATTACAATTCAATATATTTTGATATTATTAAGTTAAATAACAAATAAATATTAAAAATTATTTTTTGTATAAAAATATCGTGCAAGCAGCTCAAGTGAGAAGAAAGTTTGGATTTGGGTACTTATTTCCAGAGATGTGTTTAACAACTCAAAACATTAAAAACAACGATAAGGTAACCAAATTTTCAGCTGCTATCCCATTTAAACTAGTAGAACCATATTTTCTAAATTACAGCCACTCTCAATATTTTAAGGGTAAAAAATGCAAATCTGTTAAAAAATAGCACATATAACCCTATAAGATTGTGTTGTATTCTGTTAAAATCTGACAATTGAGTCAAAAGTTATTCCAGATCTGCCATTTCATTACATTTACACAATGTACATTGTATAAAAAAAATCAGAACAGAATAACTTTTGATCAAGTCATTTAATTTTCATGTACTAATATGCAATCCTAATAGGTCAAGGGCTAGAGTATAAGATTTATTTTGCACAAATAATATTTCAAGTTCCAAAATCAGACACAAAAACATACTTCCTCAAAATAATCATACCTTTTTTCCCCAATGGATTTGAATTTTTGCTCTTCAAAATAAGAAGGAAGCCGAAATGTGGATGATATAGTCCCAATGGCTTAATAAAGGACATAGAGTTTTATGGTACATAATTTTAAGTAACAGAATCCATAATTTTAGAGAAATACTAGGAATAGTTCTTGAGAAATTTAAACACAGAACTTTTTTGAAATTTCAGTACTCTGAGACTACTTTACTAAATTTTTTTACTTTATTATTAAGAAGTACACAGTATAATATAATAAGGTAAAAATTGGTATACCATATAATTCAAAAGCTTACGAATAATTAAAAAATAATTTGAATATTATGAATAATAGAGCTTGAATAATAAAAGTAATGAATATTTTTAAAAAATATGTTTTGCATGAAATTATTATTAGATAAAAGTTTATATAGTTGTGTAAAAACTTTATAGATTGTAGGAAACTCTGTAATATTGCTCATATTTTGAGGGTGATGAATTTAAATCAATTGAAAATTCAAAAATTTTTATACCTTAGAACAGTGATTCTCAACCTTTTTTTTGTGGCGGCACACTTTTAAAGATTTCGAAATTTGACGGCACACAATGAAAAAAATTAGTTTAAAAGTTGTTTAATTACCTATAATACACTGTGTTAAATAGTTTGTGATAATAATTTTGAATGTGAAATAAAATAATATGTACTACAAAAGCACATTTATTAAGGGATTAATTATTTCTTTCGACTAATTTTTTATTAGTTAGTAACAGTTTTTTTTGCTAGTTATTAATTCTTAGCTTGTTTTCCATAGATATTAACTGTTAGTTTTTTTACATTCATTACTATTATTTGTGATTTCTTGTTAGTTAGTTTTTTGCTAATTATGTTAGCTTATTTTTTTTGCTAGTTAAGTTATCCTTTGTTGATTTGTTTTTATAACTATTAATTGCATAGCTTACTTTATTGATTAGCTTTTATTTTCGCTTGGAAGTTAGTATTTAGCTTTTTTTAGCCTTTGTTAATTAATAATTTTAATAGTCATTAAATTTCCTACTAATTTCAACATTATTTAAAATTGTGTGTCAAAGACAATTTAAACACTTCCTTCTTATTTTAAGATTGTCGCAGACAAGACAATCGCCCACAAAGACATGTGCACGCGGTTAAAGCGTGAAAAAATTATAAAAAGTATATATATAATATTATATATCTATACACTTTTCTTTAGTTTAAACTTTACATGTAATGAAAAGAGTATTAATTTTTATTGTATCATTTCTAATATTTGGCGGCACATTTTAAGAATTTGGCGGCACACAAAAGTGCCGCGGCACAGTGGTTGAGAATCACTGCCTTAGAATATCATCTGCGGAAATTAGAGAAACTACATTTTTGCTTCCAATTTTGAACATAAAACTTCGAAATTAACATTAAGGGGACTGACATTCAAGGGCTCTTAAGAGTAAACTATTACACCACATTTTACAGATTGTAGTTAACTATGTATACAGGGTACATAGCCACATCTTTTCACAAAAAATAAGCACCTTTTAAGTACTTTTTAAGCACTCAAAAGATAATTTTAAGCACTATATATGGCATTAACAAAATGCAAAATAATTTTCAAAGACTTAAATCATCATGATAAAATAAGTAGTTTCTGACAAATAACTCTTTTCTTAATTATATTAGCCACCATAAAAAGATCGAAAGACTTTTCAGTTCGGTTTCAGAGGGTGGAAAATGAAACCTGAATTTGAGAATATCTTGCAAAATGCAGCAGAGTTGCACATAAGAGAGCTAGAATCTCACCGAACCCACTCAATAGATGCACGCGCAGACTCGCAAATATTTAATCAAACATGTAAAATTATCTGCGCTTGCATACGCTACAGACCGATTGTACACCAAAATGGATTGAGGTTGAAATAAATTGTGAAAATGTTTCATTCAACATTGAATAGAACAATGTAAAAATCATACTTTTTGCATAATATGTGATGAGAATCGACATGGTAAAGAAAGAAATCTCACTTTCGCAAAGTGAAAATTAAGCACTTTTAAAAACATCCAATGAAAAAAAGCACTTTTAAAAAACAAAAGAAAAGCACATTTAAGCACTTTTTAAAACGCTATGCACTAGTAAACTATTAAGCCATATTTTACAGATTGTATGCATAATATAGCCAGCCTATATCTCAAGGGCTAATAATCTAAAATCCATCAAAAATTAAAAACATTTTGTACCATAACATATCGTCTGCACAAATTAAGTAATATAAGATAAATCTTTAAGCATTAAGATTATATCTTTATCAGCGAAAATTTGATCGATAGATCAAAAGTTAGCAAAGCGTAAATTACAAAGGTACATCTTTGAAGAGGTCATTAAGAAATGACTCACGTGATATTCCTCCTGGAAGTCTCTGGGTCTTTGGTAAGAAGGGTGTTGACCAGACCAAAAAGCTGCATCACTCGTTCATCTTGTCTAAGATCTTCGTGACCCTTTAAGAGGAAGGTGAAGTCTTTGCCATTACTACCTAAGGACAAGAAGAAAATATACATTTATATTTTGACAACAGTCTTTAACCCAGACATTCTAAAACATGTGGTCACAAAAAATAATAAGTTTCAATTTTATTTTTTTCACGCAAATAAAATATTTTTAGTAGAGAAATATTGCAGAGCCCGTTGTCTAATGGCGTAGCGGCCAAATGACTGGCATTTGTAACTAATACATTAACAGTGTTGCCGTGCTAAATAAAAATTAAACAACAACTTGAAATCAACAAATGCTATTTTTGCCAGCAACAGTTACTTATGTTATAAACAGAGCTGACACACAATAAATTCTACATTTGGAATTAGCATGACAGACCTACATACTTACTTCAAAGTTGCTAAGAAATTTTTGCAAGTAAATATTTTCTAGCCTTAGTTTTCTTTATTATAACCCCTTAAATTAAGAAAGCTATAAAAATAGATGGTCGCGAATCGAGCAGATCAATTCAGAAATGAAACTCAAAATTCACGTGTCATAATATTGTGTTAGTTACAATATTAAAGATCATATGAAAATCTAAGAAATAGCTGGGGGGGGGGGGGTAAAAAACATATATCGACATGAATTTATGATAAAAATCTAATGAGTTTTTTTTTAAATTTTTATTTTAGCTGTATAACCTTAACAACCAAATTTGTTTTTTAAAAAAATCTAAAATCCAGAACTTTCTAAAATCAGGATTTTAGAAGTTATACTGCATTATCAAGATATATAGTCCCTGAAAGAACAATTTACGGAGCCTTCTAATCATTTCAAAAATGAAACTAGAATTAATTACAATAATTCGTTCTTAAAAAAATATATAAATAACATTTTAAAAAAAGGGGGGAAATCTCAATATATGTTGATACCTTTTATAGTAAGTTTCCTAGGGCGCTGTTTACTTGTAATAACTTGAAGAGCACTTTCAACTTTGGCAATTCTTATAATTGGTTTGTTAGGATTATAAGAACCTGGCACAGCGAGCTCTAAATCACGGCACATCAGAAGCTTTGGAGATACATATTGAAGTTCTAGAGATGTCAACTGTGGGGGGAAAAGAAAAAACATTTAGTATTTAAATTTAACCAATTTAAAATGTGTACATTAAAGGAAGAGTTTTGTAAAATACGAAAAAGGCTGAAATTGGAAATCTAAATAGGTTATATGAAAAACACAAAATAAATGGAAAAAAAATAACTAAAATTTGGACAAGAAAAAAGTGTTTGTTTGTGTACAGAGTGCATAGCCAAATCTCTCCACAAGAAATAAGCACCTTTAAAATACTTTCCAAACACTCAAAAATATTTTTAAGTTTTTGTTCACTCACTTGAGGAAGTTGCTTAGCAACTCTCCTGAACACGTGATAATAAGTGTCCCAAGCTTGTGTCAATTCTTTTACATTGCCAGTCCGTTGATACTTTTTGCAGTATTCCTGAGCATCTGCTAACTCCCTTCCATAAGCCTAGAGAATAAAAAAACATGAAATAAAATCAACTTTGAAGTTAAAACTATAATAGATAATTATTTGAGAAGTTTCACAACAAATTAAAAAAAATTTCAGTTTAAAATAATTTATTTTTCATAATAAGAATGTTGTGAATGTTAAATTCTCACTAGGTAATAGAAAAAAGACAGGCTTGTGAACTAGCTCAGGTCTACGATATTGTGTGCATTCATTAATGTGCTTGTGAGAATATATACTTCAATCAGTTATTTTTAACAATAATGATACTGTTTCGTTATTCAACTGTCATCTATCAAAACTATCATCTTGTACAGGGCAATTACACAATACAAAAAAAAAACAAAAATAATAACAAGATAAAAACAATTAATTCATAGAGTTTTTAATTACTTTTGAATAATTCAAAGGCTTATGTAATATGCCACTTTATTACAGTCTAATTGTGTTTAGCCTGTTAAAAAGTTGGCAAAATTGAAAATCTGCAAATTTCAATTTGTAATTTTTTACAGTTTCTTTTATTACAGTATTTTATATATATATACAGTATTACATATACATTATTTTATATATAATTACAGTATTTTATATATATATATATTGTCGCGTCCGGATCAATTGGCATATTTTGGTTAATAGATTATTTTGGGCAGTGCAGTTATTCATCAAAAATTAAAAAAATGACAAAAAATAATCAGAAAATGATTTTCTTAAATAAATAAATAAAATAATAATAAAAGTGGAAAAATATGAATCAAAGGAAGAATCTCTTGCCAGTAAAATTTAATTATGTTCTTAAATAAAGTATTGATTAAAATAAATTTTTTTTAATAATTTAGATAACTTTGAGCAATTATGCATAAGCACGATTTTATGTATCACATCATTTTAAAAAACATTTCTTTAATGGTCAAAGGGCCTTTATGGACTTTCTCATCAGTTCTTTGTTTTTTCGATGGTCTTTTATTAACCTTACTGATCTGTAGTCTGCGCTTTGCAGACTTTTGATCATCAGTGTTGATAGGACAAGAAAGTTCATTTCTCACACAATTTTTAAAGGCCTTAAATTAAGAATCGCGATGTTGGATTTCAAAATCGTGTGAATAAGAATCGCGATGCTTGATTTTAAAATCGCGTGAAAAAGAATCGCGATGCCGGATTTTAAAATCGCGATGTTGGAATTTAAAATAGGGTGAATAAGAATCGCGATGCTGGATTTTAAAATCGCTTGCATAAGAATCACGATGTTGGATTTCAAAATCGCGTGAATAAGAACCACAATGTTTGACTTTAAAATAGCGTGAATAAGAATCACGATATTGAATTTTAATTCACGTGAATAAGAATCACGATATTGAATTTTAATTCACGTGAATAAGAATCACGATATTGGATTTTAAAAGCACGAAAATGCAAATCGCGGTATTGAATTTTTAAATCGCGTAAATAAGAATCACGATGCATAATTTTTAGAGTTCGTGAATACTTATCGCAACGAGTAATGTTTAAACCGCGTATAAATACGAAAATCGATGTTTGATATTACAACCGCGTGATAACGAATCGCAATATTGAAATTTAAAAATATATATGAATACGAATCGCGACATTGGATTTTAAACTAGCGGGAATATGAATCGCGATATTGGGTTTTAAAAACGTTTAAATACAAATCGCGATATTGGGTTTTAAAAACGCTTAAATACAAATCGCGATATTGAATTTTTAAATTGCGTGAATGGGAATTGCGAGTAATGATTTTTAAATCGTGTAAAAACGAATCTCAACAAGTAACTTTTAAATCAGTTAAATACGAAAGTCGATGATTTACATAAAAATCATCTAAGTAAGAATCGCAATTTTAGCAGATTCTGGCCCAGTTCCTAATATTTAAAATTCTGTAAATCAGCCAATCAAATATCAGCGGCCGAAACGAAACTGCTTAGGACTTTTTTTCTTTTTTCCAATCTATAGCGGAAGTGGCGGTTGTCAAGGCTACGGCGTACATGCCGAAATTCTACCCATTTTCTTCTGAAGATCATTTTTTTAGGGGGCTACTCCAGGGGGGGGGGAGTTCGTCACAAGTCCGACTATATCGTTCGTTCGACTCCCCAAAAGTTTTTGGAACATGGTCGGAAATTTTAAAAAGTCTTTCATCCCTGAAAAGATAAGAGAGTAGTGTAGTAGATGACGGCATTGTTTTACCAAGGTCAACCACTTTTACCCCAGCCAGCAGATTGACATGTGAAGAAAGGTTTATTGGGGGCTTCAATACTTTTGCTCCGAGGAAGAAAAAAAATTTTCAACAAAATATCATTTACTGCATAAAAAATTTTTCAGCGCGGAAATTTATGAAAAAAGAGCGGAAGATATGGAAAAATCTGAAAAAAGCGGATCCGCGGAAGAATCACATCCCTGTATAATCTATCTTAATTTGTCTTTCTCTTCAATAAATTAAATTTAATAAAAAATGATTTATTATTTACAAAAAGCTAATTCACAGTATCATTACTGTCCTTGAACAGCCATCCCAATTTTCGGGTTAATGACTACTAATGTTCAACAACATAGCCTTGTAATTTTAAACCCAATCCAGGGACAACGGAACTCCTGGATCGAGTATTGGGAGAAATTTGCTTTCGTGGAGAATTTTTTTGATGGAAGTAGTCTGCATTCGCGTTACATGGAGAGGAAGACCACGAGAACCTTCCACGGTTAGCCTGGCGGCAAGGGGACGCTAACCCATGAACCGTCTACCACTGACGATATTTCATGTCAGCACCCAGATGGGGATTCATATCGTCCAGACATTGCTGGGATTTGAACCCGGTTCACCCCATGGGAAGGCGAACGCTCTCAGAGATGCCAACTGCTCCGGACACGCCAAAATAACTAAAAAAACGGTAAATAACTACAAGGTAAATTTTGCTAACATTTGACTATTTTTACTTGCTTTTTAAAGGTATAGCATGACTCAATTACTTTAATGTGGTTAATTATGTAAGACTACGAATTATTTAGAAATAGTGGTGGATGAAAATCTACTAAATTTAGTTTATTAAATCAGGAATCAAAATGGCTAAACTACCACTTTAAAATACATATTTGCTCTCCGGAGCAAGTTGGCATTTCTGCGCTCTATTCCCTGAGCCTAATTTACTGTATTGTCCTTTTTTAAAGAAGACAAAACATTGGAGTATAATGATACGTACCTGAGTAAAAGATGTCTCCTTCAATGTCTGAGGCCCCTTTTCAATAAGTGCATGAAGAGGTTCCAAAGCTGCAAACATTCCTTTGATATTCCTCTCCCCAAAGTAGAGCCTCGAGGCTTCTTCTAGTCCTTCATGCCACAATTCATGCCAGAGGATAGCCACTCGAATCAGCTCTTCACTCACCTGCACGCATTTAGTCATCTTTACATTTTTATTTTAACACATTCATAAGTTTTTGTTAATTACATTACAAAAAATTTTCGACATATTGCAAAAGAGAAATATTAATGTAAATAAAGATTTCTCTTTTTACAATATTTTAAAATAATATACAGTCAGGGTGCGTAGCCAGATTTTTCAACAAAAAATAAGCACCTTTTAAATACATTTTAAGCACTCCAAAAGTATTTCTCATCACTTTCCAAAAAAATAATAATCATCTAAGGATCTGAGCAGTAATAAAAAGTTCCTAATTTATAAACATAAAATCAATAAAACTTGGAAACATTTTCAGAAACTTTACATAATCAAGATAAAATAAGTAGTTTCTGATAAATATTGCAGAGAAAATTGTAAAAATCATGCATTTTTCGTAATTTAGAATGACAATCAATACCGAAAAAAAAAATCTCTTTTTAATAGATAGAAAATTAAGCACTTTTTACTAACCCCAAATAAAAAAAGCACCCCTAAGGGCTTTTAAAAAAACGGAAATCAAAAATAAGCACCTTTAAGCACTTTTTAAAAACGCTACACACCCTGACCCAATCACTACTCCCAATCATACGTGTTTCACTTTTTCTTTTTTAGTAGTAAATAGAGAGGCATTCATGATGAACAATATAGCATTTAGAATTGAAAATAAAATAAACAATTTCATAGATATGGAACTGCTTAAAGAAATTTGAGAACAACATGCGAGCAAACATTCATGGTCGTAGCCCAAGTGTTCAGAATTAATCAAATAATGGGTCTTTATTTAAAAATTGCAGCTTCAAGTGCAATACCTAAGTAAAAACTAACAATGAAAGGGTGAAAATAGGGAGGCATTCATGAAGAGCAAGAAAACATGAGTCTTTATTTACAGCTGTCGAATTTTTTTATAACGGCAGGATAAAGTTCTAACTTCCATGAATAGAACACCCATCAAAAATTCTTATCCTGAATAATATTGTTACTATTCAAGGCAATGATACCGATAGCAAGTGCAGAAATTTAGTTTTTTCCTTGTGACATAATTTTTCTAAAAAATCAGCAATCTCAAATAAAGAAGAAATGTTGCAACACAAAGAAATAGAACGTAGAGAAATTTTTAAAAAAAATGTGAAGAAAGCTGCTTGCTAAAAGTATATAATAATAGAAATTCAAATTTATCATTTATATCAAAAAATTGCTGATGCGTTTTTTTAATGGGTTTTGAAGATTACCCGCAAATTTCCTTATCCACACTTCATGGTCCACCCAATTCCACGGATAATCAGAAGTTTACTGTATTCATTAATTGAAAATATGCACAAGAAAATCTTGTACTTGAAATTACAGTGTGAAACAAAATGGTACATGAAAATGTGAATGATAGCTCCAAGGAAATCGAAACTAAACACCGTTTTTAAGGAAGAAATAAAGTTTTTAAAACTTTTTAAAAGAAAAAATAATTTTTTATATTCCGTAAAGGAAGAAATAAAGATTAATATTTCCAATTGGTAATAAGATAAATTTCTTCTAACACAAGGCTGTTTTAGATTCGCCTGTTAAAATAAGGGGCTCCTTAAAAAAATTACCAGAAAATAAGAAATTATAAAAAACTTAGGAAAATTAGACGGAGTCTTCAAAAGTTTACAACAGTTCAACAGTTGAAACAAAAATTTATAGTGACTGGCATTTCAATATGGCATAAATTTTTAAAGCTAGGAAATATGTAATGCATAGAGTGGCATGACAATGGTAATCAAGGGGAAAAGTAATTAAATACCTTCCATTTAAAGTGCATAAGATATTGTATTTTCTGAGCACCCATAAAAGTGAGCATTATCGTGCAGCACAACTTCAACTGATAAGTCACAATTCTGGTTATGGACAAATCTTTTCCGTTTCCTCAGAGTTTCCTTATGATAAAACTTAACACTCATCATATTGGGCAGAATTTTTATTGGCAGTGCATATTTTGTACCATTAAAACCAACAAATGTGTGGCAGTAAAATACTTATATTATGACAGCTGGCATTTCATTGAATTCCAGATTATTCAATGTAAAAAAGATGGTTATATTTTAACCATTACTAATAGCACCACAACAGATTAGCATTGCTCTAGTATAATTCTATATATAATAATAAAGGTTTTCAGTTATACAATTTTCGTATAAAAAGAAAAAAAATAGATGAGCAATAAATATTACGTTCAGGCAAATAAAAAGCATAAGTAATAAATGATATTGATTTAAAGCATTATAGTATAGACAGACAAAAATTACAATTGTGCGAGTCATATTTTTTTTGGTGAAAGAACTAAGGGGAAATAAAAACTACTTACACCACTACAACTTAAAAAAAATTTGTAATGACATAAATATGAATGAAACAATAAAATGAGAGTAAATCGATAAATAACAGTAAGTAACTAGAAGACTTCATCTCATCAATAGCAGTTTCCACAGGAAATACTAATCTTTAGTTGAAGGCATTTAACTGATATTCACTATATATTTATTGCTGACTATTGTATAATGAACACTTAAGTTCACAACTCCATACCATTTTAGCTTGTTCAACAAGATTGCCACTATGTTTCATCATACTGTCCAATATTTTGTTAGCAGCATTGTTTCGCGACGGTGTGGTTGATTTTGCAGCTACGGTCAAAGGATATATCAAAGCTTGTGGATGATGTTTTCCAATGTCCATCAGCAACTGGTGAATCACTTCTCCAACTAATTGGCGTGGAGTATCAATACGAGCAATTAACTGAGGTATAACCTAAAGAAAAAAAATTGAAATTAATCATCAAGGTACTGCAAGGTACCCAGGGTGGCCAAGACCCACCTTGGGTTGTTGAGCCATTAATGATGAACAAATGAAAATATTCTCAAAGGGATGATTCTCAGATCATGGGTTAGAATCCCCTTACCCTGGAACTAACCATGGGAGGTTTTAGTGGTTTTCCTCCATGATATGCAAAAGCGGGTTAGTTTCTGTTGGAAATAGTTTGTTGAATCAGTTTATTACGCTTTTACCTTATTCACTATAAAGTGAAACTTAAGTACAAGCTTGTTAACTTTTGTCTAACTCTTTAAATGTTTATTACTAAGAGTAGTATATGTACAACTAAACTTGTGATTGTTCTTTATTTTTAATGGTATGCACAATGCCCAGGATGTTATGATTTGGTTTATGACGTAAATGTATTATCTTTAAATAGCTCAGGCATTCTGTAATCTTCTCCCTGCATTGTCTTTGCTTTCATTTACACTTACTGATGTAAGTGTTCACGTCATTGTTTCTTTATAACAGTACGTTTATTTCGACTTATATGTCGTCGTTATATATCGTCATGATTGTATTCTTCGCCTTCAAGTTCATCTATAAGTTAATCATCGGCATATTTATCCTAATAAATAATTGTTTAACAGCAACAAGGATGTCTTCATTGTTTCTACTTCAACACTGCACATGAAAACTCTGCATTAGCCTAACAGTTGGCATCAAAAAGTTCTCCACAGCGGTCAGTTTGTCGTAATGCTTGATCCAGGAGTTCTCTGATTGGGTTCAAAATTTAGAAGGCCACGGATTTGAACATTAAAAGTCGTTAACTCAGAATTGGGCTGGCTGTTAAAACGCTGGTTATAAAATATAAATAATAAAAAGGAGCCAGATTGCACAACCATTTACCTGCCAATGAGGTAGCCAGGCTCTAATCCCAGAATAGGCTGGTCGATACAAATTCTGCCCTGGATCACACTGACCACAGTGCTGATGTAAAATATTATCACTGGTAGGCGGATATTAGAATACCCTTGCCTTCAAGTTACTCATGGGAGGTTTTCCTCTCCATGCAAGTGCAGGTTAGTTTCATCACAAAGACTAGTTTGTCCCAATACTAGATCCAGGAGTTCTCGTGTTTTCGGTTGGGTTTAAAATTACAAGACTACAGAATTGAACATAATTGTAAACTTAGAATTAGATTGGCTGTTCAACGCTGGCTATGAAATAATATAAAATTAAATAAACAAGAAGATAGTTGTGGTTCCCTTCTATAATTATGCAAAAAAGTTATAACACCCTTGATTTCGCTTTAACATTAACTTTTCTCTAGTAATCTTATTTTAAAGATTTTTAGGATAAAATTTAAATTAAAGATTTAACTTTAAAGCAAAATTTAGGTCTTGTTTTTTAAGAATCTCTTAGAAGAAATTTTTTAACTTTCTCCTTAATTTAATTTCTATTTTTAAATTAAAAATTTTCCAGGAGTTAATTCTTTTTTTTTTTTTTGACATTTAAAAAAAAATTGAAAATAACTGGATTTCAGTGTTCTATGACAGCAAAATATAAGATAATCACAAACGTCCTCTCCATTTAGTTTTGTACGTAATCCTATACCTGAATAGCTCCAACAAGTAATAACTTAATGATTTAAGCTTCAGAAAATTTTGAATTTTCTACAGGGAAAAAGCAAAATATTAAAAATAATGAAAATTATATACAAACCTGAAGCCAAGTTTCAACAGGAATAGTTTTTAGCCCTTCGATCACAGCTTTATTTACTTCAAGGATGTGTCCATAATCGAACCATAAAGTAGACAATCTAGTCATAAAAAAAATTTAAGAGAAAAGATTAACAATTAAAATATTTTTAATAAATAAGAAGTCTAAAATTTTTCGACTAAAAATGTCTTTTTCGTTGAATAATCGTCTCGAAAACGTTTTTTCATAATATAATAAAATGTGTTTGCTTAAGTCACTTTCTCCCACAGAAAAGTTTAGATTATATCCTTTTTATCTTAAAATTGCATAAACACTCAAGAAATACAATGTAGAATTTTATCTATTTGATCATTAGTTACAGTATATATTACTTTATTTAAAGTACATATTGCTTTTATATACTACATTAATGGCACAAATATATATTATAAAAAATTTTGTACAAAACATTTACCTGAGCAGATATAAAAGTAATTAAAAATGTAAAAAAAAACTTTAAATTGTTTCAACTCTAATTCAAAGGATATTTTAGTAATTATAGATTTCTTACAGTTTTCAAAAACAAATTATAAATGTCATAAAACTACAATAGTTACGAGAACAAAAACTAAATTTTTACAATCTATAGCGTATCTACCACTACAAAGTTACCAATTCACTAGTATATAAGACATGTTAACTCGACTCTATGTCGGGGTACCTTTTCATAGATGACGGTTGACATGGTCGATAACTCCGCCCCCACATTGGTGACCCGGACGTGATGCGAACACACCTACCTTGACAGTAATGCCCACTTCGATCTGGAAACGCCTACTTCGATGGATAGTCCACATTGAATAGTTGACTTACTACTTGTGGCTGCGACTTTATCCACCTCCTCGCACTGTTGCTATTCAGTCTCTTCTCAATCACCCACAACGCCGGCTTGCATACACTCGACTGCTAAAGGCAACACAGGAGCGACTACGACCGCGATGTTAATACACCTCTCACATTCAGCACTCATAAAGCACGGTGATCTTAATACAGCTCTCCCGGTTTCGCACAAAAACAGCAATGATTCAACTAGTGGTATCCATTCATCGAATTCTATCACAGATATAATTCTGGTAGGGGAGTACTATAGCGTATCTACCACTACAAAATTACAACTACAATTCACTAGTATATAAGACATGTTAACTCGACTCTATGTCGGGGTACCTTTTCATAGATGACGGTTGACATGGTCGATAACTCCGCCCCCACAAATCAAAGCCCATTACATAGTGAATCTAAAGAACATCAACTATAGTTCTAATAATAATATCTTGTATATTTCTTATAATATACATAAGTTCTATATAATAAGTTCTTGTATTATTATTTTATAGTAGGCATAAATCCTACATATACATAGGAAAGTAAACTATTCATCACCAACCTAAGAGTGTCTTGTAACGAGTTCCCATTGGACAAAGCTATAGAATGGAAGAAACCTCTGACAGCTGGAACAGCATACATCCTTATGTATTCAGCAGACTAAAAATAAGTTTTAAAAAAATAATAAGTAAATTAAATACAATAGAGAAACTGTGGAAATATCATACATGGCTTAATATAAAATTTGTAGGCTAATTGAAAAATCTGGCACTTTGCAAATAACTTGCATATTTTGCACTGTGTCCGAATAATTGGAGAAGTCTTCAGTGTTTTCTTATCTGTCTGACATTTTTAGGCTTATTGCTATCAGCCTATATGTCTTCGGGCTGATTAGGAATTAAGTTAATTACTCGGTCTGAAGTTCTTTGATTTATTGCAAAAAACCTATATTAAGGGTATTTACAATATGAATTCTCTATTCTCTATTTGGGCTTACTGCAAACTGCCTGAAATAAACCAGGTTAATTGTGCCTTGTGTGATTTTTTTTCCTATTGCTCTAAAGGTATCTGGAATCACAGAAATAAGCCTAAAAACTGTCAGTTTCATTGGATAATATTGGATACTTTTTCAATTAGCCTGGTACATTGCAAAATGACAGTGACTGTTTTCAAAAAGTCAGATTATAAAATTGGCCAATGATAGATCTATATATTCTCCTCATTATATCCACTTTAATAGTTTTTTTTAATATAAATTTTAAGCACACGCAAAACAATTCTTTATATAAATTATTTTGTTTGTGCACATGTGATTGATCTCACAAGAAAGTAATTTAACTTAAAAGAGAAAAATAATAGAAACAAGGGAGTGACGACGAAAATTATTTCCAGCTTGCAAAGCAAGTATTTAAGCAAGGTGATTATTATAATTTAAGTCTACCCATTTCTTGCACAAGGGGCTTTTTCATATTAATTAAATACAGCTTATCACTTTAGGTAAGCCAGGAAGTGTTGCACTGTGATCATTGACTGACAATGTAATCAGAATATGCATGATCATACAGTTAGAAAGTCGTAACTATTTGTTATGACTTTCTAAGTATTTTTCTTCTTTTTCTTATTTCATTTTAATTTAACAAACCGAAAATTCCACAATTTAGGTCTAAATTGTTTAAAATACATAAATTTAATAAACTACAAAAATAATACATTGAATCGGAGTAATAGCACGCAAGACAAAAAAATTTAAAAAATGGTGGCATAAATACTTCCAAAAATGTAATTTTAATAATGCTACTTACTGATGCAATTTTAATGGATCCCAGACTAGGATGTTCCTGTTGCATATCAATGGTATCTCCCAATGCTAACTGCTGCTTCTGCTGTTCTTTTTTCTGGAAGAAGAGAACTGAATGGAAATTCATCAGTGCCCATGCATGAGCCACCTGAAATATCAAAAGAATTATGTCACTGAAAAATATGTACATTAATAAAAGAGTAAAATATTAAATTAAACAATGGTGAAGATAATTGCTTTGAAGCTCACATACATGAAAATTAAACCAATAATTGGCAACAAAAATTAAATAAATAATCAGCACGCATGAAATAAAGTAGATTTGTGCTTTAAACAGCAAAGCTAAATAATATGAAAATGATGGAAATAATATAATATAAATAGACATACAACCATTTCAGTACAATAATAAGAACCATTTTCAATGTCAAAGCACAGTATGAAAGAGGGTACACAGAAATGCAGAAGAAATTACAAACAAGTTATAACAAAAAAGAAAAATAATTAATTAATTAGATAAGAAAACAAAATTGAACCATTTATTGATTATTTGCAAGATCTATCTTTTAATTTCTACATCTTGCAGTATACTGCAAGATGTAGAAATTAAAAGATACATCTTGCAAATAATCAATAAATGGTTCAATTTTGTTTTCTTATCCAATTAATTTTTTTACTTTTGTTATAACTAGTTTGTAATTCCTTCTGCATCTCTGTTCCTACAATAAAAAAAAGATAATTATTGAACCAAAATGATATATCTGTTTATGTAAAATTATTTGTGCTCTTTTCATGTTGTTTAGGTTTTAGCAAAACCTATGTAAACTAACCATTTGTTATTGAATTTCTTAACTGTCACTTTTAAAAAATAAAGAGTGAAATTAAATATCAAGTTTCTCATAATTAAAATTTTAAAAAAAGGACAAAAAAACATACTTTATACCAATCTCTGTTTTTGTCCATAGCCAATGAATAGAATTGTAAAATCTGTGGAATTGAAGTTTCATTAATGCCGTGTAGATTCTCCTCCCATTCTCCAAGTTTCAAATAACATCTATTACAGATAGAGAAGAATTTATTTATAACCACAACAAAGAAAAAAAAGTCATACAAATTTGTAAATAAAGCAGTGGGCATACTTTTATGCACATAATATCTAAAGCACAATATTATTACAGGGTGCATAGTCAAATCTCTCAACAAAAAATAAGCACCTTTAAAGTCCTTTTTAAGCACTCAAAAAATATTTTTAAGCATTATATATATTAACAAAATGCATAATAATTTTCAAAGACTTTACATGATCACGATAAAATAACTAGTTTCTGACAAAGAACTTTTTTCTTCTATTAGCTACCATAAAAAAAAAATTGAGATATTTTTTCCGTACGATTTCAGAGGGTGGAAAATGAAGCCTGAAATTGAGAATATCTTGCAAAATGCAGCAGAGTTCCACATGAAAGTGCAGGAATCTCAACAAATCCAGCTCAATAGATGCACATGCGGACACCAAAATATATCATCAATTATGTATCAAGATTGACGCTATCATGCAAAACGGACCGACAGTATGCCGAAATGGATTGTGCTTGAATGAATTGAATAGAATAATGTAAAAACCACGCTTTTGCATAATACGAAGCAAAAATTGACATGGTAAAGAAAATAAATCCCATTTTCGAAAAAGGAAAATTAAGTACTTTTTCAAAACACCCCATGAAAAAAGCACCTTTAGGGGACTTTTAAAAAACGAAAATCGAAAATAAGCACTTCACACCATGTATTATTATTTATGCAGCTCAATATTACTATTTGATTTCAACCCATGTAGGTTACAGCGGCACTACTCGCACATCCTACTCTTTCATATTTCCAAACCAATTTTTTTTTAAAATGTTTTTCCCCCTTAAGAAAAGTTCATTATAAAAGCAGGCCAACCTTTAAAATTTAATTAATCAAACAATGATATTAAGTTCTCTATCATAACAATATTTAATAACTTAAAACATAAATCATAGCTGCCAACATGGATAGGAAAAAATCCAGTTGATTTTAGAAAATATAAAATTCATGATAATTGTTGTAAAAGGCACTAAATATTTTACACATAGGGAATTTTACGGATTTTTATAGTCATCAAAATAGAAAAATCGTAATATTTTTCAGTTATGATTGACATTAAACATACTTGAAATGCAATGTATACTCCTAACTTTGAATATTAAAAGGCATTTAATTCATCAAAAATAGTTAAAAGATTATTTTAATTAATTTAAAAAGATAGTTCTAAATAAAAATAAACTGAACATTTTAAAACAAAAAACGTTTTTAATTAATTTCTATAAAAAAAGGTTTGTTTCATTATGTATTAGTAATACTTATTTAAATATTCAAGCAAGCAATAATCCGTACAAAAATTTTATTTCAATGGGAATTTTATTTAGGAAACTTGCTCAATTTTAGGGAATTTTCTAAAATGTACATAACCCAGGAGAATTTTAATTAAACCAGTTGACCAGGAGAAACTGGCAAAATCCAGTAGAGTTGGCAGCTATGATAAACTAATTATTTATATAATAGTTGATTGAAAATATTAATTAAATATTAATAAGATAATTCTTAATTTTAATTGCTCACTCATATAGATTAATGCCAATTAATTACATAAAAAATAACTAACTAAAACTAAAAATTTGGTCCAATATGATTACAAAATACAGGGTCTTACTTAGACAGAAGTTTTGTGATTTCTGTAGGTGGGTTTCCATTAGTCATAGTATTTTTGTATTCTTGAGATGCTAGAGATATATTCACAAATGTCTGCAGATGCTTAAATGCATTTTGCTGAAACAATAAGATAATTACATCATCAATAAAATAAACAAATAAAACTTATTACAACAAAACTAATATAATATTTAATAATACAGTAAACAAAATAAAAATGCAATGAGAAAAATAGAATATTTTAATTCAATTTCAATTTCACATACCAGCTCTTATTATTTTTATTTTTTAAAAAAAGCCTTTATTGGCTTTTTTATATTTTACTATTCATAATTAATACAAACGTATTTAAATGTTTTATTGATAACTATTCAGTAAAATTATACACTGCACATCCCAGTGTATAAGTTGATTTTTCAAACCACCAAAATTTTACGGCAAAAAAAATCTTATTGAAAAAAATACATTCTCTGTTGCATTTGAATTGTGCTTTAGAAGAGGTTTTATCTGTCTTTCTTTTTTTAAGATTTCACTTATTCTTCTTTGTTTCTAAGCATAAAACTTGAGAAAGGCTTCTGCAATATCTGCATTCTCCGTATATTGTCAGCTCCATAACTGTTATTACATACTATGGATTGTTTTGGAGCCTTTTCATATTCATTATTTACCTTTGACATGAAATAATATAATTTCTTGCCATCCTTTTTATAATTTATATTTGATATAAAATTTATAAAATACTGTTGCTTAGATTTCTTCATTTCAGATTTAAATTGTCTAGCTAAGATTCTCCATACAGAGACATTCTTTTCCTGTTAGTTCCGCCATAATTTTTGCGTCATCACATTTTTTCTTCAAGACCTTCAGTTCCTCATTACAGAAAGGTTTGTACCTCCTAGCTTTATTGCAAGGGATTGATTTTTTAGGCTGCCCCTAATACCTCTTCACAGAAGATCCTATTTGCTGCATCAGCAGATAAATCCGACAAATTTATATCTGTTACTCAATTTTCAAAAATATTGGCAAAGTCTCCCCAGTTAGCTTTACTAAAATTCCGGGAATTTTTGGTCCTCTTGCAATAATATGTATTTTTTCTATTATTGGGTTTTAGAGTACAAAGGTTTCAGAGATTGGTTTTTAGAGTACATTTGATGTCCAAATCCTGGATCTTATCTCTTCGCATCTCAGACACAGTCAGGCAGTAAAAAAACAGGATCAGGGAATTACAGTGACTCAACTGAATTGAAAGGGCGACAGTTACGATCAAGAACATAAACTATAACTTTTCATTTGTCAGAAAACTCATTCATTACAGTTTTGAAAAATATTCGTTAAAAATAAGCTCGGGTTTTTTTTTGAAATTTTACCTTGTCTTTTTTTAGCAGTTTAAACTAAAAGAGAAACCGGCCTGCTTTTATTGACCTGGTCAAAACCAGACAACCATGCTGATATCTGGCCATCATGAGCTTAATGGAAAAGAAATTTCATTGATATCACTTAAAAAGGATTCTGTTTATAGAAACTTCATCAATAAACAGCAAATTCCACTAACGAGTGATTATACAAATAAACGTGCATTAAAAAATAACAAACATTTGTTTTAAAAAAATTTAAAAACTAAATATACCTTCTGGTTACTTTTCCACATGTGCTTAATGTAAGCGAATGTTACTTGAGGATGGTTACAGGGGAGCATATTTTGAGAGTTTGTAGAGGGATCTGATCCTAAGAGCATTACTAATGTTCGGTGAGATAATGCCTGCAATAATTAAATTATTAGTTAAAATAAAACTTTTAAAGATATATAGCAAAGGTACACATAAATTTTTCTTTATTGTTAGTAAAAATAAAATAAATAAGCCTCAGAAAAATAAATCATACCAAACGTCCGGCTTTTCTGCAGAGACTTGCGTATTTGAGCCATGATCTCATGTCCTCTTGCGGACTGACTACTAAAGAATGAACTTGCATTATTTTCTGCCAGTCTTCAACTATTCTTTGGCAGCCCTTTAAAAAAGAAAAATAAATAAGTTTTTAAAAATAGATAAAGCTGATAAAATTATTATTTAAATATCCTAAATGATATAACAGTTTAAAATAGCTTTTTAATTGTGATTCCATTCATTTAATATCTATTTCAAAAATCTGTTTCTGTTTTTAAGGAATCACTCACTAGAAGGCAAAGCGAATACAGGACAGGGATGATAGTACAGTACAGAACCCGTTATCCAGAAACCAAAAAACCGGAACAAAATTCGGTAAATTTTCCCGCTATTTTTAATAAAAAAAAATTTTTTTCCTCATAAGATTTTAGGATTTTTCGTTCTTTTTTTAAAGATGCTTACCATACCATCATTTTGGAAATAATGATTAGTGTATTACTTCATCGTTTTTTCTTCTTTTTAAGATTATTTCCAAGCTTTTTTTTTCAGTTGGATTTAACAATAAAAAAAAACGGCTTTTTGTAACGATTCAGAAAACCGGAAAAATCAGTTTTCCGGAATAGCGATGGTCCCGATCGTTCCGGATAATCGGTTCCCTACTGTATAACATAATCATAGCAAAGTAATTGGTAGTACAGAGAATCCTCCAGGAAAGACCACCTCTATTTAAGACCACTTTTGAGTGCCGCGGAATTTTATCCATAGACTTCCTTTAGGAAAGGCCACTAAAACCTCTCCCAGCGACCGGGAAAAACATCTGCACCACATACAGAAAAGGTCAAATAAGGAAACGCAAAAAATACTATAACAAAAAATATTGACAAAACAAATAAATAGATAAAAATGTATTCAAACTATTTGTGTGAGGCTCTTATTTAGAGAGCTCTTTCTGACTTGTTGTTGTTGTTAATTTACGTCGCACTAGAGCTGCACAATGGGCTATTGGCGACGGTCTGGGAAACATCCCTGAGGATGATCCGAAGACATGCCATCACAATTTTGATCCTCTGCGGAGGGGATGGCACCCCCGCTTCGGTAGCCCGACGACCTGCGAGCGAAGTCGATCACTTTACGGTAGCACAGTTTAACAAGGACCAATATCGTACACCCTCGGTCCCTACGCAGACTGATCCAAGTGGTCACCCACCCGCACACTGACCGCAGCCAGTGATGCTTGACTTTTGTGATCTGCTGGGAACCGTGTCTTAACGATCAGTCCACTGCGGGACGAGCTCTTTCTGACAATCAAACCTCCTGTTACAGTCAGAGTGCACTAAAGACAATGAACTTACTTTGATTACTTTGTCTACAATGATTTACTTTTAAAGTTGGAAGTTAATCACGCCTATTTCGATGGAAGGTCCCCTTTGAACAGTTGACTTGCTATTTGCGACTGCATCTTCGTCCTACTGGCTCATTTACACACAGCCGGATCCTGTACACACTCAACTGCTAACAGCAACACAGGAGGGACCACACACACAACCTTGATCTTAATACAGCTCTCACGTTAAATGCTTAAAACTCGGCAAACTTAATACAGCTCTCACCAAGTGTTCAAAATCCAGTAAACTTAACACAGCTCTCCCGGGTTTTCACAAATATGGCAACTAGTGGTCACCGTTCATCGAATTCTATCCCTGATAAAATTCTGGTGGGGATTATTGTGATGTAAATACTACTACGATTAATAAATATCAATTAACTAGTATACAAAACATGCTAACTTGACTCAATTTTGAGGTACTTTTTGATAGATAAAACCTTGATAGATGACCTTTTAACAGATTCTCCGGCATTTATGATGAAATAGAATTTTGCTCTTAAATTTTGTGCATAAAACTCAGTCATTGGTTTAAGTAACATATGTAAAATCCAGTAATTTTTTGCCTCTTTATCTTTAAACTGTTTGACTGTTGTTTGGATTTTCAAGATGATATTGCACTTAAAAAAACTCACACTCTTTGGGTTTAAAAATGCAATTATAGTCAATTAAAGCACTTTAGCAGTGCATTTTCTCACTTGTAATCTATCCCACCATTTCTGTTTAATATGGTCTCGTCTTTCAGGAATGAGCTTGTACTGTATCACTTCTTCCAGTTCAGACATCATCTGGACATGAACCATTGCCTGTAAGAACAGTACAAATATATTGAAATAAGACATACATTCATAACAAATGAAGATAAAAATTATGCAATGAAAAAAAAACTATACAATGAAAATAGAAATTACTTACACCATAAGCTCTGCTATAACTTTCACCAGCCAATGCAGTCAATTCAGTATCTAAGAGATCTCTAGCTTTATCAATAAACTGAAAAAGTAACCAATAAAACCAAATCATTCTTCAAAGTTACTGAATTAGTTAATGCAGGTAATTATCATCGTTAGTGGTAGAGGGAAACTTTTTGCGCATTGTCATGTTACTAAAACAGTGAAATTACTGATCAAACAAAGAAAATCATCCAGCTTAATTACGCAGCATTTTTTAAATTATCAAATATGGTCATATTTACAACTTCAAAAGCATATTATAGTAACAAAAAAATATTAAGCATCTCTTTTACAGAGAAGAAGATAGTTTCGTTTTAGGTATCGATTTATAACAATTGTGTAACACTTTCAACAATCGGAAAAAGGGGTCATCGGACAAACTAGCAATGAATGCATAGTTGCTTAAGAGCATGGGAAGATATCCAAAATTTGGCAAGTTACTGATAGACAATATAGCGAAAAATAAAGTCAACTCCATTAATATTAAATTTAAAATAATTTGGCTACAGCTTAATGACCAAAAAGACTGTTAAATTTTAATATAACCCAGCAGTTAAAATTCAATTCATTGAGACACTGAATTAATGAGTTTTAGATTTGTCTAAATTAAAACGTCAGCCCTTACATGGATTGTTAAGAAAAGAATAAAAGTATTTTCAAGTGCTTTTTATAAAATGAGATAAAAATGAAATAATTGACTTAATTCAGGATTAAGAATGATTTAAAAAAATAAATTTATGAAAGTCAGGAAATATGTAATCCCTATAATGGCATTACAGTAATGATCAAAAATTTACTTAATTATCTTAATATTCTTATAAATTTACTTACTTTATTAAGTTACTTTTATGTAAATAGCAGCAACGATTGACATTAAGTGCAATTATTTTCAAATAACAGGAAAAGTTGAAATATTGTAAATATAAATATTTACCATTCTGATTCAATATTACATAAACCAGACCAATATATGTAATTGAATGAACTGACAAAAAACATTACAACATGATTTTTACATTACTTAAGTTTATTTCCTATCATGGTGTATTTATTTATTCAATAAACAAAAATCTTAGTCAGAATGTCATATCAGCTGAAGAAAATTTGTTCTGTTATACACCAATATGTCAATTTTTTGAGCATATTGAGGAAAATAATTAACTTAGGAAAATGAATCTCAAAAAAACTGAAGTAGTTTAGTCTGAATTAATTGAGATAATTCAGATTGTTACCTACATGAATGCCTAAAATCAATCAGTATATATAAGTAAGCAATGTTCTAAGATTAAGTAATGATTTGCTTAATTCATTGTTTAGATACAAATATAATTAAATATACCTGTTGGGCAGCATAGAAATCAGATCGATGAATTGAAAGTATGGCTTGATAAAAGGCACTGTCTGTAGTTCCACGGGGAATCACCTTCGTATATTCTTCCATACTCTCCCAATGACCTGAAATTTGCAATAATTATTTCAGCACTTTAAAAAAAAAAAAATTAAAAAAGAACTTACAGAAATATAGGAAATTAAAAAATAATCTTTAATGTACAGTAGTAAGAATAATTTAAAGCATATGCATACTAAAACAGGTTCTTACTTTAGGTACTACAGGTTACAGGTGCTTACTACAAAAACAGGTGTAAGCACAGGTTACAGGTGCTTACAGGTTACAGGTGCTTACTTACAACAGGTGCTTACTTACCTGTTGCATTTCCTGCAACAGGTTATTGTAGACCAGAGGGGTCTTCACAATTGTGATTTGAAATATTGTGACCAACAGAGCATGATGGGGTCAATATTGAGCAGCAGCCACTTTTATTTCTCAGACGAGCTGGCACCCATCAAACTGAATGTGGGTGGGCTTTAGCTGGCCACCAATTATATATGTTTTTTTAGTTGGGAATTTTAAAATTTTACCTTGATTCAACAGTACCTATTTTCCTTGATGAAAAAACTTATTAGAAAAAGCTCCAATTTATTAAAAGGCTACTTCTTAAAAGAAAGAATTAACTTAACTAACCTAATCCCCATGCGGCTGCAGCTGACATAGGCGCCATTTTTGTTTTGAATGCAGTATCTGCAGTGGGCCATGTTTCACTTGAAAGTTGGTACAGTTGACCCCTGCAAAAGAAAAGTATATTACTGTTACAAAATATTCCTTTTAAAAAAATTATAAAAATGAATAATTTTGTTTAACCATTTGTTTACCGCTGGTACACAGAATGGCTTCATCATGCTAAGCACAGTAAACAAAAGATTAATTATAAAAAATCACGTGTACATCATAATATTAATAAATTTCAACAGAATTACATTTTAATAAAATAAACAAATTAAATAATAAAATTATTTAATAAAAAAAAATACAGTGACATCTGTGTAAGTAGTCTGTTTATGATATTATATTGAAAGAAGGTCATCATATTAAGAGGACGCCATATAGCGGGAGAAAATTTTCCTCGCAAATTCACTTTTTCCTTCATTGCTAATTTAAAGTTTAAAGTGTGAGTTCAGACAAACCTAGAGTAAGCCATGTAGTTTCAAGTACTGAAAAGAAAGTTTTAAAATATACAAATGAAAATAAATTATAAGACAACTCAGGATTATGCAACATTGAAGTTCTCTTCTAATAATTTGTTTGCATTTTAATGTTTTGAAGTATTTTTTTTTCAGCAACTGAAACTTCATGACTTATAACAGGTATGCCTACATTTTCTTTCTTTTAAATTTTAAATTATGAATGAAGGATAGAGAGAATTTTCGACAAAAATTTTCAACAGCTGTATGGTGTCCTCTTGAGGTGAGATAAAAGTTGCAAGTGTTACTTTGCTCGAAAGATATATTTCCACATAGTTTCACAAGAATTGTTCTAATGCTATCAAATAACTCAGCAGTGACGGGATTAAATTAATCAGAGGTAATCCTTGCAACCGCCAGGGTTCCCACTCTATGATGAGATTGAAATTCAAGGACTTTCCGGGACTTTTCAAGGACCTCAACAAAATTTTCAAGGACCTTAATCTAAGACCCAATTTTAAAAATTATTCTCTTCTATTTTACTAAAAGCAACAATGCTTGTTGTGGCAATAATTAATTTCAAATATAATACCTAAATGCTTTGCCTATATAGAGAGAAGAGAGTATATGTATTATGGACTAAAATTTATATTTTTTTAAAAACAACCCTACTGGTTTTACATATTAATTCACAAAATCATTTTCAGCACAATCTATAACTAATGGTAATGAGGTGTTAATGGTGAAATCCTTTAATCCTGTGTATTTCCATGTGAAGGCTGCATGAAAGACAGAGCTAAATCTTAGGTATTCCATATTCCATGACTATTCCATAACCCCCTCCTCTCCTCTATTAAACATCGTTTCTGAAATTATTCATCCATAATTTACACAACCTTCTCTAAATGTTATGCAGCAACAATTCTTTCTGAAAATAAAAATTAGAAGGAACATATCCCATTTTCACCATGTTTAAAAGCATTATTCGTTATGTGTAATCCACAACTGCCAATGAATATGACCTGGTGGGAATATTTCTCTTTTAATTCACACTGAAGCTTCTAATAGAATTTCCAATTGACATAGGGTCCATCCATGGATAATTGAAGTATTTTAGAGAGCTTTTAACCATCATCCATGCATTTGTAAAAAGAGGACAAAATATTTTCTGCAGTTCCATGACCCATAAATTGGGAGGTAAGATACTTAGTGCAAACTTTATTATCAATTCCTTACCATAATGTCCATCTGCTTAGATTGTAGAGACTGATTTAACGTCTCATCAAAGAGTACAGTGTAGCAATCAACATTCTTCAGCTCATTTATAAGAATCCCTTTGAAGTATAGTGCCAATCCAAAGGAGCCCAAATAGGCTCACTTTGTGGCACTACAAAAAAATTGTCTCGCTATACAGCTATCAGCAAACATTTTGGAGAACAATTTACTAATCCCTTCACAGGAGTTACATGAATAATTACTAGTGATGCACTTCAGACTCCAGAGAATTTCAGCATCAAGCACATTCCTTTTGACCAGATAAGAAGACAATGTTACCTCGGCCACTAAAGTTTCTGTTTCACATGGGGCACACGATGTTGAAGGAGTATTTACACCAGATGAATTAGATGTTGATGTCTTTGGAAAAAGAGAACTCAGGGCATGAGACTGCTTTTTTGTTTTACCTTTCTTTCATGTGTGATTTCAGAGCAGATTCTTCCATTTTTGCGATATCGATCTCCTTCATGCATAATCGGCACTTGGCTCTGAACTTCTTTTCGGGCATCGATAAAATCCATTCTTTATAAGCTTGATTATCCATCCATTGGGGATTAAAATAGCACTTCCCAGGCATAACTAGTCTAAACTACATAACACAAATACGAAGCCGTGCCTTTGCGAATACGCTTTACAATAAAGTTTTGAAATGACGCAAACGTAAGGACAAGTGCGGATGGTAAAACGGCAAATTTATTGAAAACTACAAGGTACATATTGTTACGAAATTCGAGAGTATTCCAGTTTCGATAAGAAAAAAGAAGATCTAAGCATATGCGACAGAAGATGAAGTGGAGTCTCGCCCCGAACGCATTGATTGTCTGCTGTGCTCCGCGCGCTTGGCAGACACCAAGACGCTAGGCCCGGTTAGAAACGGTGGCGTTAAAAACCACGTGAGAGAGCTCGGGAACAAAACAGAAAGAACGAGAAAGATCCGCGGGTGTTTTATAAAAAGGGCCGTCGGCAGTATTGGACAAATTCAAGGATCTATCAAGTTTTTCAAGGACCTAAGACGTTTTTCAAGCACTTTCAAGGACCTAAATTTAGCACAAAAAAAATTCAAGGACTTTCAAGGACTCTCAAGGACCGTGGGAACCCTGACCGCTCTGTGAGAGGTAAAGAAATGGTATGAAAAATGCTGATAATAACTGCAAAGTGATGCTCCCAGTTAACAACCTTTTTTAAAGCTCTTTCGACACAAAAAATAAGAAAGCCACTCTTTAAGTACCTTACACTTGAGGCAGAGCTATATTTTTAAACCATGTATACCATCTTGCCATAAAAAATTACCCAAGCTTTAAAAAAAAAATTTAAACATTTTAAAAATTATTAAACTTTTTTCAATGCTAAAATGAAAACTAACAAAATCAAATTATTGATTCTCAATTTTTTCACATTTTTATGAGCTCAGACAATACAGCATTGCAGTAACTTCTTAAATATTGAAAAAAAAATCACACACGCTTTTCAATTTCAAAAGACTGCAGCTTTTCTTTATATTCACAGACATCTACAGTTGTGCTATTTTCAAAATAAACATGAAAGGCCCTGGCTAAAAATAAGCTTAGCCTGACCTAGCAGTCATGAATAACTGTTGCAAACTCACAATAATTATGAAAATAGCACATTATTTGCAAAAAAAGAAAGTGTCATTTCATGCAATGATAGACCCTTTGAAAAACAGTTTTATGAAAAGTCTATGATGTGAATCACGCACAAAACGAAATCAAAATGAAAATTGTCTTACCATTCACCAAGAACTTCTAGACACTTCATCTGTCCCATAATGAGTTCTATATCATCTGGTTTCTGCTCTCTTGCTTTCTGATAAGCAATCAGTGCTTTGTCCCACTTATGCAACTTCTCATACCACAGCTCTTTCACTTTCTGTCAATTACATAAGAAACAATTTTAATGTACTTCAATCAGATAGCAGGGGGGAAAATTTAAAGACAGTAGTAGAACCAGTCTGCATAGCTGCCATTTCTACTGGATTTTTCCAGTTTCTAATGGTCTACTGGTTTAATTAGAAATCTCCTGGTTTTTGCACATTTCAGAAAATTCCCTAAAATTAAGTTTCCTAACAAAATCCCTGTTGAAATAGAATTTCTGTACAGATTATTGTTTGCTTGCTTGAATATTTAAATAAGTATTACTAATACATAATGAAGAGAACCTCATTTCTGGGAATCAGTTCAAAACTTTGTTTGTTATAAAATGTCCAGTTTATTTTTATTCAAAACTCTTTTTTTTTATTAATTAATTTAAAAATCATTTAACTATCCTTGATGACATAAATGCCTTTTAATATTCAAAATTATGAGTATACATAATACATAACATTTCAAGTAAGTTTAATATGTCAATCACAACTGGAAAATATTTCAAAAATTCGTAAAATTCCCTATGAGTAAAATATTTAGCACACTATGTAACAATTATCGTGAAATTTATATTATTTCGTAAAATCTACTGGATTTTTTCCTATTCATATTGGTAGTTATGCTGCCAATAAGAAAAAAAAGTTCTGAATTATTAAAGTCAATTTAAAAAATAGTATTGAAGTAACTAAATATGGTCAGTTAAATGCAAAACACAAAATTTTGTACTTCTTGATATGGCACTTACCTCTAACCCCCCCCCCCTAAAGCTAGAAATTTATAGTACACTCAAATTAGGAACATATACACTCAAATTAGGAACATATACACTCAAATTAGGAACATACAACTTACAGCATTAAAATAGTGTAAAACAGTGTTCTTCGAATTATCATAAAAGTATAAATATTTAATAACCAATCAGTAATCACTTTTATTGCAATACATTGTAGTGATTATAATGTATTTTCAGCAACACAAAATATTATAACAATGCCATTCAAAAAAAAAAAAAAAAAAAAATCNAAAAAAAAAAAAAAAAAAAAAAAAAAAAAAAAAGGCCGTATTTCCAGTTAGATATTCATATTTCCAATCCTCCATGAAGGCAAATTCGAACTTTCGTAAAAGTATACATATTTAATAATAACCGTGCAGTAATAATTTTTATTACAATATGTCACATGGTAATGATTATATTGTATTTTCTGCATGAAAAAATATTATAGCAATGCCATTTTCTTTTAAATGCCAGAATAAACCCTGATTTTGCTGCTAGCATTTTTTAGCTCTAGCAAACTTTGCTACTAATTTTCAAAATTAAAATTATGTCATGGAATCAGCAGGTGAGGATGAAGTCGAATCCATTGATTCGTATAACAACATTGCTATAGTTATTGAATCCAATATAGATGCTGAGGAATTTTTAAATTCGTAGCTTTATGGAAGATTTTAAAGGTTTTCATTGTGTCATATTTTCTGATTAAATTATCTCAACATAGCTTGCTTTAAATTTTTTTTTTCTGAATGTACTTCAAAGTATTAAAAAAAAAAACATTTATATGTTAAGGAAATAAGATGAGAGAAAGTACAAAATTAATATTATATAAGATATTAAAAGTAGTTTTTGAAAGTGGTAAATTGAGTTATTTATATCTATTGCATTGTTTATTATGCATTGATATTACCATTGTATATGTTGACCACCTGTTTCTCATAAACTTTATGGGCTTGAAAAGTGGACTTGTCGGTATTTTTTATTACATAGCAGTCATTGAACAGACGACCCAATTTTGTGCTTACGACTACTAACATTCAACTCTATAGCCTTGTAGCTTTGAACTAACTGTAGAAGAAAAAGAAACTCCTCGATCAATATCCCCAGAGGTATGATTTGTTATGAGAACATGGAGGACTTTGTGAATCAAGAGATTTAACGTGCATCAGTCACCATTTATAATTTGGGGAGTCTTCAGCCCATGGGGGCCGAACCCATAATCTCTTGGACAGGGGCCCAGTGCCCTACCAACTAGGCTATCCTGGTCCCTCTACGCCGGTATGTACGATAAATAGTAGCAGTAAAAGTAAACATTGAAATTACCAACTCAGCATCATGGTTTTTCATAGCATATTCCAAAACACCAGCGGCTGCTTCTGGTTGGTGTAGTTTATTATTTATGCTGAAAGAACAATAAAACAGTGTGAGAATGTTTAATTTTATTCCATCGAACTAATTCCACTAAATTGAGAAATTAGTGTTACCCGATTAAAGCTTCTAGAATTTCAGTTGTGGGGCCTTTGTGGAATTCATCTTCTTTGTAATGCAAAGCCTTTGCATAAGCTCTACATTCCATTGCTTTCTCTCCCAGCAAAGTGGATTTTAGAGTGCTTTCAGGGAGTCCCTGCAATTAAAGTTAAAACCAATTTGTTTAATTCAAAAACAAGATATTGTGCAATATTTAACTTTTATATCTTTACGATATTTATACAAGGGTGTCAATGATTTAAATCTAATAAAAAAAATAATAAAACTACCTTTTCACAGTGTTCCATGAATTCAGCCAAATTAAGAAGTGTCTGTGTAATTTCTGGAATATTCTGTGTTGTCAGTGCCTGTTGAAGACTCTCTGCTAATTCATTTTGCTGTTTTTCGTGCAATTCGGACCAACAGGACAGAAATATTGCATTAAACATGTCTCTGTAATATGGAAATACACAACGTTAGTAAATAATATCATACTTATTATAAACAACTTACAAAAAAAAAGTTGCCAAGGATTTTAGCAAACATTAAAAAAACTTTTTTGACTTTCAATGTTTTGATCAAGGATACAGATTTTTTATGAATGCCACATAAATTATACCTAAGAGTAACTAATTAGCAATATCCAAATGATTTAAAATTTATTAATTTGTTTTTTATTATAAAAACAGCAGTTTGAAGTTGTGTATTTATTGGGCTTCCATGCAAAGAATTTCATTGTTAATTTTATCTATAAAAAATGGAAATCCTAAGATTATTGTAATATTTGACTTATATTAGATAAATATTATAGATAAATATTAATATTACCACATACAATAACAAGCATACCTGCCAACAATGGAGAAATAAAACAACAGAGATTTCACTAACCGACCCAATTTTCGGTTTACGACTACTGATGTTTAACTCAGCAGACTTGTAATTTTGAACCCAATCCAGAAAACATTGAAACTCCTAGATTAATTATTGGTAGAAATTTGCTTCAAGGAGGACTTTTTTTTATGGAACTAATCTGTCTTTGAGTTACACGAAGAGGAAAACCTTCCACGATTAGCCTGACGACAAGGGGACTGTAACCCATGATCCATCTACCACTGAGGATATTTCACGTCAGGACTGTGGTCGGTACAAGCCGGATGCAAAATTCGTATCAACCAGTCATAGCTCGGATTCGAACCTGGGTTCACCTTATTGTAAGGCAAATGCTCTATCCCCTGAGCCATCAAGGCTCAAATTAAACAATTAACACTAACCATACTGCAGTACTGTCAATAGCACCATCTGTTGAGAAATAATAGAAGTATTTTTTTGCCATCAGTGGATACTTTATCAGAAAAAAAAATTTCGCATTTCTTCAACAAATATAGAGAATTGTGAATATACAGGTAACCAGGATATAGACATAAAATACAGGAGTCTTCTTTAAAAAACAGGAGACTTGGGAGGTATGAACAAGCGTCTGACTATGCTAAGATCCATAACAATCAGCATTAATACACAATCTCAAATTTTCAAAAATAATAATTATAATACATCTTCAGACAATTCTTGAGAAAAATAACACAAATACAAGTTCTCGAGATTGAAGAAACAATAAAAATAAAATAGCTGTAAAATTTTTTTGCAATAAACGTACGAAGAACTATAAATGCAAACCTTGGCAATTGATCATAGGATTCTGCCAGAGCACAACAGGATCTTAATGCAGGTGACGGAGATTCTTTGAGCAACACAACACTCATTCGTTTCAGCCACTCTAGCCAGTCATCTTTCGAAACTCTGCGAGCTGATGCCCAGGCCTAAAATCATACAGAGAGGACACATAAAATCGTATTAATTTGATAAAAACATGCAAGTGAAATTACAATTTTGACAGCATTCTAAATAGGTGATGAATAAAAATAAATAATGAACTTTCATTTGAGTATTCAAAAAAAGCAAATGACTATCAGGTTACAATTAAAATCCTTAAATTTTCTGAAATTAGTTTCATTTTGTATAATGAATGATAACACATTATTTAGAAATAAATTTCAGAAGTTTTAAAGGTGAACATAGTTCAATGAAATCCTGAATTTTTAAAAAAAGCTTTTTTGGATTGATCATAGATTAACATAATAAGGTAACATAATAGGTTTTTAGCACAAAGGTCGCCCACTTGTGTATTTATAATAAGGTAATGATGTGTATATAATGCTAATTCATGATGATCAGAAATTAATACAGTAGAGAACCAATTATCCGGGATGCTCGGGACCATCGCTATCCCGGATGTCTGAATTTTCCGGTTTTCTGGGTCGACCAAAAAGTGTCATTAATCGATGTTTTATCGAACCCGAATTACAAGGAAAAAGTGTAATGCATAAAGTAAGAGAAAAAAGAAAGGTACTCCTAACTATAAAAAGAAAAAAAAATGGTAGAAAAATAACATTTAAAAGAATAAAAAAATTTGCAAGTTTAGACAAGAAAAACAAGTTTAAAAAACACAAACTCTCCTATTCATTTTTTAAAAATAATTACAATTCCTAAATTGACTAATATAAACAAAACCAATGGTTAAATAATGCAATATATTTCATACCTAATTATACGGGGGAAACGATAAAATAGAAGGAAAACTTATTAAAAAAAAACCTAATGATAAAATTTATGAATAAAAATAATTAATTTATTGAGTGAAAAATTTATCATGAAAAGAAAAAAATATCAAATGTAGTGAAATCAGAAAAACAAAACTGCAATCTGCTTCATAAAATAATCCTATGTTTAAATTAATAAACAATTCTCCTTTTATTTTATTTTTCTTTTGTTGATAAAAACACGATATTTAATTACAGCAGATGTGATTCCACACCAATGAAAACTTGCAAATAATACCGCACTTCCAAAGAATGAGAATTTATTCAGAAGAAAAAGATTTTATTTTTATTAATCGATGTCAAATAGATAAATATATTTTTATCTTTCATCTTCTGTTCACTGATATGCATGCAATGCATTTCCCCCACCCCCCTCGTAAATCAAACAGAAAACTAAATCAGCATGCCACACCCTTGAGCTTGATTGACGGCCTAAAGGAGAAAATGAAACATTCCTCCCTTCCCTGCCTTCAAGGTCAAGGAGGAAATGACGTTTCTCTGGGTAAATGAGGGGAAAAATTCTCCCCTTCCTTACATTTTCCTCTACTCAACTTCAAGGATGAGTTCAATTTCCGCTTTTTTTCATAATTGTTCTAGTTTAAAATGGCGGGAAAACCGATCAAAATTTTTCCTGGTTTTCTGGTTTCCCGGTTATCTGGATACCGGATAAATGGTTCCCTACTGTATAAAAAAGTTTACGGAATGAGCTATGATATAAGAACATATTATAACATTTTATAACATATTATAACACACATTTTTAATTTGAAATAAATATGTTTCAAAGCATTTTAAATTTGTCATAAATTAACTTATTATTTTTTTAAAACTTATTAGAAATGTTTCATAAAAATCTTCTTATGTAAAGTTTAAAAGGCAATGAAAAGGATAATTTGCTTGAACAATTCAGAGGAAAACTCAAATTTAATCACTCACACGTTTATAAATTCAATTCTTAAATAATCTTGCATTTTATCTAAGATACTTTTATGCAAAACATAATATATAATGAAAACTCCTATTGATTTCATTAAGGTACCCTGGTACCATCAATATTAAACTCTGGTTACACGATTAAATCATATGACCTAGATATAAATCAATCAGTAAGGCTTTCAAAATTTAAATTCAACAGAATTAGGATTATTTTCATAAATTATTCAAAAAAAGAATTTTAAAAAATAATGATTTTTTGAAAATGTAACACTACTATAAGAAAAAACTTTGTGGGGTAACTTGATTTTGACAATGTCAACCTTCACCCATGAAAAGGTACCCCACCATAGAATGGAGGTAACATACTAGAGAATTGGAATTATATTTTTGTAGTGGTAGATACACTACAGTACTCCCCCACCAGAATTATATTGTGATAGAATTAGATGAACGGATGCCACTAGTTGATTAATTCCTGTTTTGTGAGAAGCCGAGAGAGCTGTATTAAGATCACCGGACATTTTAAATGCTGATTGTGAGAGCTGTATAAAGTTCATGGTCGTGGTCACTCCTGTGTTGCCTTTAGCAGTGGAGTGTATAAGTTGTATGTTATGCGTGATTGAGATTAAGATGCAACAGTGTGAGGAGGTGGATAAAGTCGCAGTCACAAGTAGTAAGTCAACTGTTCAATGTGGACCATTAATCGGATTAGGTGTATTTAGATCAAAGTGTGCGTTACTATCAAACTAGGGCTGTTACTATCAAACTAGGGCATATCGAAGTGGGAGTTTCCGTCAAGGTAGGCGTGTTCACATCATGTCCGGGTCAACAAAGTGAGGTTAGCTGATTTCGACAATGTCAACCTTCATCCATGAAAAGGTACCCCACCATAAAATCGAGTTAACATGTCTTATATACTAGTGAATTGGAATTATATTTTTTTAGTGGTAGATACACTACAACTTTAAATAATTAATTATAATAATATTACTCTTTGGAGGTTAGCGATATTGATTTGCAGCTTTCTCCGAGGGTTTCCAACTTCAGAGTTAGCCTGGCTGATGTCATTTTCATGAGACTTAGCGGAAGTCTTTCTCTTTGGATACATTAAGGGGTCATCATTTTCTTCTACTGCAGTCCCCTACAAAGCAAACGCAACAACCAATGTTAAAAAAAAAAAAAAGTAATTGAAAAAAATTGCAAGAAAGCAAGCATTTGAAATGATTAAACAAAATAAAAAATAATTCCAAAGGGGTAAACAATAAATATTTCTAATAGATTTAACAGTTAAACAGGCATGAAAGTGGACAGAAATAAAATAAGGCTTTCACAATGCAGACACTGGGAATTGGGGGGAGAAAGTTCTTGATAATACTGTGATATCAATAAGATATTTAAAAAATGAGATTTTTATTTTATATTAAAAGTGGCAGAAGCATTTAAAAAGCGAAATTTAAATTTTTTAAATTTTAAACGTCTTTGACCACTCTTTAAAGAAACAAATACATAACAGGGAGTCTAGCCAGAGTTTTCAACAAAAAATAAGTATCTTAAGTACTTTTTAATTTAAGCACTCAAAAAATATTTTTAATTACCTTCCAAAAAAAATCATAGTATCTGTGCAGCATTAACAATTATTTTTTTCTATTGCTTAAAGTTCTTAATTTATAAACAAAAAATCAATGAAATTCAAAAACATTTTCAAAAATTTCACATAATCATGATAAAATAGCTAGTTTCTGATAAATATTGCAGAGAAAATTATGAAAAATCATGCATTTTTTGTAATTTAGAAAGACAGTTGACACTGCAAAGAAAAAAATCTCATTTTAAAAGATAGAAAACTAAGCATTCTTTACAAACCCCGGATAAAAAAGCACCTTTAAGGGTTTTTAAAAACGTATATTGAAAATAAGCAACTCTAAGCTTTAAACGTCATGCACCCAGATATATAAAAACATAACTTCTAACTCTGACATAAGATTTTGATTTTATATTAAAAGAGGGAGAAGCATTTAAAAAGTATAATTTATATTTTTCTTAAATATGATTTCAAATATCTTTGACAACTATGTTAAAGAAAACTAAGCAATATATAAGGCTTAATAATCATCATTTTAAATTAATTGCCAGTCATTCTTTTTAAATTAAAACAGTCGGAATATATCAAATATAAAGATAAAAGTAAATATTGCAAAAGAGTCAACAAATTAGGGAAAACGATCAAATAATAAATAGTTTTAATATAGTAAACAGTCAAATCAAATAGTAAAGACAGATAAGCAATTCTGACAGAGTAAACATTTAAACTAAAAAGAAAACACCAATAATAATAATTCTTATTGAGTAAACAGTTAAACTAAGATATGAAGATGAAAAATAAATGATTTCAAGCATGCATCAAAAAAATAAATAAAAGTAAATAACTCCATAAACAATATTTTTTTTTAATAGTTGGACTGCGAGGATTTAATTTAAGTTTATATTTATAATCAGATACATAAAAGTTTAATAACTAAGCATGTAACAAACTAGTGCTATAATGCTAATAATTATTTTCAATAGAAAACTTGAGGAAAAATTATATGCATTTTTTTTTTTTTTTTTTGCCGAAAGTGCAAAATCCAGATTTTTTTCACTTCTTTCATGCATAAAAGTGTGCAGAAGAATGAATTGTTTAAATATTAAAGCTTACCTTTATGATTCGACTAATTAGAACATCATATCTTTGGTGATTGATACGATGTTTAGTCAAAACCTTGTGCACCATTGGAATATATATCTGGTATTTTTTGCCCAATTGTATAACCACAGAACATAGGGTATCCATAGCAGTCTATAAAAAATGAAAATAAAAATATTAGGTCCATAAGTCTTATGAATTAATAAAACAATATTTCAACAAATTTTTTTAAGTTTGGTTATAGGAATCTTTTGATAAATTGACGCAATCCATTTTTTTTTCAAATCTGAGAACGAAGACAGATAAATTTATAACATATTAAAAAAATTAACAATAACCCCTAATGCTTTAATAAAAATAGAAGCTGTGATAGTACATCTTTGAATATTTATTTATAACTTTGCAGCAAATTAATCAAGTTAAGCAATTTACACCTGAACGTATTAATGAAGTTCAGACAAAATTCCAAAAATATGCTATTGTATATTGTTGTATGCTGTTAATAAATTTTTTCATTCATTTTAACTACACAAAAATTAATGCAATGATATTTATTTTAATATTGATCTCAATTAAGATAACTTTTTTTTACCATCCAACTTATATTTCTTATACCTTCTTAAACTTAACATTAAATTAAAACTATTTTATACTCTTAACATAGAATAAGCTATGTACCAGCAATGTCTTTTAATTTTGCATTTTTTTCCCTTCCTATCATATAGTCTCAAAATAAAATTATTATGTGTGATTTCTTTAAATACTTCAGCAAACCCCTTTCAATGTTCTTTATCGTGTCAGAGCAAAAAATAATCCTCATCTCAATGAGGAGTATGCAACAGAGATCAGATGATAGTTACCATCATCTATTTCCCCAATCTAATTTGAGAAAAAATCCAAAAATGTCACTAATAGTCCATTAGTGTAGCTCTAATATAATTTTAAGAATCAAATAAATAAAAGGAATATTTCAATTTAACATTTACAGTCTAATAAATTAGTATTGATGGAACATGAAGGCAATAAATGGTAAGTAATGCCGAAATTTTTTTTTTTTCATCTAGATTTAGTAATTATTAAGTTTTCTACAAACATATCCTTTATTTATTTTTATAAAGGGACAAATGCAGACAAAAATGCCAACCAATAAAGAAATTTTTAAAAGTAAATCACTTACTGGGCGAAGTTCGGGTACTGTGTCCAGATTGCGGACCAGAGGTTGCAAAATTCGAGAAGAAAATTCAGTAAAATCCAAGGTTTCTGATAAATGATCAATAGTTTCTAAAGCATGCCTATGAATATTTAAAAAAAGGCACTTATTAGATTTTAAAAAAAAACACTTTGAAGCAATATGAGAAATTTTCAGGCATAAAGTCTTGAAATTGCCAAAATTAATCTTCTGATGCTATTACAAGTACTTCCCTAAAATACATTTTGTTACATGGGAACTTAAAAGATGCTGGTTTGCTTTTTGTAACGAAGCAACATTCAAATTGAAAGATTTTCCCCCCATTTACGAGCAAAACCATCAGATAGTTGGATCGAACAAGATTGGATGAAACATAAACATCATAATTATTCATTCTAATCACTTGTTAACCATAAAATAGAAAGAAAAATTACAAAAAATGTAATGTTTTCAGTACTTTCTTGTGAAATATAAATACAAATAGTTATTTCTAATTTTTAGCTAATGAATGCAGTAGACTTTCAACTATAAAGGCATGATGTGGTTGAGGTGTAGGCCCCATATAATTAAAAATGATTTATTACATAATTAAAAATTCATGCTACACATTTTAAGACAGGTGATTAATCCAAAAATACTTGAAGTTTATAGCAGGGTTGCCATTCAAATCTAGAAAAAAAAAATCTCTGTGTTTTTCCTGTTTATATTATTCACAATATATTAAGAGAAAACACAACAATCATTGTGCTCTTGTATGAGCTGTATTGGGCCATCTATACTAATTATAATTGTTAAAAAGAAACTTAAGGAAAAAAAAGGACAGCTGAGCATAGTTAAAACAAATAATGCTATACTAAATGAGCTAGTTTAATATAGCTGAAATGTCCTCCTTAAATATCCCATAGATTTATACTTTGAGTGGTTACCATTTTTTAAAACACAAAAATAAGAAACAAAATTCCCTGTATTTTCCCCCAGTTTCTAAAGAAACTCAAAATTCCCTGTTATTTTAGGTGATTTTTCGAAAATTCTCTGAGTTTTCCTGTGGAGTGACAACCCTGAATACATAAGTGTGAAAATGTATGACTAGGAAGTGTTAAAATGTACTTGTAAGTGTTAAATGTAAAATGTAATGTTAAAGTCCTGAGCCAGATAAGGAGAAGTCAACAGTATTTTCAAAAAATAATAGTAATGTGTAAATATATACAGGGTGTTCAGTAAATGTTGCGACAAACCTCTAGGAAAGGTAAGGCATATCATAAGTATTAATTGCAAATGAAATTATGATTGATCATCTTTCACTGCTAGGGTCGCTTTCGTATTATGAACTGCTTTTACATGTACCTTAGAACAGGTACTTTATGTCATCTTAATTTCATGTTTTCTAATAATTATTGTCAAAAATTGTGGTCAAATTGGTTCAGTATTGAATTTTTAATTGTTATTTTATGATTTGGTGATTAATTTAACAAGAGCGTCAAATCATCAAATTATTGTAAAACAGCTATTTCTGTATCTATTTGAATACAATTTTCAACAATAATAAAAAGAAAACATAAAATTAAAATATACTAGATAATTAAAAGTACTTGTTTAAAGGTACACATTGAAAGAGTTTATTATAGAGAAATGCCCCTAGCACCGTATGGAGACTGGCCATGGGTTCCAATACAATTCTTAATCTTCATGATGTCCCCTACCTTATCCAGAAGTTTGTTGCAACATTTACCAGACACCCTTTACACTTTAATTAAATATACATACTCTTTTTTTTTAAATTAATCAATATTTTAAAAAATTTTTTTAATTAAATTTGTAAGATTAAAATTTTTATAAATAAATCATTAATAAAAATAAATACCACACTGTTGCTACATTTAAAAATAAGCTAGTAAGTATATGCTCAGAAATTGTTCCAACTCCTTGATTTTTTATAAAGACCCGTAATTTAAAAATAAAAATTACCTCTGCACATTGATAGGAACGTCAGGTGAATCAAAAAGCTTAACAACAGGTGGCAAAATCAAATGTAAATAATCATCCAGATTATTTCCAAATTTTTGTAATGCTATTAGAAGCTGTAAAAATGAATATATAAGTGAAATAAATACAATTTCTAACAAACAAGAATAAGAGCTCTAATATTTTTCTGAGTTCTTTCCCAATAATTTTAAGATTAAGAATGCAAACAAAGAGTAAAACTAGAATACAAATTTTTTTTATTTTACAGATTAATACTAAGACATTTTAGTTTAAGGAAAAAAGAAAGAGCTTAAATTTAGAAGGGCTATTCCACGGTAACTTACGTTACATTCACATAAACTTTATTGCACTGAGAACTCAGAAGCAAACAAATAATACTAATACACACATTAAAATAAAGTGATTTCTTAAAATTACATTCAAAACCAAGAGGAACCTAATTAAAATAATTTATATTTTTCAATTTAAACAGTGTAAAAACCTAAAATTAGTGTGGTAACTTACATTACCGAAAAAGGAATGGCATAAATTTGCAATATACTTGAAGGCAAAATTCTGTTCCTATACAAACGTTAAATGATTAAGATTATATGTATCATTTTTCTGACATGTTTAAATATTTCTTATGCCTAGATTTAAAATTTTATTTCAGAAGTTAAATTAAATATTATTTTTTAAATGGGTAACTTACGTTACGAAATTCACTTTGTAGCAAACTTTTATTCTAATAATGTACAAATGCAAATTAAGATATTTAAACAGTATAGTGCAATGGAGAAAAAGTGTACATGAAGTAAATTCAGATACTTTTGATTCCCACACTTGATTCACACATTACTATGCAAACTTATAATGTCCTCTGTTATTAACTACTACAGGGGGCTCAATTCTTTTCACTATGTTTTCTTTCTGGTAGAATAGTTCATCTCTTTTTTCTGGCCATTTCCAATAGATTCCCAGAGTAGCCATTACATTGAATTCAAATTCTTGCTCTTCAACAGACATTACCACACCAGGATATAACATGTCCTCGTATCTAACCATATACCAATCCCCTGCTCTTATCTTGGATTCATCATTTTGTTTTTCAACATCTTTCACTAAAAAAATCCTTCTGGTAAGCCTTCTTGTTCTTTTAAATAGTAGATCTGCTTAATGTTTTCAATCTGTGGAGCTTTTGAGAATAGAATGGACAGATGTAACTTTTTCTGACGTTTCTTAATATCTTCTGGTGTGATTTCTAACACATTTATTTTTGTTCAATGCTCTTGTATTGCTGCCTCAAACTCAGAGGTATTGGTGACAATATGTTTTCTTCTCAATACGACATTTCTCACACTCCTTTTCCTGATCACCTGTTTCTTTAGTGTGATCTAAATCATCTCACTTATGAAAGCCATTGAATGATGCTTTCCGGAGGACCATGCTGATATGGTGAAAATACTTACTTGCTTCTTCGTCCAGTGTGCACTTTACACCTCGTCTTGGTATTCGCACGAATAATTTTCTGCGAAATATATTCAAGTGATTGCAGTAGCAAAATTGTGTGCTCTTATCGAATGATTGCAGTGCTCTTATCGAATGATGGTAATGTCGAAGTTTGGACTTGCCTTCTGTAAGCAAGCGCTTGTACACGGTTGGTTTTAACATGGTTTCGAAACTGTGGCTTCATGTTCTTTATGTGTTCAGACAAATATTCAGAATTTCCTTATTCTGACATTTTTTTTTCAGTTGGCCAGCATCAGCTTCCTTCTATGCATACCAATTCAAACTATTTTGGTTTTCTTTTTGGGTAATTTTGTTTAGTGAATCTTCAAGTTGATGAGAACAAGTTTCACATTCTCCAGACCAGCACTCATCTGTTTTTTCTAAACATAAAAATAAATTTCTGAAGAATTTCGAAAGATGGAACATTATGGAATTTGGTGAAGGCTTCAGTAGCCAATCCGAAGTTTTCGTGATACTTACGACAAGCATTTCTTGGAATTTTGCTACTGAGTAAAACATGCTTTGGACGGAGCTCAAAGAACTTAGTTTTTCCAATTTTGCATTCTGGATTTCTTTTATAAACATTTGGAGAATTTCTCCAACTGAATGAAGAAGATGCCGTTCTTGGACTTTCTTTTTACTACCATTAGCATCTCGAATTATAATCACATCCTTAACTCCTGATGCTTGTCGAGAGATTTCGTCCAATTTTGAAAACATATGAACTCCAACACCCAATTAAATAACTTAATGCAGAGATTTTCATTAAAATTAATATCTTAAGGCAGTATTTATTCATTTAAAGTTTGGTGTTGTAACTGGATATATCTTATTTAGTTTATATGCCAATTTTCAAGAGGAATAGACTCATTTCACAATGGTAACTTACATTACATGCATGCCAGTAACTTACGTTACACACATTGAATAGTGCACAAAACAATAAATAAGTAATATTTGAAAAGAAAACTATTGCTTCTTATTTATTGTTAGCCTGTAAGAAAGAAAAAATATTATTCTTACTTTTGTATCACTTGTTCTTTTTTGCACATAAAAACTTTTCCTAGTTTTTGGTAACTTACGTTACATGCATTGAAGTTTAGTTGAAATTTATATAATTAAGTGAATTTAACAACAAAAACTTATTTTAACACTGCACAATATTTTTATTAAGTGCAATAAGCAATATTTATTCTTTGGAACATTTTGAAACGAAGATAATGTTAACTTACTGATTTTCAAAATCTGACCATATTCTTCACCCAAATCAGAACAAGCAATTTGCTAGTGTTCAATGGGTCATCAACAGTAAAAAACTAAATTCTCAAAAAAAATTATTATAAATTATCAAACTTCAAACCTTTCTAATACAGAAAAGATCAAAAATAATAATATTATTCTTTTGTATTTTCCAATACTTTTCCCCTTTTTCATGGAATTGCCCAGAAACATTTAAAACTTTTAAATCAAAATGTGCTTAGATAAAAAAAAATAAGAAAAACACAATATCAATTTTATCTAACTTAGATCAACTTATTTAATTTTTAAAAGGCTGTTTAAATTTGAATTTTTCCTTCAAAATTATTTATATATGCAATCAAATTCCCAAAATTACTAAAATTATAGCTTAGCTAAATAAATGGATTTTATTTAACCTGGTAGTTATAAGGCACCAAACCAAGTAACCTTTTTCTACAATTCATTTACTAATTACATTAAATCATTCCTAACTTAAGATTTCTAATTTAATTCAGAATAGGACAATAGAGCGGCTTTCAGGAGAACGCCTTAAAACACCCACACCGCGTCGTGGCGGATACTAAGGATACAAGAAAAAGTCACTTCGAATAGGGGTGTGGGGTGAATAGTTTTGTCTGAAACTTGGCATAGGTCTGCGTGAGTAAACCAATCGACACCTGCATTCCTCTATTTCACTCCCATTAGAGACATGCTCTTGCTTGTTACCATAATAGCAGGCAGCCCCAGACTTTTAGTTTGGAGGAGCTCGCCTCAAAGTCACACAGTAATATTGAACTACAATTACAAGCAATAAAGATACACATTTGTAAGTCATTTAGAGTTACATCTAATCTTGAAAAATGTAATTTCATGTAAGCTTGAATATATACTGAGTTATAAGATTACTACACTCTATTCAATTATATGTAATCCAATTATTTACCTCTGGATTTTTTCTAGCAACAAGAAAATGCCAAAATTTTTTAGAAGGTCTTTTTACCCACACCTAAAAAATGATTCTTACTGACTCAATGCTTAACCATCAGAATTACAATTTATACAGTAATTAGACTTTTGCATCTTTTTTGATTAATTGATGAGTTGAATTGTTAAGTAAATTTTACATACAAGTTAGCCAAAATTAAATTTCTCAAAATTAAATTTATGTTAAGCATTGTATAAATCAAAATGACATATATTCTAATTAAAAAGAGAAAAACTGTGTTTGTTGACAGTTGTGCTTCAAATTAAAAGTTTTTAAAACTTTTTTTTCTTCTTAATAAGAAACCAGTTAACTATTTTGCTCACTCAAAATTATAATGAAAATTTTAAAAATATTTCCGACATGGTTAACATGCAAGACTTCAATGTATATTAGAATCCAGTAGTTTTTTAGTAATCCTTACAGCAATTAATCTTTACAAAAGCAAATCCCATATAGCAGAAAATCGTCAATTTGGTGTCAAAAGTATGTATAATTTACTTTACAACAATTTATGTAACACAAATTTATGAAAAACAAACTTCATATTATAGAAAAAAATGGACATCCAAGAAACGAAAAATAGATGTAAAATTATACATAAACAATTTAATTTATTTTGAAAATATTTTATCAGTTGCAAATATTTTATCAGTACATTATTTTCACATATTATTTTAATGGTTCTTAAATACATGTAATACTTCGTCAATATATGTAACAATATACTTCGTCAATATATGTAAAATACACAGAAGCATTTTTACTAAATCTACATAGTAAATTCACTTTGTCAATATTACGTAAAACATACAAAAATATTCTTACCGAAATAAAATGGTACATTATTTTGTCAATATTGCGAACAATATATGGGAACTTTTTACCAAAATCGAAATGGTAAAATACACATCAACATTTATACGTAAAATGCATAAAATCTTTCTTATCCAAATTTAAATGGTAAATTTACATCGTCAAAAATACATAAAATATACAAAAGCAATCTTACCGAAAGTAGTTGGTAAAATACATTCTGTTAATATTACGAAAAAAAATACCAATGAATTTTTACCAGATATCTCAGAGGATATCTTCCATCAATATTACATAGATATGTGCATAAAGCATATTGATTTTACCGATTTTCCAAAAAAATTATGTTTAATTCCCGTATAATGCTACATGGGATATTACTGATAAGTTGAAATACATTTAAACACAGCATTTCCAAACTTTAATCATAATGTTTTTAAAGATGAAGCTAATATAATTTTTTTTTAAAGTTATAAAAAAATATATTGATTGAATAGAATAGATACTGATACAATACCTTCATGGTAATAGTTCTGTTTTCTGAGGTGTCATGCATGAAAACACGCAAAAAATGTGGGATCAACTGTGGTAAATATATCTTAAATTCAGCTCCAAGGGCAATAACAACCTGCTCTATAAGAAGAAGAATTGTACTCTGCATTGGACTCTGTGGTGTCCAAAAATCCTGAAAGAAAAAAAACAATTACTCAAAACAACAGAATTCAATATGGAAGCTGCACTCCAAATTATTGTACCCACTCTATTGAGACATCTTAGCATGATGTAATTTTAACAATAATAGCAGTTCTCAAAATTCAATTCGGACAACCTTAAAATAATTATCAGTGGTCCCGAGGACAAACAATAGATGTAAAAGACTGGGTGTGGTCTTAATTTTTAGTTTTTTTTTAGTCTATGTTACTGTCATAAAATAGCACATTTCATAGTAGTGACATTACACATTCTCCATAATGTAACTTTTCATTTTCATTCACTTTATAAGCTTTTCTTTTCACAAAAAAAAAATCTAATAGAAGATAGACAGACCAGTGAAAATGTAAATTAATAATACCTTTCGATAACTAGTCCATTGAACCAGTGACAAAAACTTAATTTCAACTGTCGATTAATGTTATCTTTATATTTTATTTTATTACTGTCCTTGAACAGCCGACCCAATTCTGGTTTTACGACTAACAATGTTCAACTCCGTAGCCTTGTAATTTTGAACACAATCCAGAAGAAAAGGGAGCTCCTGGATCAGTACCCCCACAGGTATTGATTAGTTATGGGAACATGAAGGACTTTGTGACCGGACAGACTTAATATTCATCAGTCACCATTTACTACGCTTGGAGTCTTCGGCTGACGGGGATCAAATCCATGACCTTTTGGACATGGGCCCAAAGCCTTACCAACCAGGTAAAGTTATCTTCATGAAACAAAAACTAGCAATGGATACACAAACAAGCTTATCAACAAAGGAGAAAAAAATTATCGCACACCATATAATAAAGAAATGCCAAATTAGTACACATTCGAAATTAGTACACCATTAGTACACCATTTAATCTAATTCAAAATGATGTGAAATAAGCAGAATTAATGCTATATAAACAAAAATAAGATTATTTAAAAAAATTTTAAAAAAAAACCTTCTACAGTGTCATAACATAGAAAGATTAAATTGCATTACATGGCATTTGCATTACCCGCATTTGCATTACATGGAGAAGAAAACCACAAAAACCTTCCACGGTTAGCCTGACGACAAGGGGACTTTAACCCAAGATTCGTCTACCACTGAGGATGTTTCATGTCAGCACTGTGGTCGGTGCAAGCCGGATGCGGAATTCATATCAACCAGCCATCACCGGAATTCGAACCCTGTTCACCTTATAAGAAGACAAATGCTCTATCAAAACTTAAAAGAAATTTTGACTTTTACCTTCAAAAGACAAAATATATCATCTAGATAGTTTCGAATATGAATCTTGACAATGCTAATTATCTGGCACAGCTGTTGAAATAGAAACTGAAAGGAAAAAAAAAAAAAACATTTTATAACTCTGTACATTTAAAAGAAAGAACAAAATTTATGTACCATTCTCAAAATTCGGAATATATATCAAAAGTAAATAGTTAATATAAATTATACAGAAAAAATTAAATAAAATTATGAAGACTTCAAAGAAAAAAATCAGTTTATTTCATTATTTTTCCATAAAATAATAGATGTTTTATATTCAGATACATACACAAGAGAAATTGTTTAATTTATAAGTTTGAAATAAAAAAGTTTAGAATTGAAGACTGAAATCAACACTACTAAAATCAATAATGCCAGGAAAGTATATGTTTATCTACAAATTAAAAAATTTTGTAAACGAATATCATTTCCACTAAAATTTAATAATTTATCCAAAAATATTTTTAAAAAAATTTAGAAAAATAAAAAACAGAAAAATCTATACAATAAAAATTATTATCTACATTTAACAAAAGTAGTTCATGAAGATATTTTTAAAAATTTAGCAGTAGAAAATTAGACAGCAGACACAAATTCATTCATTGTTGAAATTCATGCTTTTAGAAAATTATAAATTCCAATCATAAATTTTCTTTATTGGGAAATTTTTAGATTACTTTTTAATTTTCTTACATGAAGTTTTAATATTTTCATATTGAATTATAAATGAATGAATTTCATCAACATTATGAATCATAAAAATTAATATACCAGCATTTCATACCAATACTAATAGAGATTTTTAATTCTCAACACAGATTTAGACTATCCTTTTGTTATTAAAAAAAGCTTCGGTAAAATAAAAAATAAAAACAGTTTCTTAAAATTATTATACTTTAATTATCTGCATCAATATATTGAAAATATGTTTCGAATTATAAGGAGGCTAGATACAAAACTATTTATTTATTTTATTATTTTTATTTTATTTATTTATTATTATTATTTTTAGTTTTTTTCCACGAATCCCTAGCAAAAATTTTACTTCGATCCCAGATGGGCTCAAAATTGGCTCGATGTGGGTCCTATATTGTCATCGCTCAATATGCACTGAGGGACCAATATTGGGAGAATTAAACAATTCTACATAGGACCAATATCGTAAAATAACGGCCCTTTGAACCCTTATTTGGTCCAATGAGGATCCAAGTTATTTTGCTACAAGAGATTATTGTCAACCCTTAAAAATAAATCACATTAATAAGAAATGCGATGTTAAATTTTAAAATTATATAGTTACGATGTTTGATTTCATAATTGTGTGAATATGAATCTCAATATATAATTAAGTTATGTGAATAGAAATCACAACAGTAGCTTTAGAAGTGAAAGAATACGGACCACGATGCTCGATTTTTAAATTGCATAAATACGAATGATGTTTTGTTTATTCACATGAATACAAATCACGATGTTTAATTTTAAATCACATGAATATGAACCACAGGTGTGAAATTTTAATGACGTCAACTTGAATTGGACTTGGAGATTGCAAGTGTGACTCGCAAGTCAAGATTATATTGAGTTAATAATATTTCAATAAGATAAAAAAAAAATACTATACGAAAAACACATGAAATAATGAGACATCAATCACATTAATATTATCGCAAATAGCAAAAAGGATTCATATCAATCACTATGTCTATTTTGCAAATGTCATTAATATAAATTGTGATTAAAGAAAAAAACAAAATTTTGTCGAATAGCAATAAAAATTCAATGTTGGTAGTTAAACGGAAACGGTAAAAACCCACATCTACCATATTAATAATCATAAAATTTAAATATCAAGTAGTTAATGACAGCATAACTTGAGACACGTAAGGAATTGAACTTGTTCTCATATTTTGCAATGTTCCAAACATTTTAGAAAGAAATTTTATAAGATACTTAATTATATTATTAAAAAGAATTAGAATTTTTTCTCAATTTAAAATTGCTACCTGTTAAAAAGCAAATAAAAGTGGAAAAATAAAATAAATCACCTCTCTAAAAGGATTGTCAGCAGTTTTGATAACATTAATGAATGATGGCATAACCTGAGGAAGATAAGGTACAGCACTTATTCCCATATTTTTGAACAGAAAAGTAATAGCATGGACTGCCATGGAATGATGCTGATGCAGCAGAGGCTCCCTGATTATTTTCATCAGTGTGACAATGGCTATTTGAGGATAAAATTCATCTAGGGATCCAGACATATTTACTAACATCTCACTTGCACTCATTTCTACAAATACAACAAAAGCTTTTCACACAAATTTATTTTTTACATAAATCATACATGAAATACATACAATAATTTCATACATAAAATAATACATAAAAAATACAATAAAATATTTCACGATAACTAACGAATTTTAACGAATAAACTGAGCATTTTCGAACAAAGAAAAGTTTTAACCTCATTTTTATAAATGAGGCTCACTACATTATGTATTACTAATACTCATTTTTGTATTCAAGAAAGCAATAATCTGAGGGAAAATTCTATTTGAATATGAATTTTTTTTAGGTAAGTTACTAAATTTTTGGAAGCTTTCTAAAATGCACGAAAATCAGGAGAATTTTCATTTTTATGAAGAGGAGAAACTGTAAAAACCCAGTAGTCTACTGGAAAATCCAGTAGAGTAAGAGGCTATGGTACAATAAATGCAAATGATAAATTTAAACAAAACGTACCTTGATTGTCTGCAATATTTGTAGAATTTCCTATGCTCAGCATACCACTACTTGATTCTCCAGAGAGGTCAATTAGACCAAGTGTGACTTTGTACTTAAAAGGATCCAATGCACCCAAAAGACCAAGAACACGAATAGCCTAAGAAGATAAAAAATATTGTAAATGGCCATGAAAAATTAGTTTAGCAAGAAAATAAGTGAAACTCAAATCAATAACAAACAAAATAAGAGTAATTTAATAATGGAAAATGTGGCTCTATACAAATAGGCAATTCCTCCTTTTACCAACATCTTATTAGAAAACTTTAAAATCATAGATCTCAGTTAAAAAAATACTCAAGATGTTTAATATTTTTTTGTAAAAATAGACTTTGGTGTCATTTATACTTACTTTAACTATAAAACCTTTAAAAAAATGTAGACTTTTTTAAAAAATTTAAAAATTTAAAAATTGGCTGTTACGGACGTAACATATTGTGTCATTTCTGTAACCTGTAACACCTAGTTTTTATTTTTAAAAACTTTTAAAATTTATGAAAGTTACTAAAAATTGAAGTAAGTGTAAATGACAGAAAGACTTATTTTTACAAAAATGTATTATTAGAGCAGTTTGAATATTTTTATCTGAGTAATATGCTTAAGAAATTTATAAATGGAGTTGTTCTATAATTAATGTCATACAACCTCTTCTCATATCATCTTAAAGCACACAAAAAAATAATTGATTAGGTATTTTTTATAAACAAAAAATAAGAAAAAAAATCAAGGTATTCACCAAGGAATAAAATGACTTTCCATATTTTTTATTCCAGGGAAACTATTTAATTTGTTTCATAACAAATTTAAGAGGATTTAAATTTTTTTAAAAACTAACATAAAATTTTTAATGATTTTAAATAGCGAAACAAATATTAATTATTTTTTACATTATATTACCTTTAGATAATTGAATAAATAGGTATAAGAATTGTATGTTCTTCTGTGCAATTAGTTCCACAGATTAACAAAAAACCAAAATGTAAACATAACTTAAAGGTAATCAAACTTCTGACTATCATCCTCACTTAACTATTAGGCCTATTTTTCGATTTGCATCTGTTTTAAGGTATATAATCTTAAAAAATATCACAAATTACTTAAAATTTTTTAACATGTTAAATATGATTAAACTTTTGTGCATTCAGCAAATAAATAGAAATAAGCACAAGAAAATTTAAATTTTTCGCCAGAAAAAAGAAAATAAAAATTTGTGCAACAAAAATTTTTACTTGTCCATAAAACTTCATTTGCTTCATAATTAAAGTAGAAAAAGACTATTCTCCATTTTTATTACGAAGCAAATGAAGTCTTCATTGATGAATAGATTTTTTTTTTCACTTCAATTTCTTGAGATTATTCATCTCAAACAAAAATGCATTACACCAACAAATAAAAAACTAAATTAATAACTATAAAAATAATTAAAATGTAATGTAGCATTTCTAATTTTTATATTTTGTTTTTTTAAATTTGAAAAATACAGTGCACTCCCGATTAACCGGGTTAATCACCGAGACAGGTCGCACGGACAATCGAAAAAACACGGATAATCCGAAAACTTTTTATTAAAGAAAAAATCCATATCAGTACGAAAAATATAAAAATTACTGACATTTGCATCCCATATAACTTCAAACTAGGAATTTTCCTTTTTAAAAAATGTGTAGTTGTTGTTAATTTACGTCACACTAGAGCTGCACAATGGGCTATTGGCGACGGTCTGGGAAACATCCCTCTGAGGATGATCTGAAGACATGCCATCACAATTTTGATCCTCCGCGGAGGGGGATGGCACCCCCGCTTTAGTAGCCCGATGACCTGCGCGCAAAGTCGAGCACTTTACGGTAGCACAGTTTAACGAGGACCAATACCGCACATCCTCGGTCCCTACGCAGACTGATCCAAGTGGTCACCCACCCGCACACTGACCGCAGCCAGTGATGCTTGACTTCGGTGATCTGCAGGGAACCGTGTAAAAAATGTGTAATACGCCGCATATTGACACATATTTTACAAACCGTTGTAATGTCACCGTAATCAAATACTCCTATATAATCTATTAAAGTTTCAACAGATTGTAGAGCAGCAGAAATCGTATTTCCCTCATTTATTACATCTTCTGCATCTGTTACTATCATCACTATTTGATTTAACAACATAACGATGTCTTCATCTGTCAAATACTGGAAGCCAGGCTCACATGCATCACTTTGAAACCTATCTTCTAATTTTTCTTCATCAAGAATTTCGAAACCTTAGATTTCTTTTGCTTGCTCGAGAATATTGTTATCATATTCTTCTTGAATATCTGAAGAAGGTTATTCATCAAGCGGTATGATCTTTCTCCACGATCGTGATAACATAGACGATTTTACCTTTGATTGTGCTGCTGATATTCCATATACTGCAATCCAATAACGAATATTGCTTTCCAAAGATTTTGTAGTGTTATAACTTCATGAATCAAATGTTTTTAAATTTTGAAACTGTTTCTCTTTAAATTTTTTGTACGACTCCGGAATAAGCACGGATAATCCGCGCACGGATAATCGAGAGTGTACTGTGTATAAAAGTTTTAATCAGTATAAAATCAAAGTTTAATGGGGATAAATCAGATTTTTATAGCTTAACATTAAAGTAACTGTAATAAACTAAAAAAGTTAGGAATAACACAGGATTATCCTATTAATTTTGGAATAAAATTTAATTTGACTATATTACTTCTCTTCTAATGGTGGGAGATTGCTCTGTCTTCAAGAAATTCAATAGAAGCTCCAGCAGGTTTGGGTACTTCATGTATGGTTCAATTACATAACCAGTGCTCTCAATCAGTTGTCCAAGGGTCCATAAAGCAACCTAAAACATTACTTTTTATACATCTTACATCTACAATCACAATTAAAACAAAATATCAAATTACAAAAAATTAAAAGTTATAGAAAAAGTAACAATTTGTACTAACAAGATTTAAAAAGATATTTTTCAACAAATTATATGAATTTAAAAGAAATTACATTTAATCATTTTACAGTAAAAAATTACATCATTTTAAAATAGTCTGACAGAAATAATATATAATATTAAAAAAAAAATATTCCAGGGTGCGTGGTAAAGTTTCATATAAAATTTCCAAAACTTCGATGCGTAAACTTTCAAAATCCTTTTATTTTGCAATTTTTTTTTTAATTTGCTACTTAGTAAAATATTAAAAGGTATATCATTTCCCATATATAATTAAATAAAATTTTAAGGACACATGCCTCAAAAATATAAGACTATTTCTAATACTTTCACTGAAAAAGAAAATTTAAAACACAAATTAAAGATTTACATTCAAAATAATATAATTATGTTTCAATTATTTATCATAAAATAAATAAAGAAAATTACGTAATAAATAAAATAAAGTTGTAGACTATTTACTTTTATTAGTACATAAATTTAAATATTACTAATATATATTTTTTTTAAATATTTATCATGGAAATTTACTTACCAAAAATAAAGAAAAACATTTTTAGTTCCTCTAAAAATGTATAAATTAAAAGAACAACTTTTATATGAAAATATTTTTCCCATAACACCAAATTTGGAAAAAATTCTTAGGCACAAATATTGTAAATATAAACAAACAAATCAAACAATTTTTCTAAAAACTTTTTTTTTTTTTTTTTGTACAAATATGGTAAATATGTAAAAGTTAAAGAAACAATTTAGATCGAAAATGTTTTTCTTATTACACATTGAGTTAAGAAACTTAGAAACTTTTTGTGGGTAACAATAACAAAAACCGAAATAAAAGCAAAAGACAGTTAAATACATTTTCCCCAGATATTTATAAATTTAAAATTGCATTCAGAAAAATTCCACCTTTTCCTAAGAGATTTAAAATTTAATAGATTCAAAAACTTTCCGAGATTATTATTTTTTTTTAAATTACCAATTTCCACTGACTTTTCAAGTTTATTTGTATTTTCCAAATTGTTAGATTCCCTTCAAAAATTATTCTTAAGCTTCTAAAATAAAACTCATAGGAATAAAAAAAATTGGAAATAATGTCTATTAAATGTACCTCTCTCTTGGGCAAAGAAGATGAATCCTGCATCATATCTAAAAGGATTGGCATCAGCTGGTCCAGCCACTTACGCATCTCTACACCACTCACCTTAACATATAGAAGAAAACAATAAAAAACTATAGTGAAATCATAAAGAAAATACAATATAATCAATCATTTTAATATGAAATTAAGTTGAGTGCTAAGCATAGGATAATTCTTTTACGACAAATGTGTATAGCTACCATCTATGGATATTGCTATGGATATGCAGGGCCTGCGCTAAGCATTTGCCACCTTGCAAATTGTGATAAAATTGTAAATTTGGCAAATAAAGTTGTGTTTTGATGAAAGTATTGGCTAATAATTTTTTCCACTGGAAAGAAATTTAAATTACCTCAAAATGAATTTTTATAAACAATCAGTATTTTTTATTCAATTACAGTAATTTTTGGAAGATGCGTCACATGACCAATTAGAATTGGATCTTAATAATATAAGCCTGAAACAAACTACTGCACAATAGTTCTCTACGGGGGGGAAAAATTAACTAAAATTTTTTTTTTTAAGATTTGCAATTGACGAAGACGTTTAAAAATTGGTGAATACTTTTGATGTTTGGCTAATTTACTGGCTAATAATTAGAAATCCTTAGCGTTGGCCCCGGATATTGATATATATCACAAAATTTTTTCACTAAATCATTTACAGGTGCAGAGGTCATTAAATACTGAAAAAAATTTTATAATAACATACGAATATAACTTACTTATATGTACATATCCTACAAGCAAGTATTTATTGAATTTACTACATAAATAACAAAGAATTAAACGTAAATGCAAAAAAAAAGTTAATGAATACTGTTTAGTTTCTTACCTGTGCTTGTTCTCCAATTGCAGCAAGAATACTAACAGTAACACCTGGATTTGGATCAGGGTCTCGCAGCTTAGGAATAAGGACCTACAATAAAGCATGTAATTTAAAACATTTTTGAAATTCAAATAACATAAGAAATATTTTATGTAACATCTAACTTAGCAAATATTTAAAAAAAATATCAATTCCTTACTGAAAATGGACAAACATACTTTTTTTAAAAAATAGATCATAATTTTTTTAAAAAGAATACTAGAAATTGCAACAGCAGTGGTTATATGGCTTAGCTAAATTACATTAGTTTACCAGAGTCCTCCGTAGGAATAAAAAAGGACACGTAAAAAAAAAAAGGATGGTTTAAAAAATAATTTTAGAATTTAAATTCACTTAAAAAATTTACTAATATACTCCCTGAAAAAAAGAGAAACTTATAAAAATTTAACCAGTTGAGAATAATCCCAACAAAGTATAATCAGAATTAAACCCATAAACATAGATAATTTTATCTGCGTGGAATTATTTAAACAGTGACTTATTTATTTAATTAAATGGACTAAGAGTAAAAAAGCAGGTTATTTTAACCACAAAAAAAAAAAGGCAAAGAGGGTGCATTTATAAGGATCAAAGAGCAGATATGGCCGATCTAAAAATGATTAGGGAAAACACAGGTTTACAAATTAAAAAAAAAAAAAGTGTACACATTTAATCAAACACAATAATTTAAAAAAAAAAAGAGACAATAAAGTAATATGGTATTTTAATTTATAATTATGTGATGCTAGAACTGATCATTGTAACAAACGTGAGATTCAAAAATAGAAGAGAAAAGAGCAAAAATCTGCGATATAAAAAAAATTAAAAGAATGATTTTAAAAAACAATTAAGATCATTTTGCGTATAGGAGGTATGTAATGGAAACAAACGTCTTTTCAGTGATGCGAAAAATGGCTCTAGAATTTTAATGAATATATTACTAATTTTAACTTTATAATCTTAATTTATTTTAATTAAAAGACGGTTTTAATATAATTTGCGCACATTACTAACAAATGGAAGCATTAAAATAGAAAGTTATTGTTCCAAATTAAGACAATTAATCAGTTCCAAAATTAGTCACCTACATTTCTACCTATACACTCTTATCTAAAATATTTATATATATATACAGTGAAACCTCCTGTTATGGACCCTCCTGCAAAACGGACGCCTCTCAATACGGACATATTTTTAATTCCCCGGGAATCTTCTATGAATAAACCATTACGTACATTCTCTGCAAAGCGGACACTCCCGTAACCGGACGCGGACAGTCATTTTGGTCCTGAAAGGTTGTTTTTAATCTCTACAAGCCGGACACTACTTTTTCTAAATAAATTGCAAGCTAAAAAAATTCAAATTTTTCACCATTTTTAAAGCATGTAAATAAAACTTTTTGCCTTATCCATAACTAAAAATATTGTTAAGCTATTTCACCACCGAAAAATCAATCTTTCTCCTGTCACCTTGCCTTATCTTTGTAAAGAAAGGAGAGAAAATGGTACTGCACTCCTGAAATAATTCTGACATCGGCATCTTTTGATCTTTTCATCTGGACCACACAGGTTATGAGACCCCTCAAGTTGAAATGACTTCTCTCAATGCTTCTTCCCCATTGAAAATTTCTTTAATTTTCTTATCAATTTGAAGACTGTATTTAACACAACTGGGGTAAAAAAAAAAGAACAGAAGTATAATCTTTGAGGTGTTTATATAAATGAAACATTTATTCAGACACTTGATAGCTGATCAATTGTGAATAATCATCTCCATAGGTCCTCATGACTTACAGGTATGCATTACTTTTTTTTCTGTGAATCATAGGAGGTTTATTTTCCAAGAAGGTATTAACCATGTTCCCTATCAAATGATAAGTAGGTGTAAGGGGATGTGAACTTAATAATTGAAACGGACTGAGGACAGTACGCTCCTATTTGGTATCATATGTTTAACTTGAGTATCTATGCTAATAGGAAAATTATATTTATTTATCTGTAGCTACATCCAGAATTATGTATTTATTTCAAACTTCTTTATATATTCTTTTTTATCTTTCTTATTGTTTAAATAAATATTCTTGTAGATATTTACAGTATCCTTGTAGATATTATTTAATTGTTTCTACATTTTTGAGAATATTCTAAAAACAATTTACGGTGTTAAATTTCGTTATTAGGGTACCCTTCCCGTAAACGGACAACTCTCATAAACGGACAAATTTTTTGGTCCCACGAATGTCCGCTTAACGGAGGTTTCACTGTATATATATTTTTTTTTACTTTGTTAATAAAAAAAGAATAGAATCGAAGGATTATTAAAAACACTTACATTTAAAACAGGTTCCATATAGGGTCGGATTAGTCTTGGGGCATTGGCACCTAAATGTCCCAACATCTTGGCACTTTGTTCTTTGTTACGACCGATACCCGAATGTTCCAATTCTGTTAAGATCTGAAATAAATCATAGAGGTAACATTAATGCCTCATCTATTTATCAACAAAAAAAAACTTAAATTAAATACTTGTATTTTTTTTAAAGATTGTTTATGAAGAAACTAACAAATAAAATTTTATTTTTAATTGTTTAACAAGTTTATTTATAAAAGGTCTTATCGTTTATGTACAGTCTTAACAAATTTACTTATATAATCAAAATGAAATATCAAACTATTTTATTTGAAGGTATAGGTTCGAGATTGTGATGACTGATAACAATAAAGATCTTAAGTTTATGGTTACGATGAGCAAATTAAAATTTTTTAAAAGGCAATATTGACTTTTACTTGATTTTCAAAGTAAAAAAATAACACAAAATGGAGTTGAGATGATGATTTTAGTACGAAAAATGACGAAACCAGACACAGAATAAATGAGAATTTTATATGTTTTTAACAAGTCAGCCATTCAACTTGAACTTGACACAACACATTCTGACAAGAAGGGAAAAAGAAGAAGAAAGCATAGTGATTTGTATGTTGCTTCTTATTCTTATCATCTCTGTTTTTAAAAATTTTAAATAAATGCATTGATGAAGAGAAAATAGGACTTGTAGTAGATGAGCATTTAATGATAAAATGAAGTCAAAATCAAGCAGAAGAAATTAACTTTCAGAATTTGTACCACATTTTTGAAGGAAAAAAAAAGTTAACTTACTTAGAAAAAGAAACTTACTTAGGTTCTTGAAATACAAACTACTTCAAATTTCTTAATCTTTCTGATATTTTCATTAAATTCCCCTGATTTTTCCAGATTGATAAAATTTCCTTTCTTTTCTCCTTTCTATTCGGTTTCTTTGTTTAGTTGTTCAAGACCTTGCTCAAAAATCATACAACCAAAAAAATAAATAAATAAAAGATGATGGTTGCAAAAACAATTACTTGAATGAGAACTTTTCTCAGAGAAGGCATAATATATGCAGGATTAGCAGCACTTAAGCGACCAACAGTACAGAGGGCCAGCTCCCTTATTTCAAACATCTCATCATTCAGGGCAATGAACAGAGCATTCAAATTATCAGCCTGTGCCAAGTAGCTGTCAAATTTGTCATCCAGTGAGGCTAACACTGAGTATCTAACATTCATGTCTGCAGAAAAGAATACATAAATTATAATTATGTATAATAATAATCTATAATTGTTTTATATTTATAATATTTATAATAATTTTTCTTAAAACAAAACTTGCTTCTATCATTATAATTAAAATCATTTTAAAGAATTCTCTAAAATTATTTACCTATTTTCAAAATGCCATAATTTATAAAAAATAATCTCCTCTTTGAAAAAGTTTGGAACAAAAATCATGAATCATGTCTTAATTAAAGTAAAGATGTACATTTCTATAACTTTTTAAAGCTGTGTGTGAACGAGAATTTGAGTAGAAAAAAAAGGGGATAATGACAATAGAAATAATAAATGTCATGTTAATGGAATATTGCATAAATTTCAAAATTTAAAATTTAGATTTGTGGTACTCCTCAAAAATTTTGCAAAACAAGTTTTTGATTCACGCAAATCAATGGCCTTGACATACGAAGAATTCTGCCAATTAGCAGAAAAATTACATGCTCTTCTCTTAGTGTTTAAACCCCAGTGTGTTTATACCAAAATTCCGAGCTATAGTCGGAACACAATCACTCCTTTTAAGCTATGCTATCATTTAATTTTGATTTATGTTATTTTAGAAAATAACCGTTTATAATATTATAACCAATAATTTTGATTCATATACAGTTTATTTGTTTTGATTTTTATAACATTATTTTAGAAAATAACTGTTTATAATATCATAACCGTCATTGCACAGTCGACAAATTTTTTTGGGTTTACTAATGTTCAACTCTGTAGCCTTGTAATATTGAACCCAAGCCAGAAGACAAGGAAACTCCTGGATCAAGCATTGGGAGAAATTTGCCTTCGTGGTGGACTTTTTGACGGAACTCACCCGCATTTGCATTACATGGAGAGAAAACCACAAAAACCTCCCACAGTTAGCCTGAAGACAAGGGGACTCTAACCCATAATCCTTCTACCACTGAGGATATTTTGCATCAGCACTGTGATTGGTGCAAGACAGATGCAGAATTGGTATCAACCAGCCGATGCTGGGATTCGAACCCGGTTTACCTCATTGGAAGGTGAACACTATCCCCTTAGCCATCACGGCTCAACCGTTTATAAGATTCATTAAAAATACTTACCAGAATCTGTAACTCCGACCATGAGTAACTTTGCCAACACTTCTTGGACAGTTGCTGTAAGAGAGGAGCTGTACCTTCCACTAGCTTTCATGCTCTGAAAATGTACTGAATGTATCAGGATCAAAAAGAACAACTACATTTTATAAATCATAATTATTTTAGATTATAGAAAATTTGAAATTTAATAGTACATAAACTAAGGCAGACATTGTATAAAACTTACGTATTTCATAACAAGCAAAAACTACTAACTCATATTTCTTTAATGTGAAACAAAAAATACTTGAGTACTTCTCTTAACAGAACAGCTTATAAATACATATAAGAAAATGCAATTTTTGAAGATCTATAGTCATCTTTTTCAAGAAAAAATAAGCATCTTTTAAGTTTTTTTTAAGCACTCAAAAATATTTTTAATTACTTCCCAAAAAAAAAAATTATAATTATAATTAGGATCTGTGCAATAATAAAAATTATTTTTTTCTATCGTTTAAAGTTCTTACTTTATTAACATAAAACCAATAAAATTCAAAAACATTTTTAAAACCTTTACATAATCATGATAAAAATAACTAGTTTCTGATAACTATTGCAGAGAAAATTGAGAAAATCATGCAGTTTTTTGTAAATTAGAACGACAATCGACACAGCAAAGAAAAAATATCTTTTTGAAAGATAGAAAATTAAGCGCTTTTTACAATCTGCAAATAAAAAAAGAACTTTAAGGGCTTTTAACAAACTTAAATAAAAAATAAGCACCTTTAAGGACTTTTTAAAAACGCTATGCGCCCTGAAATATCGTTAATACATCCACAAACACACCTCTTTCTTGATACTAGTACAGTGTTTTCATCATAGAAAAAAAATGGGTGAGAATATCTCACCCTTTCTCAAAAACAGGGTGAGATTTCAAAAAGTTAAGTGAGATTTCTAAAAAAACAAAAACTCTTGAAAAAAAAATCATTTCTTTAATTATAATACATTGTTAACGTCTTCTATTTTTTAAAGCATTGAATATTTTTGGTGCATCATCATAGAAGATTTTGCCTTTGCAAGGTATTTGTCCATCTTACATAAGTGCATAAAAATTTTGAACGTCTTACATGAAGAAACTTTACCTACGGTAAACGCGTGGTTGCAGAGAAATGTATTCTGAAAGGGGTTCCATGGTTGTGTTCTGTTGTTCGAAGAGGTTCTGAACAATACTGGTAAATAGGGAAGCTAGATAATGGGGCAGATGTTGAAAATAATGAAAGATCCAGGAAGAAAAGATAAACGGATTTTATTCTAAATGGCGTAATTCGAAGTTATTACCAAAATGCGAGAAATTCGTGAATGTTGAAATTGATTTATAGAATGCGCGAATTTCTCGCAGTAATCATTTTTTAATGCGAGAAAGGAAAAAAATATGCGAGATTCTCGCGTTCTCGCGCTGTAGTGAAAACACTGTAGTATATCTGTTGATGAAGCTTTTCACAAAGCCGTGGTCAGTATCATAAAACTGACTAACACGTACCCTTGTAACCACAATGAAGACATAACTGCAAATAGATACAACATTAATAAAAGTTTTGCAGCGATAGTGAGGACAGGACATACAAAAGAACGCCAAAAATTGTGCAATATCGAGGATAGAGCCTTGAAAATTCAAAATAATGCCTAAGATCATGAAATGGTGATGAGGACAGAATATCCAAAAATAGAAAGCCAAAGATTATGTAGCAACAGATAAAACTGAACTTAAATATATTACAATGCCAAAAATTTTAAAGTGATCGATAGAACGGAACTCCAAAAAATAAATAATAAGATCAAAGAATGTAGTGACTGTGTTGACAGAACCCCAAATCTGTCATTCTACACATAAGCCCTGTGGCAAAATGTTTTTCAGGCTTTCTGCGACAAACTTCCCTATCACTAATATATTTTGCTTTAAGATACTTTTAATTATAACAATTACTAATTTAAAGTAACAATAATGTTGTTTTTACAGAAGAAAGTATAGAATAAAAATATATAATAATTTTTAATTGTAAAATTGATATTTTTCTAATTCTAATATTATAGGAGATATTCTTGCATTGTGTAGGCGGAAAAATACACTAATTATTTATTCTTTTGAATTTTGTAAACCATTACACAAATTAAAATTTGTAAATAAATTAAAATTTGTACATAAATTAAAAATCATAAAATCCGTGCAGTAACTCCCAAAATAAAGATCCCAAATCACGCGAGTAGGACTATTTAAAAAAGATACACAAATAAGTGTATCTCTTCAATAAAAATAAAGATACAAATAAGTATAAATATATGGTGTTCCTTAAAGGAAAAAAAAAATGAAAGACAGAACATCATTTCTAGAGCGAATTATCTTTTAAACTTTTGCGATTTCTGAATTTTTTATTTTAAATTATTAATTTGAAATTCTAGCTGAAGATTTACCGATTATTATTTATTTTATTTTAAATCTCAAATAAGAATGGAAAAATCATGATTATTTCTTTATTCCCTGATGGGCAAGAAGACATCTTTGGGAGAAAAAAATTCTGCAGAAAAAAAAAGAAAAAACATTTTTCAAAAAATTGTGCTGAAAGGAAAATCAAAATTTTCCCTTTCCTAAATGAAAAATCTTTCTGTAAAAACTCTAAGGTTATGCGACAATGTCGCTGCAATTCTGCCACAGAGCACATCAATAAGTTATGTTTCTCAGTTTAAAGCAGTCACCCAGCTTTGAAAGACTAGGTTCCTTAATGAAACAGTAATAAATGTTTCACTTCATACTTACATCTACAGCAGGAGATAAAAGCTTGCAACAGGTACGAACAGCTTCCAATCGTATCTCTTTATTTTCACTAGATAGGTAGTTCTCAGCACAGTAGCGAACAAAGAGCATTAGAGGACGTCCTGTAACACATTCAAAAGAGACAAACTTTTACTACTAAAATATGAAAGCTCTTAATTTTTAATAAAAGATATTTTTAAAACTTCTTCATAGTTATTTGAATTTTGCAATTTGTCAAACAAGTTAATACACTAAAGGAGAAAAAAAATCCTAACACTAAAAAGGAGTTGTGCTAGATTAATTAAATTTGGTAGGCTTGCTTATACAACTAAAAGATGTCTATTCAAATTTCACACTTAGTGTATAAGTTTGGCGCTTGTAGAGCCACTGTGAACATGCAAATCAGGACTGCTTCGAATATGTCTTCCACAGTTCGTAAGCATTATTTTTTGTTAAATTTTCACATAGACAGTTGCTGTTAGTCAAGAATGATCACATTTTATTGATTTAAGAAAAAACAGATGCACTTTTAAAATTAAAAAAAAAATTGCTAACTTCTAATAACCCACATTTTTAAGTTTTATTTTAAGTTTGTATATTAGGTATGTAAGTTTCATTTTAAAATTTGGGATTGGTGCATGATTTAAAAACAATTACTTAGGAAATAAAAATTTTCACATTTATTCATTATTAAATAAGTACTTATTTTCTTGCAATTAAAGATGAAGCATTTGAAAATATCTGGATTTCGCATAATTTTTTTTTTAGTTTGTATTAAATATTTCATGTTCCCCAAGCACCAATTTTACAAACTTCACATGATAAATAAAATGTGATGAATAAAAGTTTTATGGAAAAAGTAATTTTGACGTTACCTTGAAAATCAAAGCTGCCAAGAGTTTTTAAAGCTAATGTTAGGCTTGCAGCATCATTCACTTCTAGCAAGCTCTGGTGAAGGCCTGAAATGTTAGTCGAATAAATAAATGAAACACTTACCAAGAACAACACTAAATTAAAACTACAATATTAGAATAATTAGAAATAAAAGTCAATAAAAACTCAAGAATTAATTTTCTGTAGCTAAAACAGATGATCTTTATAAACTTCTTTTTCATTGACTCAACAAATAGGAGTGGGCCTTGGCCTTAAGAAATTGGTTTTCTAGCAGCAAAAGCTTTTCTACCAGCAAATTGTTCTAGTTTTTTGTCCACAATACCAACAGACCTTTTTCAAAGCCAACTCAAATTTGGTCTGCCTTTTCTTTGACTGCCTGCTGGATTGGTACTGTAGATTTTTTTGTTAAAATTCCTTAGAATGCATAAAACAATGTTCCATTTATTGTTTATACAAACTTTTTACAAGAACTGCTTTGATATAGGCATGAGTAGTTATATACAATAACCCGCAAAAATTTTTTATTCTTTTATAATATTCAATTAACAATCTTTGGGATAACTAAGAATTATTGTCACCAGGCATGTTGGGAGAAAAATTTTAGAGGGAAGATTAGCAGAAATAACTCATTAATATATATATTAAATTGTTTATATGCATATGTGGGGATAGCGAGTAGTTATCAACGTCAACCTTCATCTATGACAAGATACCACCATAGAATTGAGTTAACTTGTCTTATATACTAGCGAATTGGAATTGTAATTTTGTAGTGGTAGACACCTACACATAGAAATATTTTTTTCACATTCTTGTATCTCTTTTACATATTTTTTCTTCTCCTAAAAAAATAGTGCAGTTAATTTTAATTTGTTTTCTCTTCGTTGGTGTACTAATAACTATTTCTCCTGCTTGCTCTAAAAACCATCTTTTCTGTTTTAAATTATGACCTTTTTTTTAAAAAAAAAACATTCTTTGATTTCTAGTTTTATTCACCATTTTGAAAAACTTCTGGCCATGGCCAAAGACAGTAATAATGTAAGAAATTTGTTCTAATATTTTTACATGACAAAGGTTTTGTTATCTCAACTATATTGAAAGAAATGATAAAAGATACAAATTCCCAATATAAATACATATTATACAAAATGAGAAAGTAAACAAAGAGAAGAAGAGATTTGTATTGTAAGATAAGTAATAAAAGATACAATTAAAAAACAGATACAAGAAAGTAAAGAAAGAGAAGAAGAGATTCGAATTGTAAGATAAAGGTAAAAGATAAGTAATAAAAGGTACATAATAAAAGATAAAATTAAAAAACAAATAAAAGATAGTAAAGAACAGATTTAAATTTTAAGTCTAAATGTTTAAATTGTTTACAACTGTTTAAATTTAACCATTAAAAGAAAACTTCAAAATGGCTTCGAACTTCTGCTTATGAAAATAATAAAACGCGATTCTGTTTCAGATTAATAACATTTTATTTATTTAAAACTTGCTAGTGAACAATAATCTGAACTACTTTCTTTCTTTTTTTAATTCTTAAACCAAAATTTCAAGAATCTTGTTAACTTTAGATGGGTCAAAAAAATATAACTTATTTTAAGCTGTTTCCCAATCATGTGTCAGAATACATCCAAGAAAAATTTTACTAGTTATCTTCTTTAAAAATATGTGACTTCTGAAAGTCTACTTTTATTCAAATGACAGTTAAATCTTAGAAAACAATTAAGAAAAACGAGTTTAAAGTTCAGTGCTTTTAATTTTATGCAGTTAATTATTAATATTATTATTATTATTTTTTTTTTTTTTGTAATTTTATGTCTATTAATATGTAGGAGATAGACCATAAAACTAAAACCAGAGTTTTCAATTTTATGTTCATTTCCTCACGTAGAAACTTCGTACAAATTAACAATGTATATTAAATTTTACATTTTTAAAAGTGATTAATTGCTTCAGACAAAAATATTTTGCACTTTATAAAGAGAAAAAAAAAATCTGGAAATTCTATCACATGAAGAAATACTGGGCTATGCAGAAAAAAATGCTTACTCGAAGAAGGGGGTAGACTACTTAAATGTTTTGGCATTCCTGGGTGTCTCAAGGTTCTCCTCATCAGAACGACAGATAACATCTTCAAAAGACCCTCTTGAATATCCTTCTTCAATTGTGGTATCTCAGTGGCCAATTCACGCAAAGAGGCAGTCAACGATGGGCTGCAAAATACATTTATGCTAAATATATTATAATTATTAATATAAGCTAAAAATATAGAGGAAACATAGAAAATAATAAAGATTAATGAAAAGAGAAGAGGAAAAATTATCGAAATAAAATATTTTTTAAAAAAAAAATTTTAAAAAAAACATGTATTAAAAAATTGAAAAACAAAAAAAATGAAAAGATATACTCTCTTCGTCAACTCACACCATTATATCCATAAAAAAGAGTGCTTTCTAATATTGTATTAATGTAGCAAAAGCAAAATATATCAATACAATAGTGTGAGGAGCACTCGAAAAAATTGAAACAATCATATTTAAAGTTAACAAATTAAGTAAAAAATATATCACGCAAACACATCTTGCAGAATAAAAAATATGTCATGCAGACATTTATACTTAATTTAAAATTCAACTAATCAACTGTTCCTTTTGTGCAACTTTTGGGTTTGTTTGCAGAAACAAAACTAGAAAGAAAAAAAGAAAAATAATTTACCTAATATGTTATAATTTTACCTAATGTTTAATAATTTAGTAAAAGTTCGTCTTTTGCAATAAGTGCAGAACATTTGCAGTTAACAAGTCTTGCAGCAGAGCGTAAGATATAATTTTGCTCTAGGCCAAGCAACTAAGAAATACATGACAGAAATAAAATATCAACATTAGCTCATTTTCAGAAAATTTCAATTGGGCATTTCAAAATCAGGGTTAGGATTTTGATTGAATGAAATTTATTCTTTCCAGAACACTGGAAAAACAAAAGAAACTGAACAGTATAAAAAAGAAACTAATCAGAAAAAGAATCTTGACATAATAGAAGAAACTAATCAGGAAAAAAGAAACTGGACAGAATTGAAAAAACTAAAAATAACTATTTTGCAATATTATAAACAAATTAAATTTAAACTAATTAAATTTAAGATACTACTAGAACATCAACAAATTTTCACATCATTCTTTAAAGGAAAAATAATTTTCATTTAATTCAAAATTTTTCAAAATTTTAAAATCGATAATCATATTATTAAAAAGTCAATTTGAGTAGTCACACTTAATAGCGTTTGATTATAAAACTATTTGTAATTGTGAATTTAGTGTGTGATTAGTACTAGTGTAAAGATCTAGTATGCAATTTGTTAATTTAGTATAACTATTAATAAAACTTAATTATATTTTAAAAATTCTCATAATTATAAAATTACATTTTAAACTCATTCATTTAAAATATTGAAGAACTACTAATATAGTTTCTTAAGAAATTCATTAAATTTATACTTTCTACCAATTTGTTAATAGCTTTTACTTATCTAAAAACGATATATTAAATAACTCAAAAATTAATATTACATTATTTAAACTTCACGGCAACTATAAACTGTTTGAAACATTATTTCAATATTTGATAACTTTTTTTAAAAAATAATTTTTTTCTATTTCTTCTATGCAGGTTGAAAGAAACCTGTTTCTTGCAGGTCTGTTTTTCCTCCTATGGAAGAAACTTTCTATCCTGGTTCAAAATTCTTATAACGAGTAATGATTTATTATTTTAAAATATGGTACTTACCTTAAACCAGTAGCCATCATAGGTTCTAACAGTTCTTTAATGTCAGACATAATGTTGTGTCCAACAGCTCTAGCTAGCATACTGATACAAGTAAAAACCGCTGGTTCTATGGGAGGTGGTTTCTTTCTGCAGTAGAAAAAATAAAGAATACATATATTTTCATATTCTTTATTATTATTAAAATGACACTACACAATTTTTAAATATGTTAATAAAACAGAATATTATGATGCATAAACTTGTCAGACACTAAAACAATGAAAATTATTTTTAAAACTTTCTTCTTAATGTAGAAAAAAATATCCAGTTTTATCTTAAAAGCTTTTTTTATCTGATAAATGTAATGCTAGAACAAAAGGTAAGTTTTCAAGCAATTGTCATTAAACACTATCATTTTGTGGGGATAGCAGTTATCGACAATGTCAACCTTCATCAAGGAAATGTTACTCCAATATAGAATCGAGTTAACATATCTTACATGCTAGGGAATTGGAACTGTATTTTTGTAGTGGTAGATATATACTAAGTATCAATTGAATTCAATACCAGCTATAATTTTGGTGGGGGAGTACTGTAGTGTGTCTACCACTGCAAAAATACAATTCCAATACATTAGTATATAAGACATGTTAACTCGATTCTATGTTGGGGTACCTTTTCTATATATGAAGGTTGACATTGCCGACAACTACTATCCTCACAATTTATTTAACACAACTTAATTTAATATTAGATTTTATATTGCTCCTTTTATATAAAAATTTAAGAAAAATAATTTGTTGTATTTAATTTTGTAGAATAAATAAAAATTTATAATAAGATTTCACACGTTTCCTTTCCTGATACCACCACATCTTGATGCCTAAACAATTATTATAGTACAGTGTCTTATGTTATTTATGCTCACTAAGCAAAGTAAAATATGTTAAAAAATTTGAAAAGATATCAAGAACTGAAAGTGAGTTTTTTTTTTGCATAATTGTTTGTTGGATACTGTATGTGTATTCAACTGCTTTATAATAACAGTTAAATAGATCAAGGCAAATTGATGGTTAAATTAGGATGTTTGTTTTGTATGGTTATCAGGACGTTGTTAATTTTCTGCAGCTGAAATTTTTTAAAAAAAATAAATAAAAATGTTTAAAAAAGCATCATTTATTTTTTTTTCTTCTTTTTTTTCTAACAGAAAAAAGGAGAGGGTTTTGTTTATGATTTAAATTTATGCATTTTTTCAGCGTTTGCTTGATAAATAACAGTCAACAAGTTTCTTTAGTGAACCTGTCAATTTTTGAATGTGGGTCAAATTTTTGTCAATCGAATGTTGGTCAAAGGTCAATTTTTGAATGCTAAAAATTACGCATATGTTAGGGGGACACAAGTGTTTTAGAAAAGTTTAGGATGGGCATAGCAAAAAAAAAAAAAAAAAAAAAAAAAAAAAAAAAAAAAGTAAAACATTGGTTTAAATATTTAGCATTCTTGGGAAATAGTTCAAAAGATATTAATCGGATAAAACAGAAAAAATCTGTACAAATGTATTTGAAATTAAAAAAAAAACATTCCTGCAAATATTAATCTGATAAAAACATAAGTTTACCTAATAACCACGTCTTTAGAAGGCAATGAAGATCGAATAACCTCCATAATCTTTGGAATAAAAGGGTTGATATGCAACTTAACAGCTACAGCTAAAAGACCCACAGCATTGAACGCATTGTATCTCTCCCTCTCACGGCGCAAGCAGGATAACAAATGTATCATTGTTTCATTCAAATAGCTAAAAATACAAAGAATCATTCTAACAATGCATCTTAGTTGTCTAAATTAGTTTTCTAACTAAATTTCAAATTCTCATCCAGATTAATCACAAAGAAAATTCAAATTTAACATTATTAATGATCATCATGATTTCATTTTGGTATTTATTCCATAAACAAATTATTATAAAACTAAAAATTTCGGAATAAAATATCAGATAATCAACTTAGGGCATTTTTTACATACAAAGTGTAAAACAGGATACTAAATATATAGCAGGGCTATATCACAAATTATTATGAACAAAAACAAAATTTTGCTAAGTGTTCTGGAATTAAAATTACAGCAAAAGCTGATATCATATTTTTAATGGATCTCCATTAAAATAAAAACTTAACATTCTTTAAAAAAAAAGTTATAATAATATTATAATAACAATATAATTAGAAGTAAGCAACAACATAGAAGGAAAAAATATTAAAATGAAAAATATTAAAAAGGATTAAAAAAGAAATATATACTATATGAGTGAAAGTGGATAATACTAAATTATAAATTAATTAAGAAAGTTATGCAAAATAAATTTCCCTATCAGAAATAATTCTTACACAGAATTAATACTAGATTGCCAAGAATTAATACTAGATTGCCAAGGAAATCATTTTGACTGCTTTTTAATCTCAATTAGAAAAACAATGATGCATATAATGACACAATTTATTAGAATTGTGTGACTTTTTGTACAACATATATTTTTTTTATTGTTAATACTTACTAATAACTTGTTATATAACTGTTAATAATATAAAAAATATTAAAAAACAATTTTAAACAAATTTCTTTACACATTAGTTATTCTTACACTCCAGTAATTTTGACTGCTTTTGGGCAAATATATACTTTCAGTCTAGAATTAGTTTCTATTGTTAATGAAGCAAACCAAAAAAATTTTTACTTACAATTATAAAACTTGTTTATTCAAAAGATTCTTTCAGTCAATGTAAAAAAAATTTTTTTTTTTAATTATTCAATATGCTGCTTGACTTAATTTACTAATGGTTGAACAAAGTTTGAATCAAAAAATGTATAAAGCTCTCCACCAATTTGATCTAAGTTGTTTTAAACCTAAAATTAGAAGGGAATAAGTCTAATAGTTCTTGAGGTAAAAAAGTTTACAATTCTTTTTTTTTTCAGATGGCAAAATATGCAAAAAGTGTAATTAATTTAAGGAATCTAAACTTTAAACAGTTGTCCTAATCAAATTATTTGGGCCATATTTTTTAGATTCTAGCTACTTCCTTCTTATTTTGATGGTCAAAAATCCAAATCAATTGAAAAAAAATTTGTTTATTCAGCGAAAGTGTGTTTTTGTGTCAGATTTTGTAATTTAAAATATTGTTTGCTCTATCTAATTGATATGTACATTCAAAGTCAATACCTTAAGTAATTAAAAATGAGCATAAGTATGTGAAAATCTACTCATTAAATCAAAAGTTATTAAAGTTATACCTGCAAATATAAAAGAAATAAAATAAAATAGATTTTTAAAACAAATAAGACTTAATACAAATATGACTGAATTATAAACACTTGAATATTCAACTCATCACTATCTATTACCTTTTGGCAAACTTTTCTGTTGAAAAAGCAGCCAGTCGAGGAATAATATTCAGAAGAGTTTGTTGAATATAGATGCTTTTTGAATTTCTGTACCTAAGCACTTGTTGACAAATCTAAAAAAATGTTCATAAAAAATATATACTCTAGGATTTCTGTATAAAGAGTTACAAGTTAGTTACAAGTTTGATGACATATAATTTTAAAATAAAATTAAATTAACTCACAATGAGTTTTAAAAAAAATTCAATCAATAAGCTGTTTTTTCAAAATCTATTTTTATACTTCATTTATAAATTTACCAACCAATAACAGAAGAAGGCAATACTAAACACATACTAGAAATGTTTCAAACTGCCAAACATTAACTTTTGAACGGATATTTATGTTACTTCTTACTTACTTATTACTTGAATTTCAATCTAGGAAAGTAATTTATCCAAATTTAAAAAATTTAATTTAAATAATCAATATGCACTTCATATAAGTTTTTCACATAAATAGTAATCTATTAAGTAATAGCACTGTCCTTTCCTTGACGCATAATTCTCTACCACAAAAAATTTTAAAAAGGAAGACAAAATAATTAATTTTTTTTCTGGGCAAAAAACAGAAGAAAAAATGAAAATAATTTAGCTTTTTATTTTTCTTGACATATTATTACTGAATCAATTTACGCATTTTTTTTCTTAATCATAAAACATTTATATTTTATGTATATCTTTAAAGAAAAGTTTTGTATAATTTTAAATAAGGACCTGCTTTTAGTAAAAAATGTCCCAGAAATTCGGAAGTTCTGAGAAGGAAGGACCTGTACTCTCCTAAATCTAGCGGAATCACTGGTAATTGTAATTTGATGTTACACAAAGCAGGAATAAAGAAAAGACTTACAGTGTCAAAATGTTCTGCGATGAGTTGTTTGCATGCATTGCTCTCATAAACTTGTATTCTTCTGGTAGACACGACATCTCCGGGGTACGTACCCAGGGCCTTGTGATATTTGACGACAGCAGAGAGACCAGCTCCTTTATGAGACCCATTCTGGGTGTTTTGATGGAGTTGGTGGAATGCCTTGAAGCTACGACTCAACGATCCTGTTCCAAGCTCTTTCAAAAAATTATATCGATTTTGGCCTGATTCGTGAGATGCTTGCTGTTGAATTTTATCCTCCAATTCTTGTCGTGTCATCTAAAACAAAAATGGTAAGTAAGTGATGAGATAAGGATGCATAGAATAATGAATACTAATTATTTTGTGTTTGGCCTAATTAATTTTTTAACAGTTAACAGTTTGTGCACAAAAATACTTCTTACAGTTGAACTTATTTATAATAATAACACAAGGACTAAGACAATTTATTTTTTCAGTTAGGGTGCTCATCAAACTAGTATTTAATATTATTTTTAAATTTCCAATGGCCGAGGTTACAGAAAACCACAATTAGAGAAGAATTGAAAAATAACATTAAAAGAAAGAAAAAAGTGTGTGGCAGAAAAGTTTATGAACCATGAATGTCCATAGCTGCCAACATGGATAGGAAAAAATCCAGTAGATTTTACAAAATAGAAATTTCCTGATAACTGTTGCATAATATACTAAATATTTTACATATATGGAATTTCAGGAATTTTTATTTTAATCAAAATACAAATTTTTTTTTACTGTAAACTCTATAAATGGTCTGCAATATTTCCCATTTTTGATTGACATTAAATGAAATTAAATTTAAATGTTTTTTATTATGTTAACTCACAATTTTAAATACTAATAAACAAGTAATTTATTATTGATACTTCAAAGATTTTTTTAATTAGTTTAAAAAGAGATTTCTGAATAAAAATAAATTGAAAATTTCAGAACCAAAAAAAAAAAAAGAAGAAGAAGCTTTAAACGGATTATTAAAAATGAGGCTTGCGTCATTATGTATTAGTAATATTTATTTAAATATTCAAGCTAGCAATAAATTGTATAAAAATTCTATTTCAATACAGCATTTTAAGTAATTTACGAATACTGTAATTAAAAATACTGTAATTATTTTAAGTAATTACAGTATTTTTAGTATTTTAAGAAATTCACACAGTTTTAGGGAATTTTCCAAAACCATTAGAATTTTTATTAAACCAGCAAGCCAGGAGAAACTGGCAAAATCCAGTAGTTTACTCGTAAATCCAGTAGAGTTAGCAGCTATGAATGTCCCTAGAGTACCATTAATGTCATTTATTGCACAGCAACGATGAAAATGGTTAGCACCCATTTCCTCCCAAAGATTGCGGAGCCTGCAGAAAGGTCTTAGACAATATTAATACATTAAAGATGTTTAAAGAGGCAGATGTGTCCAGTAGCCTCGCGAAACTCGCCAACAGCTCTACACCTAGGCCACTTCGGGACATATCTATATTATATAAAACGCTAATACGCACGTATGTATGTATCAATAAAACCGATGATATTTCTTTTCTCGCGCTGGCAACAGTTTTCATTTTTAATTGATTGGATTTGGCGCACAAGAGCACGTAGTGAGCAACCAGATAACAATAACCAGAGTGAGCATTATCAGGTTGTTCAATTCAGATTCATGCACTAAAAACATGACAATATTTAATTTAAACTCAATTAGGAATTAATTAATTGAAGTGCGAATGCTTTAAAAGGCCTCTGTTGAATTGATATTTTTCTACTGGGAGCTACCTAAACGTCAAAAAACGTTTAAGTGTTTGTATTGAATACATTGAATTTTTTTATATTTCGCGTTTATTTATGCATTGAATTTTCACGCTTTAAAATGCAGAATATTAGTGAAGCAATATTTGATAATTTATTTTGCTAATATGTTTCTTATTTAGCTAATGTTTTGATTTTTTCACCATGTACAATCTAAATAGCTAATATACTTTTTTAAAAGTCAATAAGAACATTGGTAGAATTCTTCTACATAAGTACAATACTATGTCTTTGATGATAAAATACTATGTCTTTGATGATAATATATTATGTCTTTGTGCTAGAACATTGTGTTCATTGGCGAGCGAGCCATGGTTCACGGCATGAACCACATAGGATTGCGTAGCAATTCTCGGGGGATGGCAAGCGTTAGCGAGCAGGGGGCGGAGCCTCCTAGTTGGAGATTATTCCACCAGATCTTGTCAAAATTTCTCACTGTTTGGTTAAAGATCTCTATCTTTTTTAGTTCTCAAAAGGGGTAGCATTCCTTGCTGTTTGTAAGATAAAAACACCCAGCTTAGCTAGGTAGTCCGTTATTCACTACCAGCAGCATTGCAGTGTCCCGGAATCCACCGCAAGACTTGTTCTGAAAGATTATGTAGCCCTAACAGGAGTTTTTTGCACTCAAAGATGTCAGAGGAGGCAGCGGTTGAATTAAAATTCATTGCAAGAATAGCCGCTTTGGAATCACAAAAGATAACACGATTTAATATAAATGCTTATACTAGAAAATGCTTAAAAACAGACTCATTTTTAGAATTTTGTATTAACACTCATTGTTGAGACTTGACATTTGTTTTTTGTACATTTTTCTTTACTAACTTTGGCAGTAGAATTGAGTAATAGTTTGGCAAAAATGTTAAATTTCAAATTAATCTAGAAATTTTGCAATCTAATTAGGTGAGTGAACAGTTGCAGTGACAAACCACTTTTAAAAAGTCCCAATAGCATTATGAACAAATGTATTGAGATCTAATTAAGTAGGACCAGGGTTCTATCCCCAGAACCAGCTCAAAGTTTACTCAGCTGCAGATTGATGTATACCTGTTTGCCTGGAAAGTAAAAGTGACCATTGTCATAAATGTGTGGAAAGTAAAGATTAATGTTGACCCCAGTGGCTTTGAATTTGTGGAGCTTTAGAGCGGACAACAACTGACTATAGCGAGTGTGCTTATCTTTGATGCCCTTTAACAAAATACAGAAGAATTTTAAAGCTAGAATAAAACAATACTAGGAAATTTCATTCTAAACCAATAGTAGCATATTTAACAATGGTCACATGGTTAAGCATATTAAAATGGTTGATCAAAATTTTTTCCAGGGCTGCCTGAATTTCCCCATTTGCACAATCAGACATAGTCAACAAGTCCATTTGGAAAATAAAAAAATATTTAAGAAAAATTTCAGAACATTATAAAATATTCATAATAAAAATTTCATTTCATTTGTCCAATAGAAGCTAAGAAATTTTTTTAAAAATAGAAACAGACATTTTCTTAAGTCAACCTGGTAAATGAATAAATAAGATTTAAGCCAATTACTACTGACCTCTCCATCTAAATTACTACAGCGAAGAAGTTCATTAAGCACTAGAAGTGATCCGTGTATTTTGTCATCACGTGCAACACCCTTCTCTTTCAGAGCTTCTTCTAATCCTTTTGCAGCTACGTCATATGAAAGCTGGAAAAAAGTTTAAAAAAGATATTAAACTCTTTATATTGTTTCTTCATTAAATTTTTTTGTAACAAAAGTTTGTTACTTTTTAGGAGTAAAGTATGCATGCCTTTACTTCTAAAATAAACACATCATGATCCTCCCATTACAGCGATTTTTGCATTATGACAGCCGATAGATGAATTCCCGTTCACTTTTCCAATCCCATTGTAGCTACAAAAATATTCAGGAGAAAAGTTGTAAAATGTAACCGATTGTACACATTTTGCTATTAAAATTTTAATTATGCCTTATTCTTATACATAGAATATATAAAAACAGACTTGTTAGTAAGTTGAAAATGAAAAATTTTTTTAGAAAAATTATTGTAATAAAAATACAAAATTTTTTGTCATTATTTTTTTAGAAAAAAAATTATAACAAGACCAACATTTTGAGGAATAACATTGATCTTTTAGGTACCTCAAACTCAAATTGATTCGTTTTTCTGATTTTTGAGTATTTTAATAAAATTCTTTGATATTTTCATGATTTTACCATATTCTCCCAGATTACCATGTAACAGCTGGCAACTAAGTAATAAACCTCAAACAGCAAAAAAATAATAATTTCCTCTCTATAAACAGTACAGAACCCGTTATCCGGAAATCATAAAACCGGAAAACCAAATAACCGGAACAAAATTTAATACATTTTTGCGCCATTTAAAAAAAAAAAAAAAAAATTTTTTTTCCTCATAAGATTTTAGGATTTTTTTTTTCTTTTTTGAAATATGTTTACCTTACCATCATTTTGGAAATAATCATTAGTGTATTCCTTCATCGTTTTTTCTTCTTTTTAAGATTAATTCCAAAAAAATATTTTTTTTTGTTAGGTTTAACAATAAACAAACGGCTTTTTGTAGAGATTCAGAAAACCGGAAAAATCATTTATCCGGAATAGCGATGGTCCCGATCGTTCCGGATAATCGGTTCCCTACTGTATTTCTCTTTAATCAGTCAGATAATTTACGGAAACATAGTGCTCATGTAGAACACTATTAATCAGGGTGCGTAGCCAAATCTTTCAACGAAATATAAGCACCTTTTAAGTACTCTTTAAGCACTCAAAAAATATTTTGAAGCACTATATATATTAGCAAAATGCAAAATAATTTTCAAAGACTTCAGATGATCATAAGAAAATAACTCGTTTCTGACAAAGAATTCTTTTCTTGATTATATTAGCCATGATAAAATAATCGAGAGATTTTTGGGGTTCGATATCAGAGGGTAGAAAATGAAGCCTGAAATTGAGAATATCTAGCAAAATGTAGCAGAGTTGCACATGAGAAGGCAATAATCTCACCGAACCCAGGTCATTAGAAGCACATATGGACTCGCAAGTATTTCATCAAGCATGTAAAATTAATGGCGCTTTCATACGCTATGGACTGGTGGTACATCGAAATGAATTATGAAAACGTTGAATAGAGCAATGTGAAAAACAGGCTTTTGCATAATAGGTGGCTAAAATCAACATGGTAACGAAAAAAAATCTCATTTTTGAAAAGGGAAAATTAAGCACATTTTAAAAACACCCAATGAAAAAAGCACCTTTCAGGGCTCTTAAATAACAAAAAATTGGAAATAAGCACCTTTAAGCACTTTTTAAAAATGCTATGCACCATGTTAACATCAGGAACGTATTGTTGGTAAAATGTAAACAAATAGAAATGTAAACAGTATTTTCCTCTTGGCTGTGTCACTTCCTGTGGTAAGTTGGGTCACTTCCTAGGGGAAGTTGGGTCACTTCCTGTTATCTCAGCTAGAAGGAAGTGGGTGTTTCTGGTTTTAGTTAGTTATATCTTTGCTTTGGTTAGAGGATGTTTCTTCTCTTATGTTATGTTTAGAAAGAGCTATGTGATGTTAAAGAGTTATGTTTAGTTTATTTGAATGTAGTTTTTCTTACTTTATATTTAAAGATTTATATTCAATAAATATAGTTGTACCTTTTCCATGAAGTGAATTTTTGAGTAGTAATAGATGTCTTCAATATACTATACTTAGTAAGCTGGCTCCTATTTTTCAACATTAATCACTATACTAATGAGTGAATTTGACCAAATAAAGAGCAACTTAATATTTGGGTGGCCAAATATTTTGAATCAAATAAGAGCTATCTTTACTATTTTCAATACTAAGCTTATTTCTACTTAAAATTTCGAAATTTATTGATTATATTTCAAAGCATCACATACAATGTTTAGAATGTAAGAAGGCAGGGATTGGTTTCTTGACTTGAAAAGAACACACTGCAGACGGAGTGTGGTCTTAAAACCACAAGATAAAAACCCCTTGCACTCTTATTTGCTCGTTATATTTCATTAATATTCTTCACTAAACAAGTTTTAATGAAATTTGTTGAATTACTATTTTAGTGACTGACAATTCAACAGATCACTTTATAATATAAAACAAACGTTAAATATACATACACTGTAACAGAGGGGTGGGGTTACTTCTTTTGTCTCTCGCTGTGCTCTCACAACTAAAGCAGCTCTTAGAGCAGCAGCCGCAGATTCCCGGATTTGAGGCTACAAATTAAATAAAAATAAATCAAATCAATAAAATCATCAAATGTGATATGCAAAAACAAAAATTATACAGATATCTTATTCATAAGAAATTTTTTTGTTATCTATTTCGACAATAAACTGCATTTTAGTATTTGTTATTTAGTCTTTTTTAATTCGTCCATATAAGATAAAATATCAAAAATTCAAGGGTAGTTGGAAAGAAAAAAGATTATAAAAAATTATTTAAAAAATTTTAACTTTCATAAAGAAAATTATTGAATCAATAAAAACAAAATTGAAGAAAATAAAATAAAAGTTTGATGAAATTTAAAATATTGGACAAAAAAAAAACTTTTAAAATGGTGATCAATGAGAACAAACAAAGAATTTAAAAAGGTAAATATCAATGAATTCAAATGCCTGAAATTAAAAAGCTTAAATATCAAGTATTATCTTGATTTAAATTAGTTCAACGAAACATTTTATTTAAAAAAAAGAACAGAAATTTAAAGAAAAACTTTTATTTCAAGACTACTTTTTAGCATGTGTAAATCAATTAGGTTCTGAATTTTTTAATATTTTTTTAAGTAAAACTAAATATTTGATTCATAAAGTTTCATTAAACAATAGCTTCCCTGCTATAAACTGTTTCCAGTTAACTTAGAAAAAGTACTTTTATTCATCTAAATCATCTTAATTTTAAGCTTTTTAACAGTTATTCTTGAAAATAGCATTTAAATTTGTTCAGTATTGGATTTTTAATCCTAATTTAAGTATTTGAGAGATTGTCAATATGCTTGTCAAATCTTTAAATTAAGATTAAAAATTGCCATTTTTGACAATAACCGGCAATTCAATACCGTTTTCGAGAATAATCATTAGAAAACATAAAATTAATGTAAAATTAAGATCATTTAGATAAACAAAAGTACCTGTAAAGAGGCACATAATTTACAACAAAAAATCCGTTCTGCAGCGTAAGATGAAGTTTCCAATCATGAGTACCTATCTATATTTCAAAAACTCAAATTTTGAAGCCCTGTGTTATAATTTAAAATCTATCAACATCCAGGGGTAGCAGCAAAGTTTTTTTTTAAATTTTAGGGTAATTTGAGGAACTTTTTTCAAAAAATTTTAGGTAAATTTTAGGGGTAATATATGATTTTGCTAGGATAAACACAGATCACACGGTAGTTTATTACATAACAGAAGATTATTACAATTCATCCACACATATCATAAATAATTTCAAGCCATAAAATAAAGCTCTGAAATTTATTAAGTCAAGAATGAAATCTCTAAAGTGTAAAAATGAAATTTCAACTTTACATATTACCTATCAGAAATTAAGTGCATAATTCAGGAACAGGCAAAAGTGAGAATAAATCAAGAGAAAAAATAAATTAACAACAACTTGGATTTTTATTTAATTTTTACCTTCTTAATCAAAACTAGAAGTTAGAGAAAAACAAATTAATCATGATCATTTTTCTAAAATATTCTTGATATGATTTGTGAGATTCTTTTACTGCCCTCAATAGTGTTGTGGTGATCTTCAACACTCCTCCATAATTTCGAATGGTATCTTTGATTAGTCTAAGAGACATAATAGTATTCTCATGGTGACTCACATTAAGCATTGCTTTATTTAATAATCAAAAAACCTCTCTCTCAGGATCAGAATTCCCATGTGGCAAAATTAAAACAGTTTTAATTAATGTAGTTAAATTCTTATATTTTTGATTATTGCTTTTTTATTTATATTTAGCCTATAACTCTAATTTTTCAGGAACACCAACAAAATTTTATCAGATTTTTAGGAATTTTAGGGTTTGCACATACTTTTAGGAATTTTATGAATTTTAGGGGAAATGCGACCCCTGAACATCATAATATAATTAGCCTTAAAAAATAAATAGTTTTAAGAAAGCTGAAGAAAAGAATAAAACAGATATACTAACTTTAGGATCCTTATGTGCATTAAAAATGCATTCAAAAAATTGAGGCACTTGCTGAAAGAAAAAAGTTGGTGTGGAAACGGCAAGCTCTCTTAACACAAGAACCTATGAAAAAATATATAGCATTTAAAATATTGAAAAAATTCACTTTTATACACAATATGAATAAGACTACAGTAGAACTCTTTACAGTATAGGGCAAAATTAATAGTGACCACTGGCCAACTAAATATAGTAAGTGGAAATTAAAAAATTGCCTGTTAATTGCGACTTTTTTCAACATAAACCTCCTGCGCGTTTACAGTACTTGTTACTACAGTAGAACTCTTTACAGTACAGGGCAAACTTAAGAGTGACAACTGGTCACAGGGTGACTAAATATAGTAAGTGGAAATTTAAAAAATTGCCTGTTAATTGCGATTTTTTTCAACATACACCTCCTGCGCTTTTAATAATTATTTTTTTAATAAATATGGAATCATAATTAATATCTCATAATATTTTGAAAATTACTTTACTTCATGTTTGCCTCTTGAAATTTTGCCATTAAATGTTTACTATAACTAGAAAAATACTTCAAAAGGAATGCTTTACATTAAAAACATCAATAGTTTTTTTTATTGTTTAAAATCTTTAATTTTGGAAAAAAATGGCTACATGTTTTAAAAAAGAGCCCCCTATTAAAAATGCTGCCATTGGTCATTAGTGAAAATTTCCTAATTTTGTCCTATATAGTACAAGTACAGTAATAATTAACGAAACTAAAATTCAGTGGTGTTACTAGGACCTAATATGAAGGTGTGTTATGAAGCAGCAGGTAGGAAAAAAGTAACTAATATTTGTCTAACCAAAGAAACTCCCTATACTTTAGTAGTTTAGAGCACTGTTGGTGAGTATGGTATCGCTCCCACTGCACGAGGGAAAATTCCTGCATTTGAGTAATATTAAATGATAGAGCTAAGCCTGTGGCTGGGACATCTCGATAAAGCAAAAAATTATCAATGATTCCTTTTTTATGATATTGTAATCGTCACTTAAAATAGTAAAGTATTAAAACACAAGTGAGGGTCTTTATTAAACCTTATTTTAGTCGCTAATTACTTAGAGTAGTTTTACTCATAGTTTAATATTTATATACTTACAAAATCAATTTAAAAAAGTTCCCCCAGTAACCTGATATACCTTTCCATAAGTATTGGATAATCAGGGTTCTACAGAAGTTTAATTCTTATATTAACAGTTTGTATTATCATAGCTTTAGAGCTATCAATAATTCTATTAATTTCTTTATTCTTTTTAAAATATATCATTGTTCAGGGTGAGTTGCCAGATTTTCAAACAAAAAAATAAGCACCTTAAAAACTTTTCAAGCACTCAAAAAATATTTTTAATAACTTTCCAAAAGAAAAAAAAAACATAATTAGGATCTGTGCAGCAATAAAAAAAGTAATAAAAAAATTCTATCCTTTAAAGTTCTTAATTTAGAAACAAAACATAAAATCAATAAAATTTAGAAACACATTCAATAACTTCACATAATCATGATAAAATAACTCGTTAAAATATAAATCATGCGTTTTTTGTAACTTAAAACGTTAATCGACAAGGTAAAGAAAAAATCTTTTTTTAAAAGATGGAAAATTAAGCACTTTTTACAAACCCCGAATGAAAAAAGCACTTTTAAGGGTCTTTAAAAAACGTTAATCAAAAATAAGCACCTTTTAAAAAAACTATGCACCTTGTTGTCAGATCATAAATATAACATCCACGTTATAACATCCATTTTCACGCAGATGACTGAGTCTGTTATATTTGACAGTGTAATTTCTAAAAATGAAGGCATTCATGTTAGCTGATAAATGTAAGTGAAAAAATATACTCACAGCAGCGTGCCGTTTAGCTTCATGTCGATCACCACTTAACCATTCAAATGCTCTTTTGGCTTCAAATTCGACATATTCAGCAGTATATGTACCACTGGCTAAGGCAAGTCTCCCAATGGCATAGGCTGCCAACTCCATAACTCCTATATCACTTGAAGGCAACAGATTCCTTAAATAATTAACAAATCTGCTTGTGCGAGTACCAGTGTTACCCACATTGATCCCAAGCAAATTAACTAAAATAAAAAACACCGTATAATTAAATAAATAAAAGCATTTTATAAAAAAAGTACAATCTCACTTCAAGAATAAATAATTAAAGCACGTAGGAAATGTTTTTGTACAAATTTCATGGCCCATATCAGGATTTCTGTTATAATGCTTATTTTTGAAAATAATTAATACAGGGCAAATTGTATTTTAGGAAAATCTAAAATTATGTAATTTTTGTGAAAAAGTAAATAGATTCTTAAATATGGAATTAAAAAATGGGATATATTCAATAAATAAATTACTTTTAAAAATTTAACAATAGAAAGTACAAGTTGTTTTAAGTAAATTTTTCTTGTCATATAAAATTTGGAAATAAATAACATTTTAATAATGATCATCGAATATAATAAATAAATAATCATTGAATATTATCGAAAATATTTATTATAAGCATACTAAAAAGTTCTTAATTATTTTTAGAAAAAAAACTAATATTTTTAAAATAATTGAATGATTGGATGATCCGTGGCGGATAATCTGAGTTCTATAGTAGTTTTAGTTAACTACGTTTGTAATAAAGTTGTTGTTGACGTATACCTGTTTAGGCATAGGGGGTGTGATTGTTCATTTTCCAGTGGCGCCATCTATGGCCAAGAATTCGACTTCAGCCACACCACACGTCGCATCCGTTTATAAGGCGGACCCATTTATACATCCATTCATTTATCCACAGATCGTAATTTTGACTTGAATCAGAGAATAATCGACCTCTAATCCAGTACCCCCAGAGGTATTGATTTGTTATGGGAACACGGAGGACTTTTGCGTCTCGACAGACTTAATGTGCATCGGTCGGCGGGGGTCGAACCCACGAACTCTCGGACATGGGTCCAGCACCCTACCAATCAGGCTATCCCGGCCCTGTAATAAAGCAGTTGCAGTTAACTATGAAAAAACAAAATAAATAAATAAAAAGACCACAAAGCTTTTCATTTCCACAAAACTGTGGCTTTTCTCCCTATTAACCTTTTGTGCCATTTTCAGAATAAACATAAAACATAAATAGTGCTAGCTTTAGATACGCTAATCTTGTCCTAACAGTCATGAAGAGCTGTTGAAAACTTGCAGCAGTTATGAAAATAACAAATTATTAACAAAAACATCATTTCATAACTGTTGTAAGCTCACAGTTATGAAAATAGCACATCATTCGCAAAAAAAGCTTTATTTCATACAACGGCAAAGCCTACAAAAAATAACCTTAAACACCTTTACTGTATTAATATTCTCCAAATCCCTTTCTGCAATTTTATTTTATATCCGTCGTTGAACAGCCGACCCAATTTTGGGTTTACAACTACTAATGTACATACTCCATAGCCTTGTAATTTTGAATCAATCCAGAAGACAAGGCCCAGAGGTATTGATTTGTTATGGGAACATGGAGGACTTTGTGACTCAAGAGATTTAATGTGCATCAGTCACCATTTACTACACGGGGAGTCTTTGGCCAGAGCGGATTGAACCCACGAACTCTTGGACATAGGCCCAGTGCCATACCAACCAGGCTACCCCAGCCTTTTTCTGCAAGGAATGCAATCTTCAAGAGAAGATGGACGTGAATCCTCTTCATGCTGGATGTGATGCTGAAAAGCAATAAATGACTCTTCTTTGTGCAATTGTTATTGGTGCACTAGGGATAGTCCTGGTTCATAGACAGTTTTGTCATCACGCTTTCTCTTTCATGTTTCAAAAAGTTATTTTTAATTCTTCTCTTTTTCAGGGTGCATAGTCAAATTTTAAACAAAAAATAAGCACCTTTTAAGCAGGGTTCGTGATTTTTTTGATTTTCTTTAAAAAAATCGGATTATTTTGATTTAAATCGGATTTTTTTGATTTAAATCAGATTTTTTTGATTTCTATTCAAAAACACTATAAGAGCTTTAATTTATGATTAAAAAAACCTTATAAATGTTTAATCAAAATTAAATTAATATTAAAACTATATTATAACAATATTTTAGAAGCTCTAACTTACTAAAATAATTTTTCATTATAATGCATAGCGACCATTTTGATACAAGGGCATGATTGAAATTAAAAGACAAGATAAAATAGATAATTTAAAGAATACTACTTTAACTAGTAACACAAAGTTTCAATTAGCACACCATAATTTTAATTTAAAATTGTGATCTCTTTTTTTTTCCTCATGATTTATAAAATGGCAAAATAAATGCAACAGATTGTGTTTATAAATGTTGTCATTCATCAAAAAATAAATATTCAATCTATATATTTTTATGTTAAAATATTCATTTTTAATCCTATATCAAAATACATAAGTTAAGCTAAAAAACATTTTTAAAAAAATCTATGTACTCATTGGAATTTTTTTTCACAAAAGAAAATCTGATAATTTCAAAGATACCGTAAACATATTATGAGAAGAAAAATAAAAACCAGTTAATAACCCTACTGCTTCAAATAGACTTTGATAGGGAAGAATGACACTATATCAGGAAAAAAATATCTGAACTCAGCTTTTTTTTTTTTTTTTATTTTTGGCATATTAAGGTAATTTCTTTTTAATATAACCTCAAGCTTTAGAAATATAGAAATTTCCATCAATAAACTATAATGTAGATTTGAATTTCATGCTTTTTTAATCAAAAGGTAGAATTTTAATTAACATTTGCTTTTTGAAAAAAAAGCATGTTTATTTACTTTCTACAGCTATGCAAGTCTATATTAAGACAGCATTAAATATTTACTTTAATCTGTACTTTCAATGTTAAGAATCAAAAGATTTTTAAACATGTAATTTTAAATGTGTTCAACACACTCCAAGAAAGAAAGTAATTTCGTTAACTAAAATTAATTAATGCAGCAATTTAATTAAAATAAATTTTAAAACTAAGAAAAGAAAATAATAAAAGTATCAATAATTTAAAGCACTGTTTTTTAACTTTTAAAATCAATATAATATATATATATATAAATTAGTAGATTTAAATCAATGATTTTTTTAAAAAAATCATTTGATTTTAATCATGATTTAAATCGTGATTTAAATCAAGCTGATTTAAATCAACGAACCCTGCTTTTAAGTACTATGTATGTTATTAAAATGTAACATGATTTTCAAGGACTTTCATGAGAAAATAACTAGTTTCTGAGAAAGAACTCTTTTCTGGATTATATTAGCCGTTATAAAATGATCGAGAGATTTTTTGGTTCGATATCAGAGGATGGAAAATGAAGTCTGAAATTGAGAATATCTTGCAAAATGCAGCAGAGTTGCACATGAGAAGGCAATAATCTCCCCAAACCCAGCTCAGTAGACGCACATACGGACTTGCAAGTATTTCATCAGACATATAAAATAATTGGCTCTTTCATGCGCTATGGACCCACACCATTTTGTAACCTCTGCCTTAGGAAAACGTGTAAAACGATTGGATCTTTTGTGCGCTATGGACCGACGGTATGCCGAAATGAATTGTGAAAACGTTGAATAAAACAATGTGAAAAGCACGCTTTTGCATAATACGAGGCGAAAATCGACATGGTAACGGAAAAAAATCTCATTTTTGAAAAGGGGAAATTAAGCACTTTTTAAAAACTTTCTAATAAAGAAACACTAACACTTTCAAATAAAGAAAATCGAAAATAAGCACCTTTAAGCACTTTTTAAAAACACTAAGCACCATGTTTTTTAGATCAGTGGCCTTTTGTAACCTCTGCCATAGGAAATTTTTTTTAAAAATTCAATAAAAAAAGTACACTTACCGATTGCTAAAATCCCCCCTTTCTTGTCATTAACGTCTGAGCTTGAAACCATTTCAAAAATGTGGTGATTAAACTCATCCAGAAAAGTGGTGACATCTTCAATGCTCATTTCCCGCAACTCTGTTGTAATATAATGATGAAGCTCACGTGTTGTTTTGAGCCTAACATCTTCATTTTTGCTCTTAAGACCAGAAACAAAAACTTGCAATGAAGATGCCATCTGTAATTAAACAATAAACATATGAAAATACAAAATTATTCATTAAAAAGTTATCCTCACAATGTGCAAAACTGAAGTTTTTTGTATACACAAATACTTGATCAAAACTTATCTGCAACACAGTGTAATGGCATAAAGTAAATGGCAATCAAAAATGTCAGAACAAAAAGACATTTATATAATACATGGATGCAAATGATATTTATGTAATATAATTTTAGTAACCTTTACACCCAGTGGCAGAATTGCGGCAATACGGCGACGTTGCAGAACGTTAATCAGAAAGATTACTGTTTTAAGTAATAAAAAAAAAAATTTAAAAAATTCCTTTCCTTCAGAAATTTACACGTAATATCTGCATCATGCATTTAAGTAATAACTCTTTGACATGCTCAATTTATGCCGAGATTTATTTCTATTTTTTTGGAGGGTCTGCCACTTATAGAGTAAGAAATATTACTAAGGATCTATTAATTATTATTATGCTCCTTGATTCAAACAATTATTGTTTGAAAACTAAGAAGACCTTTGGTTAAGAGAAAAAGCAGAAGCAAAAAGTTAGGTAAATCCTCTTTTATGTTTATTTTCTGGTTTTTCACTAGCCACTACCCTCACGTTTTCAAGACTTGTGAATATTATTCATTCTTCACAAAAGATATGTCAGACAGTACTTAACCTTAAAAATAACATCTGAGTAGAGTATACTGAGAAGTGGCAATTAACCTTTATACATATATGTAGGGTATACTGAGTGGTGGTACTTAAGTTTATAAAAACATCAGTGTAGGTATACCGGACAGTGACACTTAACCTTAAAAATACAGCAATGTAGTGTATGGTATACTACACAGTGGCAATTAACTTTAAATATGAATGTATGTAGAGCATATTGGATAGTGGCACTGGATTTATCAGATTATTAAAAATAGAGTAATTATTAATGATTACTATCTTCGATTTGGCGAAAAAATTTACCAATCGACAACGACACCCTTTAGCGGAAAAGTACTTTATAAATAGGGCTAACGACAAAATTAAAAAAAGTTTAATTTGATGAAGTAAAATTGCAAATTAAGTTTCATTTTAAAAAAATGACAGAAATCCAAGTTTGAACCAATATAAATTGAGAGAGGGCAACATACGTAAACGATATATACCATTAACAAACATCTCCTAAGTTTAGAATATCAAATTTTGCAAAAATTAGGAATTAAATATATATATATTTATCGGATCGAAAATCCAAATCCAATTATTCTTCATAACATTTATTTTAAAAACCGCATATGTATTTGGAGAAAGTAGAATGATCTGAGTGAACACAAAATTCAGGGCAATAAGCTAAAAATCAGGAGTAAAGGTTTTTAAACGAAAAATCAGGAATACAACAAACCTTGATATAGTTAGTGCTACAGAGTTAACACTGATTAGCTAGATAAATGTATAAGACACAGTTTCATATACATATTGATAAAAATTTATAACAAAAACATTAACCATAACATTCAGAAGACAAATATAGACAGAAAAACAAGAACTTTATTTAAACTATAGCCCACAAATATTAAATTGTTTCATAACTTGCTCAATTTATTTCTTCATTCATATAATACGCTTCCGACTGCTTATTTTTACCTGACTAAAAAGATGAAAAGAAAACAAGCAAAGCATAATCGAGAGACATTTCTTAGGAGCTATTCTTGTTGCATGAAAAAATTGATGGAATATCCCCAAATTCGTATCTGCGAATTTTTTCTCATTCATAGCTCAGTCTGAACTAAGACATTTTTAATCTGCATCACTCCCAATACATTTGATTTCGCAAAAAAAAAAAAAAAATGGAAGCGAGAATTTTAAAATGTTTAAAATCAAATGTTCAAATCAGAAGAGGGCGGGATAGTGCGACTGGTAGGACGTTAGTCCCGTGCACAAAATGGTGACAGGTGCACGCTAAATCTGTTGGGGCAAAAAGTCTTCCAATTTTGCCTAATAAATCTACGCCCCTGGAGTTGCTGAATGGTTCAGGTCAAAATTACTATCTGCGGGTGCATGTGTGAATGCGTCCTCCCTGTTAAACGGGATGTGACGTACATATGTTGTCTCTGGATCATCCTTAGAGGTGTTTCCCAGACCATCGCCAATAGCCCATTATGATGCTGCTCTAGTGTGACGTAAATAAAACTAACATACTGTACCATGTCATTAATTGGAAATTAAAGTTAATCAATTGCTAAAACTAATTAATTAATTAATAATAATTAATATGTCATGCTTATTAAATACACACAATTGCAATTTAACAGAGAATAGACATAGACTGATAGATTAAAGTATGTAATTAATTAAAGAAATTGTGTTTCAATTTTACCTACTATTATGATTAAAACATGTCTTTATCAAAATTAGATTTCTCAGAAACTATGCGACCGATTTCACTCAAATTTTGTATTTGCCATCTAAAGTTGCATTCTATAAAATGCAAAAAAATTGTAAACCTTACAATTCCAAAGTTTTTCGAATATTATTAAATGAAATAATAAAAAGTAATGAATACATACTAAAAGTTATATTTTACATGGATTTGTCTTCCGATAAACGAATTTTATAATTGGGTGCCAAAAATTTAAAATTAACATTAATGGGTCCAAACTTTGGAGCTCTCTCTTGATCCAATTATGGGGACCATATATAGCTCTGATAGCGGCTACCCCAATATTTAAGGGATCGGAAAACCGAATCCGTCAGAAAAAAGGGTATGCTTATTCATATAAAGTAAGTTTTATGCCTGATTTCGTTACCTGAAATATCATCCGATCTAATTAATTAGCATATTTGAGGTCACCCCTTCGAACCATTAAAATTGAGTCCTGGAGCGCGAAAATCCATAAATTCGATCAAAAGCTATTGCCGGTGGTCCGTTTTCTATTGTGCGCACTGTAAAATATAAGTATGCACAGTGCGCTAAAAAAACGGACCACCCTGCAGCTACCCCCAAAAATTTCGGGATCAGAAATCTGAATACGTTGAAAAAAAAAGTAAGCTAATTTGGAGAAACTACGTTTCTGTGTCTGATTTCCTAACTTAAATTATCATCTTTTCTAAATAATTAGCATATTATTACTTAACCCAATTGGTCACTCTTGGTTGTCCGACTAATAATAAGCTTCTTAAGTAATTTCTAGCAATTTTTCATTTGTACTATAGTGCAGTGGGCCAAGCCGTCCGAATTTGTAACTCTTTTACATTGTAGGATCCATAATAATTTCTTTTGGTATGGTGATATATTATCTTATAATCTATTACCAAACCGAGTTTGAAAATTACATATTATTAAGGGGAGATAAGGGCCCACTTAGATTTGCAGTATATGAACAACAATTTCTCAATTTTATTGCCATTATACGCATCAAGAAATATATATAAATAATATTGTGCCACATTTTGAGGCTCCTAACTTGTGTATAATCATTTCTTTTGGCATGGTAGGGTAGTAAAATCTGATACCTGACCCAGTTTTTTTTCCTTCGCCTTAATTTATTATTTTTCTTATAAGTGCGAATAACTTAACACGTTCACGGCGGGAAAAGTGAAAATACTGGTAGAAGAACTATTTCAATATTAGATAATATTCGGGAGGAGATAATCTATTCTCAACAATAACAATTCACTGTAAGGAAATTTATCACGGCGAAGAAGCGATTCAATATAAAAATTGCATCCGTTAAAAACAATTGGTAGTTATGGATTTTTATTATTCCCGGAAAAAAAACTAAAAAATGCAATTTATTGTTACCAGTATTTACTCCGGTGCGCTGCCAAGATGAGACAATCTAGCGTGACCCACCGGTCCCGGCGTGAACGTGTTTAAAAACGTAAATACAAAACCTAAATGTTCTAACATTTCATTTCAGGACTATTATAATTATGAAACACCACTGAACCCTAAGGCGTAGTGTTTCTCTACGTATATTTGTTTCGATAAATCTATTAGCATATTGTAGAATAGATTTGAAAATTTTGAATATAAAATAATTAATTTTATAATAAAACTGGCAAGAATTTTTGGTAAAAAAAATATTTGTTACTTCGATTTTCATTAATATTTTCTATAGGAATTCATTGCTATAAGACTTTTGTAGCACTTACTGTATCATAATGACATTTTAGGTGTGTATCTCATTTCACACTCGCCTTTCTAATGTAATAAGTCAAAATTTAATTCATATCTGTTTTTACAGAACAACAAAAGACAAGTTATGCAGTATAGTACATACCATATATGGCAACGTTACTTTTAAAAAGTAACGAGTAAAAGTACAAGTATTTTTAAAAAAAGTAACGAGTAAAAAGTAAATATCTTGTTTTTTAAAAAGTAACGAGTAAAAAGTACAAGTACTAAGCAAAAAAAGTAACGATTTAAAAGTACATTTCTAGGAAATCGAAAATTCAAAGTAACTTAAAATTTGATTGAATAATATTCTTATGTTCTTTAATGTTTTTGCAAAATTGTAGTTATTTATTTAATTATTTTTAATTTTGAAAGTTATGGATTTATTTTTAAATTCGGAAGAATATTATAATATAATTTTATAATATAATCGTATAATATAATTTTAATATCAAATATAAT